GGGGTAAAATCCAATGTTCGTGAAATGATGGGTTTCAACATCCAACAAGACAAGTTTGTCACTGGATCCATCCGGTATGTCATTCACCATTTGGACGATGATTGATGCTTCATTTTCATTTTCACCTACCGGAACAACACGAATGTGATGAAGACGGGTGATTTGAGCAACCGGCACACCCAAACTCCGTGCAACCTCCAGTAGAAGATTATCAAAGTTCCCCCATCGAACCCGAGCTTGAACTGTAGGCTGGTGAAGTCTATACAGTTTCGCTGTTTGCAGGGCATCTGGATAGGCTCTTGTCTGACGATCTGCTGGTGTGCTGTCGGACTCCATGGGATTGGCATCAGATCCTACTGGGCTATGCAGTGAACTTTCATGTGCATCAGGAATTGAGGCCATGTCTTGGTCGCTGGCTTGCTCAGGAAAGGTGACTTCATTAAGATTCGTATTTCGTGTGAGATAGATGGCTAATGCATCACCTTGAGACATGCGGTGCACTCTATCAAAGGTTTGGGGTATCTCATTCCATCCATGATAGATGTTGCAACTTCGGTGAGCACATGTGTGATCAGCCTCGGCAGCATTGCGAATCATGATTCCACTGACCTCTGCAGGAAACGACGCTGCAATTGAATAAATCGGACCATCATGAGGAATCAGCGGTGACACTGTGGTCAAACCTGCATATCTGCCATCTTCATCACCTGTGACAATGATCAAGTCGGCTCTACAGTGCTGGAATCTCGGATGTCTGTGTGGTTCCGGTTTAACCACATAGATGTTGTGCGGTTCTTGCACTGCAACCCGATCTGGCCAGCTACTCAGAATTTCTCTATGCCAACGTTGCCATTCACTATTCAACTCAACCACCCTAGGGAATTTGCATTGCGGGTGATGCTCATGATGAATATGCCATGTGCGGACATAGATGATCATGTCATTATCATCTGTGAGTTCCCCCTCCATGAGTGCCAAATCCAAAAGATGTCTAAGGAATGTTGGGATTTCAATGGGTTGCATTGGCGCACCTTCTGCATGATGATCCTCATCGACAGCAGCATCCCGATCCAAACCTTCAACTCTTCCATGCAAATCAGTGATTCTCAAATTGGTGAGAGGTGGACTGTAGGGAATACAGTCTTGCAATGAAATCGGTCGTGGCCGTTGGGTGGAGCTCAACACGGCCAATTCTGACGGCGGAGCACAACGCACCCGAACACCCTCTTTATTTTTGATCCATAATTGCCACGGCTTATCATCCCAATTTACTAGCGTGTGATGCTGAATCTGGGTATGTGCCATCCCTGTTTCATACTCTGTTCCGAGATATAAGGAAATTTCAGGCAAAAAATGGATCTTCGATTTGTTGGTTTTGGAAGCCTGTGCAATCGAGAATGGTCTCTGATTACCACCAAGGCAACTCTTGAGATTTTCAGGAATATATGAAAATGCTGAGAAGCGTGGAAACGATGAGGATGGACTCTCTACCAGCAAATCATCGCAGGGAGTCATGTCAATGTTCTCAGAGAGAAAGATATCTTCTCTTTGTTGTTGTGCGGTCAGGACTGCCATGAAGGGACTCAGGAAGTCACAATCATCAGTGATGGAATGAGTCCAAGGCAGGACTGGGTTGTACTGCACTGCTGTTGCGGTTTGTCCCCAGGAACTGCATGCTGCACGGGTCGACTCATCAAAGCAATCGAGCCCATAGGCATTAGCAGCACTGGCAGGGCCGCAATTGACACTGGCCTCATGCAGTTCATTCACCAAATGAACTGAGCCTGCATGGCCCCCACTCACGATCCCAAGGATCGCTCGCCAGCATCTTTTGAACGGGGACGTTTGGCATTCCGTCCCTCGTCTTCGCTGTCGGAGATCTCCTGCGTGGTTTCCGCAGGTTTGGCTCCATCTGCTTGGAGGCCCAATGAACTGGCGCATGCATTGAGAACTCCCTGCAGTGTTGATCGAAGCTTCTCTTCCTCCTGATCTACAGGTTCTTCCAAACCTGCTTCTTCCTGCTCCTCTTTGATCGCTGGCGTTTTGGCTAACTTCAGTGTTGTTGGATCCACTGCTGCCTTTGCATTGACTTCGATGGCCTGTCTGGCAATGGCAATGTCCTGTCGTGCTTTGGCTGCCGACTCCTGCAACACTGCTTGCTGCTTTCTGTAACTCTCCAGCGACGTTTCCCACGCTTGCAAACCTTCTTTCAAATATTCCATCCATGCTGTACGATGCTTTTTCCTGGCTTCCATGGCCTCTGACAAAGCTTTCTGTGCCTTGCTCAACGCTCTCGTGTTGGCATGGATGTTGGTCGTGATGGTTTTGGCTAAATCTTTCTCTGTTCTTTCGATAAGAGCTGTGACATCCTCTGGAGTCGTCTCCGCATCCGGATAAGCTTTCCGGAGGGCCGTCACAAATTCCTGATTCTGGGCATAAATCTGTGCTGCTGTGAGTTGTAAGGCTCCCGCAGAACTGGCAGCTCCTCCCGCATTGCCCGTATTGCCGGTGCCTGTATCCACAGTCTCGTTCTGTTTGCCTCCAAAAGGTTGCATGGCCTTTGGGACTACCATTGCCTCCTCTGGATCCTTGTCTTTGCCCTTCTTTCCTCCTTTCCCTTTGCGATGTCGGGGACTCGCGGGTCTGCCAGAATATTGCTCCTGCCTTTTGCGGCTTGCAGATCTGTTTCCACCACGATTGTCCCAATTCGATTGCTGTGTCCACGACTGATCTTCCCATTTGGACCAGTCTGTCCACTGAGATCTCTGTGGGCCCCTCGACTTCGCGCGTGGCTCCACTTCGTGTTTGACTCCTGTTGACCAATGTGATTGATTCATAGTCTTTTTGTTGAGCCTGCTGCACCTGGAGCATCTCCAGGGATAGGCCTCCTCTGCTGCAGCCATTGCTGATTTGATTTTCCGCAAAAAGGCTGTATCTTTTGAATGGTGTTGGGCCAGTGTATGATGGATCCTTTGCAGATCTGTAACTGTGCTCGTCACCAAACCCTTTCTGATCAAATGCCACTGATGCCTCGCTTCCGCACGACGTCTGCGTGCTCTCCTTCTCAAGGCGTTGGTAAATGATGTAATCTTGACTGAATTGAAACGCGATCACAAAAATTGTCAAAACCAGAATGAATGAACACATCCACCTGTGAATGGCCCTCCACGAAATAGAGCGTCCAGGAAAGTCACCAGAAGCGCCAAATCTTAGAGGAATTTTGTGTCGCCGATCAAATGAGATAGAATTTGCACCGGTGTCAGGCCACCGCAGAACCAGTTCGCAAATGTAAATCCCAAATTGTAAATTGCAAATCGCGAATTGAAATATCAAAATTGAGATTGCACTCGGTGTTTGGCCACCGCAGAACCCAGTGATGAGATATAAATTTGTACCGTACCACGACAGTCCAAAAATGTAAATATATATATTTATATTATGCACATATATCAATATATATCAATATATATAAATACATATTGTATATATCATGCAAAATAACGACAAGTACATCATTGATGTCTTTGGCACCTCCGCCTTGAGACCCAGCTCCATGATCTTCGTCGGAAGTTCCGATGGCCACGCACTGCTGGAGATCAGGTCCAGTGTCGAGTGATCGCCTTGGCGTGTGCCCTAATCATTGGTGAGAGATATGGCCCGATAATGCCTTATATATAATATAATAACATAATATAATATAATATAATATAATAATATAATATAATATAATAATATAATATAATATAATATAATATAATATATATAATATAATATAATATATATATATATTATATTATATATACGTATCAATAATATAATATAATAATATAATGTACTGGTCATGTCAATGATGTTACCAATGATATTTCATTGAAATGCATTGAAGTATAGAATGGCGCTGAACGGCACATCGTGCTATCTTCATATTTCGGGCTCTCAAGACATCAAGCTGCCAAAATCTCTCAAGATGTGCCAAGATGTACTCAAATGTGAAAAAAAGTCTGCCATTGGCCAAGGGGCCAAGCAAAGATCTGGCGTAGTGCAAGGTTACGAAGATGTACTGCACACGAAGTCACATTGCAAATATCGTGAGCAGAAAATTCCCTCATGTCTCTTCGCTTATACATCATTCATGCAATCCCTGTAGATAAAAGTTTCTACAAACATCATACTCTCAAAGCAGGGACTTGACTCAATGTTGACGACATCCCAAAACTCCAACCTGGAAATCTTATGGTGTGATAAGTTTCAAGCTCATAGCTTCAACTGATCCCGTCCATGACTCGAAATTTGTGTCCCTTTGATCTCGGCCATGTTTCACAAAATCAATATAAACATCTATTTATGCCATAATGAGTCATGATGTTTGAACATGTGTTTCACATGTGTTTCACATGTGTTTCACCGAAATCTATTCCCATTGGTGAAACACCATGTTTTCAAAAAGTCCAATCCTGGAGACTTTGTTCAGCTTCCGCATCCGTCGGCTCGTGCGGCGTCGCGCTAATCCAGGCCAGCTCGTTGAAGGCTAAGAGGAAGAGCACCGTGATGCAGCCGTAGAGACAAAAGGCGGAACCTCACCATGTTTCTGGGGATGTCATCGAGATCTTTTGTTAATAAAAAATAGGGATATATATAGCTTCACCAACATGCAAGAGGTTAACAGTGAACAACTGGCCATTTTTCTCCTTGAATCAGATGATGTTGTCTTCTTGCGTTTTCTTTGGAGGCACAGACTGGATGTGTACAGACTGTACTATGATATCACTCAGTACATGCTGAATGATGATGAGCAGGACTGGAGTTTTGTACATATCCGACATGCCACCAGTTCACACTTGGATGCGCGAGCGCAACATCTGGGAATTCGATTGGCCAGCCATGTTTCCCTCTTTGAACAGGATGCTCTTTGCCTTATTGAGGTTAGGATCCAAACAGATGCACGAGGAACATCAGCCTTCTTGGATGCAGAGTTTAAATCATGCTTTCTTCCACTACAGATGAATGAGGCTGACTTGTATGCGATGGTCAACCTGGATGAACTTTGTACAATTGAAGACTGCGTTTTGTGGGTGGACCTTCGATATGTACCACATGGTGAAAGAGTTCATGTAGAGGAAGGCAGTTTTCTGCAAATCTTTGTGGGGGAGGATCAATCTTCAGATGCAGAACCGAGTGGTGAAGTTTGCGTGCCAGATGAACTAGCGGGTGTGCGACAGGTTTTTGCCTCACATACTGCCTCTGATATGCCCTCAGCGGTGCATTCCACGCAGGACATGGAAGTTGACACAGGAAGCTCACATGTACACCAATGCCTGAAACGCACCTGGAACGCTTTATTCTTTCTCTGGTACCTGTGGAGCGATTGCTTTCATGTACATGCTTTTCACCAACAAGTTCTTCGACTTGGCGAAGCAGAACATCCAGGTCCGACAATGTGGATTGGCACATCCAATCCTAGTGGTCTTCGAGGCAAAGAGGAATCCTACTTTGAACTGCCTGTTGGTGTCTGGGGCATCTCAGAGAATCATCTCACCCACATGAATCAAAGAGACGCAGACAGCACTACCCGACGGCTCAGTCATGAATATGATCGGCATCTTCACCTTGTCCATGGTGCACCAGTGGCACCGCGCACTGCTACCTCACAAGCAGGCACATGGGCAGGGGTAAGCACCATCACTGACCTCCCGTGCAGACCAATATCCATTCCATGGCCGAACTCCGAGTATGCTTTGGGCAGAGTACAAATGCTTCAACTATGGTTTGGACCGTTTCAGCTGGAAGGGGCGAATGTGTATGGTTGGCCTCACAGTCCCACATGGCCACGTGCTGCAGAGGCCACAGAAACTATGCTTCAGCATATCACTCAAGAACTGGTGATATCCAGAACTGGACCTCGTTTCATTGTTGGCGACTTCAATTGCAAATCACATGAGTCACCAAGCATGGCTCTTTGGAAGGCACAAGGATGGGTAGATGTTCAGGAGTGGGCATTTCACAAATATGGACGCCCTCACACATTGACGAGCAAGAACACCAATATCCTGGACTACATCTTCCTATCACCTGAGCTTGCACAGTATCTCACATGTGTTGATGCCTGGACACTTTTTGCTGACCACACCACAATTGGCGCATGCCTAGATCTTCCAGTACGCAAAGTTGAACAGCAAGTGTGGCAGATGCCTGCCTATATTCCCTATGACAAGGTGGATATGAAACTTTGGCATCAAGATGCAAAATGTCCCGCACACAACTCCGCTCTATCGCCGGATGCAGCATTCCGAGCTTTCAGTCTTGCGTTTGAAGAGAGCCTTGAAGGAGCGATTGACGCGCCGGGAAATTCACTACCACCATCTTGTCGTGGTAGAGGTCAAAGATGTGCACCTGAAAGGAGACCACCACAATGCCCAGTTCTGAAACCTTCGCGTCCTGGTGAAGTGCAGCAATCTTCATGCTTTCTGGGTAGAACGGTACACAAATGGTTCATGCAACTCCGCCGCATGCAATCCATGCTTCATGCTCTGAAAGCTGGAAAAACCACATGGGATGCAATCATCTACAGAACAGAGCTTTGGCGAGCGATATACAGGGCAAAGGGCTTCGAAGGTGGATTTGCCTCTTGGTGGTACCAACGACCTATCAAATGTCATGGTTCACCAGTTGACATTCCTACACGAGTTCCCACCTTGCGTCACATGGAGTTGCTCTTCATGGACTATGAGATCAACTATCGCAAGTTTGAACACTGGCATGCAAAACAGCGTAAAGATGCCTTGCAATTGGCGTTACAAGAGAACCAAAACAAGATCTTTGCTTTGGTCCGACCAACTGGAAAAACTCCTCTGCAGCACTTGGAAGCTCGTACCGAAACTCAGATATTGGGCATCTCTGATGATGGAACACAGATACATGTTGAAGAGGTACCCACTATCGATGAGCAATGTGTGATCAACATTGAAGGGCAGCATTTCTCAGCGGTTGCTGTTGATGGTCCGGTCATCACACTTTCGGCTGCGATTGAATCTGATCACCCAGAAGTTGCACATATTACTCGGCATTTTTCAACGGTGGAGCAAATTCAAGGGCATCTTGCAGAGTTTTGGCATGAACGATGGTGGAAGTCTCCCCCATCTGAATCGGACTGGCAGCGAATCTTCCAGTTTGGTGAAGCATACCTTCAACCCAGAGCTGAGCAGCATGAGAATCTCACAGTTGGCCAGTGGAAAGAAGCTAATAAGAGATACAAGGTGTCCGCTGCCAGAGGACCTGATGGTTATGCACGTCGAGACCTACAATGGATGCCAGAGGTCTTTCAGGACAATTTGGTCCAGCAGATGAACCACTGGGAAGCAATTGGTGAATTTCCAGAAGCCCTATGTACTGGTTTTGTGCACCCGCTGCCCAAACGGGATGACTCTGTGCTTGTGGGTGACTTTCGACCAGTAATCATCTACAGTATGATTTACAGGAGCTGGGCCTCGCTCAGGGCAAAGCAGATCCTGGGGCTACTTTCTCAATGTGCTGGACGTCACCAGTTTGGTTTCTTGCAAAACAAAGAAGGAGCTGAAATTTGGATGTTAATCCAGGCCACCATTGAAGAATCCATCTTGACGCAGAAGCCACTGGCAGGCTATGTCTCTGATATTGAGAAAGCCTTTGAGGGCCTACCAAGAAAACCTTTGCTTTGGCTTGGGCAGCGCTTAGGAGCTTCCAAGAAGGTGTTGAAACTTTGGGACTTCTTTCTCAGTCACATGTCAAGGCGCTTCTTGCTTTCCAATGAGGTGGGCCCTCCCCTCTTCTCCAATACTGGAGTTCCAGAAGGTTGTGCCATGTCATGTGCGGCCATGGCTATTGCCAATGTAGTCTTCCACAAGTACATGGACTTGTATGCCCGTGTCACATCCCTCAGCTTTGTGGACAACCTAGAGCTTCTTAGTCGTTGCACCTCTAACCTTCATGATGGCATTCTCAAGATGCAGGCATGGTCAGACATGTGGGCTTTGAAACTTGATGAGAAGAAGAGCTATGCGTGGGCCAGCACTCCCTCTCTTCGTGCGCAATGCAAGCAGATCAACGTAGAGGTTAAGATGCATGCAAAAGACTTGGGAGCACCTATGACTTATGGCAGCAAACACAGTGTGGCGGAGCAACTGGACAGAATCAAAGCTTTGAAACCTCTTTGGCTATTGCTGAGGAGGATGGCTGTCTCTCTTTGGATGAAACAGAAGATTCTCATTCAAGCGTTCTGGCCACGTGCGTACTATGGCAGTGCCATTTGCTGTATGAGCTGGACACATACCAAGCAATTGCGGACAGAAGCCATGCGAGCTCTGAAAGCAAATCGAGGAGGAGCCAATCCTGGTATGAGACTTGCAATCCTTTGTCAGCCACAAACGGACCCAGGCTATTTTCATTTTTGGCAAGTTTTGCTCACATTCAAGCGGATCTGCTGCAAACAGCCAGGGTTTGTTCAACTTTGGAGTGCCTTCATGGGTAGTTATCAAGGCGTGCCTTCCTATGGTCCTTTTGGCAAACTTCTGGAAATTTGTGCTCAGGTAGGATGGCAGATTGAACCACCCATGCTGGTTGACCATGATGGAGTAGCCTTCAATTTACTGCTTGTTGGACAGAAGCGACTTGAAGATTTAGCGATTGATGCGTGGCGTCAAGGTGTAGCAGCGGCCTTTAGCAAACGCAAAGATGTCACAGATCTTCAAGGAATTGACTGGCGAGTGCTGGACAAAGTGCACAAAACTCTGCCACCCTTCAAGCGTGAAGCGATCCATGTTTTACAAGATGGGACTTTTGTGGAAAGGCGCATTCACAGCAAGTATGATCTCACCAAAGATGGCAGGTGCACCAAGTGTGGTCACGAGGATTCCATCCTACATAGATGCAGATTCTGCCCAGCTACTCGCAGTGTGCGAGAACAATTTCCCCACCTGATGCAAATTTGGGATCATCTCCCTCAAGCTTTCACACTCCGGCTTTTGCCTTCGCGGAATCCGTTTGAGATGCAGTACAAGCAGCATCTTGCACAAACAGAAGCCAAGTGCATTGGACTCAAGATGTTGAGTCCCAAGGCTCAACCGGACCTTTTTACAGATGGTTCTTGCATTGACCCTCTTCATCCATGGGGAGCTGCAGCAGCCTGGTCGGTAGTGAGTGCCTCTCATGACAAAGTGGTCGCCAAGGGCACGGTTGCTGGATGGCAACAAACCAGTGACAGAGCAGAGGTGATTGCCATCCGAGAGGCAATCAAATATGCCATCATCAACCCAGGATGCACCACAATTTGGTCAGACAGTGCTTATGCAGCTGGAGGTGTAGTAAGGCTTCTGCAGAATATAGAAGATGTGCCAAGTGATGCTCATGCGGATGTGTGGGAAGAACTACAAGTTCTTCTTCATGGACATGATGGAAGGATTCAGATTCAACATGTCAGCTCGCACCGAGGGTCAGATCGACTGTTGATGGATGTGGACAGTTGGACAGCCTATTGGAATGCTCGTGCAGACCATGAAGCCGTGATGGCCCATTCATTGAGGGCATTTGAGTTGGAGACATCGCGCAAGCAGATGCTGGACCATTTTCATCGACAAATTGAAACACTGAAACAACTTGCGGACTTCCACTTTATGATTGCGGAGACCTTTCACGCCAAGGACCCCGAGAATGAAGAAGAGAGCAGGCTTGTGATGTTGATGAAGGGCTGTATGGTCCGCGACTTTGTGCACATAATGTTCCATGGCAACGAGTATTACCAGAACTTCCGGGGGATGACCTTGGAGCGATTCGAATGATTGGCAAGTTTGGGTATGTTTTCACGAAAGACCTTTTTGATTGGCTCAGGGGTGAGACACTTGCGGAGGATGCGGTTACCTTTAAAGTGTCGCTTGTTGAGCTGGCAATTCATTTTGGTCTTGGAAAGGTGATCACCAGACTGCCAATGCCTGACCTGAAAGAGAAAAATCGATGGGTTGACCCACAAGTCCTTCCTGCGGCTTCTGTGGGCAAGCAGACGGTGGCAGCGATTTTGAAGCTTCTTCGAAATTTTTTCCTGTCATTGGATGAATGTTTTGATTTTGAAATCCAGTGGATTGAATGTCTTGATTTGACAACCATTGGTGTCGCACCTCCACAGAGAGGTGTGGTTCTTCGGCTAGGCTGCAACACCGTCAAAACGATGGGACAGCAGTTAGCGGCTTTTGCACTGAAGCGACCAATACGGAAGGCTGGAGATCTTTCTAGACCTGTCCAATAGAGCGCGCGCTGACCGTAACGGTCACTGCTCGCTGTGACCTTACGACTCCCAGAGCGTCCGCGCGTGTTAATAAAAAATAATTCAGGGGAAAGCAACCAACATACAGCGGACAATGAGATATAGCTTTTTGATGTGTTTTTTTAAACAAGGAATTCTGGGGATATCCTGGAGATGATGAATCTGTGAGAAATATTGTACTGGAGCCGTGGTCGATACCTAGTCCCTGACCTTCCTTAACGTCGACTTCGTAGGAGGCGTTGATCCACCATCCTTGGACTAAAACAACAAGTTTCAAAGGAACATCCGAAATCCCATGGTCTGTCATCATGTTCATTCATTTTCCCCACGATTGCTGTGGTATCCTCCATTTTGAGACACATCCAAAACGTTGATGTCGTCTCGGAGAGATCCAGCTATAGCTAAGTCAGCTAAGCATCGCAAGGAGTCCATGGCTTCATAGTCTGTGTCAGGCTTTTCACCTCCACATGACACAGCTGACAATCAGGAACATCTTGCAGCTTACAAATCTTACGGGTTACAATAGGTTGGAATGGGTTGCAATGGTCAAACAACATTCCTCAACTAGAAGCAGGCAGTGCCCATTCCAGCATCGAGGCAGTGCCTGTCCATGCCAGCAACGATGCCACATCCTGGAGTACAGGTCCGTCTGGCCGGAAGAAAAAAACCATGAAAAGACATTGTTTTTCAAATTCATGGTGTACAGTGTATCACTCCCAAATAGTGAGATGAGATCTATGAAACACATCTGTGATTGCAATCATGTCTCAGGTTATATTCTGTAAGGTCCTGTGGTTTGTACTGAAGAAATACTCACTAAAGTCACTAGAGGTAACATGTGTGCCAGCTGGTCTTGGCAGCCTTGGCATGAAGCTTGCACAATGACCTAGGTCTTCTCCAACCTCTCGTGGTATACTTGCAGCAGGATTGTGCAAACATAAATGCAACCCATCGAAGAACTTCATGTGCAAAGCTGCATGCTCAGTCCTTTCTTGCTTGGCAAGAGGGCTCCAAATCCTTTCCAGGCAGCACAAATTGCAGACTTTGAGGAAGTTTCTGAGGAATTCCAGAGCATGTTCAGCGCAAATGCACAAACATGGACACTTTTGTTGGACAATTTGCGCAAAGCATGAAGCCAGCTATGACTCCTCAATCAACTTGACAATGGATGGAGGAAGTGGACGGATTTGCCTGAGAAACGTAAACAAAAAATGTCACCATGAAGCATTTTTGCCTGGGACTCTTCCAATTTTCGCCCATTCTGGGGGTAGTTTCGGTTGAATTCCCAGTGCCCAGCTAGGCATCCAGGCTCCCATGCCGCAGTCGTTGTGAGTTGAGACAACTGTGACCACTGAGGCGAAAAGGCCACACTGCGGCAGTCCAACCAGTCAGCTGCACCTGAGACTTCTACCGGAGCGATTTGATGCTTCTGTGCTGATGAATTCTATATTTTTCGGAAAAAAATCAGGACAATCTCCCATGTTTGGGACATTGTTGTTTATGACTTTCACCACTACATTGGATACATCTCCATGTTTGATGATCAATCCTAGCTTTCCTCCATGTTTCATCACAATTTTGGATGAAACCACTGGATAATGTGATGGACACATTCCCGGCCTCTCGCTTGTGCAGCCGGCAGTAGGGCCAAGGACGCCCGAATCATTCGGGGTCTCATTCCAAGGCCAGTCTCGTTGGGTCTTCGTTTAGGAACAAAAAACTGAGAAAACCCTAGGTTTTACCATGTTTTACCCTATAGGTTTTACCATGAAACATCTGCGTTCAAGCTTCAACGTTCCCTTTATCCCTGGGAGAATCACTTCAACCACCACAAGATGACACTGGGGTCGTTGACAAGATCTGGATGGAGCTGGAACACTTGGTCTGGTGTGTTACTTCACAGTTTTGGAGTAACGCTGCGAACACAAGTGCAGATGAGTGTGGTGGATGAGTCAGGATGGCGACAGTTCAATCTTGCTATGATTTGGCGCCCAGGTCATGAGACATTCTGGCATGCCGTGTGTTCCCTGGGTTGCCTCATTGAACTGAATTGTTATGATTCATTTCATTTCCATTCGTTTACTCCATTTTTCAATGGCACAATGATAACATATGATAAACATCTGTGTGAAAAAAAAGCGACTACAGTACCCCCAAATGCCGAAGAATGCACACAGTGCACCTTTTTTCCCCCTACAATGCGAGGCTCCTCTCTTCATCGTCACGGTCCTGGGCACGGTGCAAATGAGCTTGCTGTGGGTTTGGTACCTGAAAATCGGGGGTTCCCCTTGCAGCCGACATCAAAATGCTGGGCTATCCATGGGCATCGCTGGTCGGGTGTGCCGAGCATCCAGAGGATTCTGCACCTTGATGCCAATCACAAGGTCCTGGTGAAGCTGCTCAGCCGTCCATCAGTTGATCAACAGCTGCAGCAAGCTGCAAATCTCCTCCTCCTCTAATTGCTCATTGATGCGACAGAACTCTGGCCTGGATCCGGCAGTCAAATGCGGGACTGTAGATTGCCTGCTTCGGAAATGCTGTGAAGTTGAGTGACTTAAGCCGCCCTGAAGCACTGGGCATCTACAGTCCATCGCTCAAAATTAGTATATCATATTATGTATATATATATATCATATCATAAAAGGTGCCCGGTGCCCTGCTGAAGCTAAGTCCTCAACAATCCCTTCGCCGAATTTCCGTCAAGCTCGGTCCGACTTGGGCCCTAAGACATCTGACATGCTGAAGTGAAAGGCAGTGAAAGGGATTAAAAAACTCAAATCGGGTCCCAGTAATTTGGGTTTGCCCAAAGCTAAAGGTAACTATTTAGCTATCAATAGATCCAACACTAAACCAGGGTTCTAAGGGTGATATTTACATATATTTACATATATATTTACATATTATATTATATTTACTATTTTTAATAGAGGGAAGGGATTTTTTTTTGCCATTTTCGGCATGGCAACTGGCCGCTGAGATATGCTGAGATTCCGGACTCTTGTGGCGGAGCCCACGGACAGTGTGAGATTCAAAGTGTATTTGCCACCCGGGCTCCTCATCTAACCATTCTGCCACGGAATGGCCATAATTTGGGCATCCCCCAGGTGCCAAAAAAAACCAGCAGTGCTGCATCTTGGGAGATGAAGGTGCAACTCTTTACACGACAACCTGAAAACTTTGCACTGCCGCAATCAAACATGGCTTGCTGATGCTGGAAACTCCCCATAGTTCGATGCCTTTCCCATTAAAACATCATTAAAACCATATTAAACCTCCATTAATCCACATTAAACATCCGTACAATGCAAGATGAACAGTACAGCCACGGCCATTAAAGGGCAGTCCTCACATAGAGACCACAGTAGCCATTTTTGCTGCCCTCCAGGCCGTTGGGATAGAACCTTGGCGCGCTGGGGCCCTGGGGCCCCTTTTAATGATGTGCTTGGGATGTTGTTATGATATGATGGCTAGATATGGCTAGGAAATGAATGGCATATGATGGATAAATGTGATATATGCCAAAATTTCAACATATAACGAAGAGTAGGATATGATGGATATGAGCTTAAGAGTTATATCAACTTATATCATGTTCTATCCATTTATATATATATCCGCCTAAAAAAACGCATATCCCCACTATATCCACTTCTCCCGCAGCCCAGGTGCTCGATGTGCATATTTCGCACGGCTGCGATAGAGAAGGATGGGCTGCAAACATACTGCCCTCGTGACACCTGGGGGGGAAACCCACGGGATCACCAGCACCCACTTGTTTGATATCTGATATTTGGGTATGAAAATGGAGCGAATCGATGAATTAATCGATGTCCATTTTGATGGATAAAAGTACCCATGACGGATCCATGGTGCTGCTATATATGGTAACATGGATCCCATCAATATATCCCCAATGTTAGCATATATACCATACATGGATCCTATGGGGTATGGTGAAATGACGATCGACTCCATGAGATTTCATGACAATCTGCATCTCGCATTCGCTGCCGGATGTTGCGGACAGTCCATTCCACCTGAAGGTGAAGAGTGAACATCTCCATGTCTAGCAGGAAACATTGACAATGTGTGAAGAGGTCCCCTCAAATAGGTATTTTGATAGAGCAAATAATGATGAAACATGGATTTAGAGTCTAGAGGCACGAATTCATGTATTTTCTGACAAAAAATCCGCATGTGCACGGCATGTGGCCATTTTCATCCCAGTTGCGGTGTCGAGGTCGCGGTTCCTGATTACCGCAGCCTGGCTTTTTCGCGTTGGAAGCATCCCCGGGCACATCCTCAACAGAACTAGCCTCTGGGAATCTATAAATGGCTGGAAAATCCCCAACAAAATTATCTATCCCATATGCTCCATGGTGCTGGAATATTTATCAACATTTGCCCGAACAAAATCACCCAGTTTTGTAGGTTTTTATATACCAGCACCATGGTTCGCATATGGCTATAAATTTTGTGTTTTTTTCATGGGATCATCGAACTCTGGTGGAGATGAGACTTTCCAAAAGGGCCTCCAACTTCAGAGGTTGAGAAATGCCTTGATTGATCAGCCTGGGCACATTTCATGTCGACACGACGAAGGCTTCTGTGAAGAGTGTAGAAAAATGACTCTGGCAGTCGAAGAAATGGCTCATGTCATTCATACGTTCCTCCATATGTTCCCTGCAATCCGACTTTTTTGAATCACATTTTATCTTCAAATAATGGATATGGGGTCGTCCCCAAACCATGCCCTGGTTGAAAACCTCAGATTCCACATGAAAACGGCAAGGTTCATGACAAACATCCCCTGGGTTTGTCTGAAAGGATACTCCATTCCATCTCTGGTTCATCAGTTTAACCTCAACTGCCGTTTTTGAAGCAAATGCGCTATTTTGTCGACTGTCTATATCCTGTTATATCCCGAATTACATCATTTACAGATGATTTTCCCATGAAAAATCCCCATGAATCCGGGCCAAACGCCTCAATCCATCGCCTAAGTCCTCCGTCACAGTGACCTCAAGGATCTCCACACCTGTGACGGGATGGACCTATGGTTAGCAAGAATGGACTATTCATCTGGTTGGTGGTATACCAACCCCTCTGAAAAATATGAAAGTCAATGGGAAGGATGACATCCCATATTATGGAAAATAAAAATGTTTGAAACCACCAACCAGTTTCTATAGTCGTCCTGGAGTTGGACTTGTCCAAAAACATCACAATCCATATTGAGAATTGGAATCCATAGAATAAGACATATCAATAAGACATATGATATATCTTATGGAAGTATAGATGAATATGGAATCCATAGAAATATCTTGGAGAATTCCATATTCATCTATACTTCAGGAATCTTGATGATTATAGAAATATACAGGGGTAGACATATCAGATGATATATAGCTATGTGAACACCGAGGCCTTCCAATGTGAGATGACATCATCCAAAATGCATCGTTTGGTGCAAACACCAATGGTGGAAAGGGCTACCCATGAGACAAACCAAGTGCCATTAATGGTGGTTAAGGTGGTTAATGGTGATTAATGATGGTTAATGGTGGTTAATTATCTGCTTGGTGGTTGAGCCACCTACCCCTCTGAAAAATGATGGAGTGAGTTCGTCAGTTGGGATGATTTTCCATTCCCAACTGAATGGAAAGTCATAAAATTCCATGGTTCCAAACATTTCCAAACCACCAACCAGATATGGTCCTTGATGTCCTTCATTCGTAGCCCAAGACTCAGAACAAATCGCTGAGATCCCAGACGAATGACCAGTGAATCCTTCTCAATCTGGGCCTCCAAATTAGACGGCACGGCAGCCGTAATCTCTGTGCGCAAGAATGGACTCTCGGAAGATGTCGGAGAAAGAACCACATTAGCAACACAAAGCGTCAGAAACGCACTTGTTTGACATCAAATGCATGGTTTGATCTGCAAAGCCGATTTCGACACCTGCAAAGAAATGTCCGCCACTCGAAGATTGATTGTTGGATCAAGAAGCATCATTAACTTTCCTACTCTTCAGTCCTAGTTCTTTTCCATGCATTTTTTTCTTGTTGTTTGGGAGGATGCAGAACCCATTTCTTGCAGCATAGCGTATTCATTCGCAGCAGTCATTGCTGGATGTTCCTCCTTGGAACAGTCCTACATGTGCCATGCCACTCGCAGCTTGAGAATGGCCAGCCGACATACACGGGACATCACGGTGCCTATGTAGGTCACATCAAGTCACAATGCTTTCGCAAAACTCTTGCCATCCTCCACCAAATGGGAGGAAAGCAAGAGAAGAATCACAAACGACATCTAATTGTGATGCTTCCACTGCCAACGGTGCTGTGAAGTCATGTGCACCCTGTGATCTTTGGAATGCGAATCTGTGCTTCCAACTCAACCGTGTATAGCCAGAATGGGAGAAAGGGAAACCAAATTCAAGTCTCAAATATCGGTTCATTGTGGCCTTAGCGAAAGCTCCTATAAAAATCGTGCTTCTAGTGTGCCCACTGAAGAGCCAGGAATTCAAACAAAACTAGAATGTAACTTACAAGAATCAAACAGCTCGAACTATTCTTGGAGTGCTTTTTGTACGGTACCGTATCATGTTGTATCTGTTTTTTCACAGTATTCTGATCTGAGAGTTGCTTAAACAGCCTTTTTCACAATGCCAACATCTGGTTTGGGCTCGACAGCGGCACGGCTGGCGCTGTGGCGCTTAGCTGTCATCTTTCATTTTCATAATCTCTTCCAAATCGATTGTGGAGCACTCTGACCTGAGCCGATGAGCCCCTGGAGCTGAGCCCGGCTGCTTGGTTCAACGGTGAACCGCAAAAATGAGAAGCCCAGCAATAGACAAAGGGTAGCACCACCCCTTATAGAAATCTCGGAAATATGGTGATCATTGGTGATCTGGTGATTGGGATTTTGTGAGCCGAACATTTATGGTACACTCCACGTAACAACATACGTCATTAGTGGTACGCGAGCTATGAGAGCTGAGCGGCGCAAAAGGATTGTCATCTTTCAAGAAAAGCATACAATGACATTCATGTCGTTCTCTCATCGGAACCTCAGTGCAATTTGGGGAATTTGGCAACACAGTCCAGACTTGGCAAAGAAGTGTGAGGAACCATGCCCACATTTTCTTTATCTTTCAATTTTCCTTAAAGACACCCAATATGTGGCCACAGCATGCCACAGGATTGGCAAATATGTAGGATTATGTAGGAACAGAAAAACGAACGCTTGCACGTGCGAAAGTGCTTTAGGGTCAGGGTGTCAAGTGTTCTTTGTAATGAGCCCCAGTGTTGGTGTGCCATGTGTTTTGAAGCATTCTTCAATTTTGCTTCCCCAGACAAACCGTCAGTTGCACACAGGAGATAAAACATCGATTCCACAACTAAGAGCCGAGCGCATGGGCAGTTCCAATAGCCATTCTTCACCTAGCCCAAAGACACTCAGCTACATCGGTCTGCAAAGAAAGGACTTTCAATGCTTTCAGGAAACGTTCAGGTGCTGGACACGGCACCTCGAGCTCTTTGTTCTCGTAATGGCGACATGGGCACAGTGGTGCACCCAGGGTCTCCTTTTTTCGAGCACAGCTCCGTGACAGCTCCGTGCTCCGCTCCGTGACAGCTCCGTGCCTTGTGAAGTGCCAGACCAACGATGACCACCGCTGGCACCGACTTGTCTTCGCAGTACTTGGTCTTCGTCACCTCCCAGCACAGCAATAGACAGCACGACCACAGCACCACCGACAGGCCGGGCCAACAATGGCTAAAACATGCTAAAACCACATGCATCTTGGGAGTTCTTTCAATTTTTACCGAAAAAATATCTCAAAACTATATCAAAATGATCATCGAGAATAGACCATATTACACCTGACCGTTTCGGCGGCGCCTTCGCATACTGATTTGAAAACTTCATCATCGTCTCGATGGTCTTCCTAGGCGCACCCCCAGCTCCAGGCCCTGCGAGATTTACCCGTATCAGGGCCGTCAAAAAAGACATGTTTCAATGGGGAAAATATGGGGAAAATATGCGGAAAATATGGGGAAAATATGGGGAAAATGATGAGAAACCCAAATTTGATGGTCATTTTTGCCATGGGCATTCATGGGGATATGGATGGAGAGCCTAAATTGTTCATAGACCTTCTACAAAACAGGCATCCCTAAATCTCACCCATGCCATGATGCCATGATGCCATGATGCCATGATGCCATGATGCCATGATGCCATGATGCCATGATGCCATGATGCCATGATGCCATGATGCCATGATGCCATGATGCCATGATGCTATTGCCTTTCTTTACATTTCGTCACTTGGCGCATTTTGCAAACTCCCAAGGCTCTCAGATGGCTCCAAATGCTTCTCGTCTTCCTGCGCGGCTGCTAGGATTCCTTCACCATCCACATGTTAGGAGTCGAATCTAGTTTTTGCTGACCATTTTTTTTGAACCTTTCCATATTCAGGAGTTGTTTTGTTTGTTGTCTCTGGATTGAAGCGAAATCGTACACATTTTCCACGTTTTGACAAGTTTTTTCGCATGAAATATGAGGAGGTTCCTGTTTTAACTCGTCCTGAAAACCAATTTTCACGCCCGTTTTCGCGAAAACTCGTCCCGAGTCGTGGTCCTTTGCCCGACACCCAGATGGCGATCGAAACCGTCTCGACCTGTCTTCAGGACGCTCTTTCATGTTACATTTAATGAACACATATAAAAACAACATATAATGTATCATTAATGTATCAATAAGAGTAATGGATAAACAAACATTTAAAAACAACATCATGAATCCAAATGTATCAATAAATCCGACGATTTTTTGCTGCGGTTCCATGCTTCGGCCTCACCCAGCGATCCGCAACTGCCGTGGCCGCAAGTGTGGCCAAGGTGGCTACCACCGTTGATGCTCCTACGGGGTCACCGCCAAAAATGTGATTTGCAAAAAGAAATACCCTCTGGTAATTTAACATAGCTATTGAAAATGACCATAGAAATAGTGGATTTTGCCATTGAAAATGGTGATTTTCCATAGCTATGTTAAATTACCAGAGGGTAACCGATTTGGATTTTGGATAGATGATGATAGATGATACATTTAGAATCAAATAAAGATCAATAGACCATCGATCTGGAGTTTTTCTTTCTGACATTTTAAATACCTCTTTTGGCAACCAGACCTGAGCTCAAAGGGGGCGAAACCCCGTTTATCCCGTGGTTTATCATCAGCTTCACTAAAATTGACATAGTGATGCCATAATGATCTTGGCTTTGATACCAACACCCATAAAAATCATTAAAAACCTAAATATCAATATCAATCATATGGCGAAGTGGATCCAAAACCCTGTGATACCCTCTAGTCCACATCAAAATAGCTGAGATTTAGGGATGTCCATCCACCCAGTCATCTGGTATTTTTGCTTTTGATCCATCCAAATCTCTTGAAGTCAGAAGGGTCACAACATGTCGCAACCGTTTCTGTGGAACGACAGGTCCTGTTCGGTACGGTGCCATCTGCACCGTGCATCTGAACAGCGGGGTTGAGTTGAGATGGTTGCTGTGCGCTGGTCGCTCTCATGGGATGTTTCTTCCTACACAATTTTACGGCCATCAAATAATAGGGAATGCTAGGAACATGATGGTTTCATCACATTCATCACATGACTAGCTGCTTTCAAATTAGAATGAATCCAACATGGGATGAACTGAGATTCCAGAATTTTGAGGTAACCTTTGCGGTACAAACTTCGAACTGGGAGGACTCAGTCTCATTTCGTTAAGGTAGGTGGGGAAAACCAATGTGACTTCCAGACCTGCAGTCCCAACTGATTTCACATCATGCCACATCCAATAAAGTTATTCAGAACAGTGTAGCAAGCTCCAAAAAGAGAAGTAGAATTGTTGTTGAAACCTAGATCAATTCAACCTTTTCTTGAGTTTTCTATTGGTTTTCTAGTGGTTTTCCTTGGGTTTTCCATCATTTCAATCTGGGGAAACTTTTCGTCTCGGTACCGAGCCTTTGGAGTGGCCACGGCGCATGGCCCGCATGGCCAGCCCCCGGTGCCACGCTCAGCGGCACGCTCTGCATGTTCTCTACCTGGGCAAAGCGGCCACCGCATGGGCATGGTGATGCCTCTAGGGTTCAATACATTTAATATATATATCTATATAACAATAATAGAGTACTATGTATATGTATAAATCAGGAAAAATAAATAAATAGATAAACAATAAATAAATGAATAATAAATAAATAAATAAATAAATAGATAGATAGATAGATAAATATAATATACAGGTATGCTCAACCTTTTGACCCCAAAGCTCTGCACATCCACGTCGGGTAAAATCACAAAATATCAGACTGAGCAGCTGACGGCTCGACTGGCAGAAGATAGTGAAAGTGAGCCAAATTCACGGATTTCAGGGTGCGATCTAGGCTTTCTGCAAGGAATGAACACTGGCAGGTGCACAGGTCGATGCCAACATGTCCTAAGCCGTGATAAACGCGAGAGAAAATGGCAGCCTCGAGGTTGCAGAAGTTGGAATGGCCATGTCCCATCCTCAGCAACTTGCTGCATTTGCATCAATATCATCAATATCATCAATGATTATCAATGTATATCAATCTTAATTATCCATGTCCATTCATTTCCATATCATTCATTTATATCAATTTTAGATAAACCATTATATCATTAGAATATATAATGAACCATCATATTTATATCATATTTATATCATATTTATATCATATTTATATCATATTTATATCATGTTTATATCATGTTTATATCATTATTCTAAATATGATCACATGTATATAAATGTATATCAATCTTAATTGTCCATGTCCATTCATTTATATCATGTTTATATCAATTTTAGATAAACCATTATATCATTAGAATATATATATATGGTTTAAACCATCATGTTAGAACTATTATATTCATATATATCAATGTTAGATAACCATTATATATAATATAAACCATCATATTTAGATCACTTAACTTACAATTGGAGCTTTGCATCTCGATGATTTGTCGGATCTGAGATTGGCTCCATCGGTCGAAGAAATCCTCATCCCAGGTGGAGTGATTCCCCACCTGCAATCTGTACCTGGAAGTCGGAAGGAACATCATCTGCTTGATAATCCCATGAAAATAATGGTTAATAATGGTTAATCATGGTTAATAATGGCTAATAATGGTTAATGATTGTTAATAATCATCTTGGAACATCATCTTGGAACATCATCATGGTTAATAATTGTTAATTAAATGGTTAATAACTCCAACATACTGGTGATATACTGTATGGCTTTATCAATAGGGGATGCCTATTTACCCAGTGGTTCATCATCATCTGGTTGGTGGTTGAGCCTACCCCTCTGAAAAATATGAAAGTCAGTTGGGATTATTGTTCCCAATATATGGGAAAATAAAAAACGTTCCAAACCAACAACCAGTTATTGAAAGATACGTCAACCATCCATGGAACATATATATATATATATATCAAATATTGTAAGATTCCCATAACATATTGGAACATATTGGAGCACCCAACTTCATAGATGTCCCAGAGAATCTTGACATTTCCGCCTTGCCCACCCTTGTGAATTGATTCAATGGCTATTGCGGCCCCAATGCTCTGCAGATTCTACGAGCGCACTTCAAGCGCACATTGCCAGGGGCCCAAAGGAACAAGGCACAAAAGCCGGACTGGGAGTTCTCACGTCCTCCAAATCAGCACATGTAAACTGGGCGGTTGATTAGTGGGTATATTCTATGACCACTATAGCTCGGACTGCTGTCAGTAGCACTATAATATTACCACTCATTGGACTCATTCCTTATGCCTGATACTTTAAATGTCGCCTCAATAATAATCGGATCCTCAGTGACGCTTGACACTTCAGGACATCACATGTCGTATTCAGCAGATTGACATCATTTCCTAATTTCCAACAACAGCATGGCAAATTTTCCAGAGTCTAACTTAGCTTACGTTTTCTTCAGGGAGAACAGATTCAAATCTAACCATCACTCAACATTCGGGATATTATCTCCAACGGCAATCCAGTGGTTGAACAATGGTGATGGTTGAAAAGTTTAACACATCCCAAAACTGGATGCTTACGGACATTTACCAACCATTTACCAACCATTTACCAACCATTTACCAACCATTTACCAACCATTTACCAACCATTTACCAACCATTTACCAACCATTTACCAACCATTTACCAACCATTTACCAACCATTTACCAACCATTTACCCCGGTTGCATGATCTGCGGGCCGCACAACCTCTCGTCGAAACCTCGGAAAGTCCTTGTGGAAAGAACTCCAGCTGCATCTCAGCGATGCCACTCGCTGAGAAAGGACCCGACCTGGTCGATGTCAATTGCTGTCAGAGTATGTGAGGGTGTATCAATTTTCCAACTAATGGGTGTAGCAATTTTGAACTGCTGGGTCATCTCACTTCTTCTTACCATGTTTATTGTTAAACGAAGTAAACGAGTTGTGTAATTCAGCTCACTGCATCTAACTATTCGTGAGTCCTTTCTACTTTTGTTAGGCAAAGATGACTGAATTTCAAAGCCATCAATGGTATCTGCAACCGATTTGTATGTGTTCAACGCAACACCGTGGCAGATCTTCGAGGAGCAGACCACATACTCTGACCTCGCTCAACTGTCCTGACATCTTGTTTGCAGTTGGGCAGTCGCCACTCTACTCGCCTGGCGTGATTGGCATGACTGGCCTGAATCATGCCAGCCCGGAAAATTCAGCGAAGCAGATCGGTGTGAGTGAACATGCGTTGTTTATCATTTTTGAGGAGATGTGTGCAGTGGATTTGCTGTGTACTATGAACCCGACTAGTACGTCAATATGTCATGAGTCATGACACATCGCAAATATACAGCCAAAATACAATTGTGAAAATGCTTCAGAATGCTTCTCCCTTCTCTGCCATGGCATGCACAGTGGCCCATGCCTGACAAAGGTGGAATCGATACCTGGCACGTACTGTCGACGTACTGCTGCGCACTGTGTGCACTGTGAACTTTCAAATCTTTCAAAGTGCAATTTTTACGCATGATAAATTAAGCAATCTGTGGTCACCAACCATTCTCCAACCATTCACCAACCATTCACCAACCATTCTCCAACCATTCTCCAAGCATTCTCCAACCATTCTCCAAGCATTCGATGAAAACTCGGTACTGGACTTGGTGGCTGCACAGCTTGCTTTGAGCGTCCTGAGTTCTGACGAACTTGGACGACATCCATGGGCATCCCGTTCAGGTCATCTGTTAATCGACGACTTGAAGCGACAGCGAGTCTATAGGATCCATGGTGCTGGTATATATGCTAACATAAAGGGGGTATATTGATGGGATCCATGTTACCATATATAGCATACATGGATCCTATGGGTGAAATAAAATAAGATTCATGAGATTGGCACAATCAGCATCTAAGCTTGAAACGATCGAGGACTGCTTTGAGCCTCTCTTGTAAAAGCCTCACCTGTTGAACAATTGCCGGCATCGTCAATGAGGTAAAGCCACTGCCATAAACCATCCCCAAGTCATCCAAGCCCCCAATAGAGGTGTATGAACCAAAGGTTATCATAAAGCCATTGGTCATTACCCATTGTTCATCATGAAACCACTTTAACCACTTGAACCATGGTATGCTTCATGATGGCATCACTTTCCCAATCGCAACTCCGTTGAAAACAACGGCCGCCTCATCATTGAGCCTGGCACCACCACCAGTCATGTCCCGATGGGTACATAGTAATATTGGCAAATAGTAATTCACTAAACCTCGAATATTCGGATAGTTACCCGGTGTTACCCCAATCCAATTCCTATCCTTTGCACCGACCCAATGAATCATGATAATGAGGGATATTCGCAGATGCAGATGACCATGATAATCATATATAAAATATATAATCTGTAATGTATATATACCCTCCAGTAAATTAACATAGACCCTGGCAGTCATCGGGGTTGGAAGATTAGTTTCCACTAGAAAATTGTTATTTTCAGGGTCAAACTGTTAATTTACCAGGGGGTAATGTATATATACTTTTCAATGATCATATATAATCATGATAATCATATATAGTCATGTAATGTATATATACTTTTCAAATTTTCAGGAGAATTCTCAATTTTTCACATTCTTTTCACATTCCGCCTCTTCAGCTCCTTGCCGTGGCGTTCGGATTGATCTGCCAACTCCTGTTGAAGCACCTTGACCTGGCCGCGAAAATGGCAGAGCCTCTGTGGTGGTAAAACATGTTGGTAAAACATGTTGGTAAAAATGGTGGTAAAATGGTGGTAAATCCAACATGTTTTGCCAATGGTAAAAATAGATCCAAATGTCTTACCGAAATAGATCGAAATCGTGGTAAATCCATGGTAAATCCATGGTAAATCCATGGTAAATGGAAGTGAACGCATGGTTTTTGTCATGGCAAATCATGGTAAATAGCTGGTAACTGTCTGGGAAACACGTGGTTTTTCTGCGACAGTTTGTCATTGGTCATTGTGTGTCATCCTTTGTTCTGTTGGAATTGTTCCACGTATAACGCCACAAAAAACCATTGCCAACATACTGAGATACATATTGGAACATCATCTGGTTGATCATCCCATGAAAATAATGGTTAATAATTGTTGATAATGGTTAATAATTCCAACATACTGGTGATACTGCATGGCTTTGTCAATAGGGGATGGTTTGTCATTTACCCCGGTGGTTCATCATGATTTTCCCTTCGTCAGGTCAAAAACGCCAATTTTCAAACGATTGAATCGTTGGTATGTCGCAAATATCACCATCAAATATACCATGATGACTGGATTTACAGGGGCAACATCTTCCATTGTCAAACTAAGACAACATCAAATTGCTGGTTATAGAATGTTATAGATAACATATCCAAAATTCTATCCAGCATTTTCAAAGCACAACCACAATGCCTATAGGTATCCTTCCCCGCCCACGTTTTTCCCTACGAACTGCACCTGGATGTCCTGCATGGCTCCTTTTCGTCTTGAGCAAAGGTTAAGGTCAAGGCGCCAGTAGCTGGTTGAGACTCATAGTCTGGTTGAGACTGTTTGGGCACTATATATAATATATGTTTAACTTACAACTTTGGCTGATTGTAAACAAATTGGCTGATAGATTTCTGGTTTGTGAACATATACCTAGAACACCCAATAAAAAAATGTTTATTGAGAATAAACATCACAAGTGTAGTACGAGTATTCTGGGAATATGCCTTCTTCCAATATTTTGGAACTGGAATACACTGGACTATCATCTGCTTTATTCAATCACTAGGACCAGGAGATTCCTCGCGATGAGAATTCCACTGGTATATCGCTTCTCATCTGCGGTTGACATTGTGCCATTGAATCACAGCGACAACTGCTGAGTTGCCATGTCTGCAATCTTTTTTTCAGGCTCGACGTCAAAGCTATCTCCGCTGAGAGGAAGTCCTGAAGGGCAGCTGCTCTGAATGGACACTTCCGAACGACTTTGTCATAAAAAAGGCAAACTAAATGGGGAGACGATTGGGGATTGAAAACAAAGCCGGCCAGCATGACGATTTTGGGGGTTTGGCTATTTTTCAGACAGCAGATGCCCAATCGCTGGCGACGTCACACGTTCTCAAAATTGTTTGTGGGGTCCCACAAGAGAGAGAAAACATGTTCATTGATATTTTGATGATTTACTTTTCCATCTTTTATATTCTTTTCTGGGACGCCTGTATCTCAAGCTATTCAAGTTCAACGTGCCATCATGTGCCATCACTGCCATCACCTTGACACAACTCAGCACTAAATTCGACTGTACTCAGCACCTTTTGTTCACAGCTAGTCAGCCGTTCAAACAGGCATGGAACAAGGAACAAGCGCAAGGGTCACAAAACCTCGAATGTCTTTTGTCGCATCTTGATCCATCGGTCATAAGCATAGACCACAAGTGAGGTCGACCATTTGAACATGTGAACATGCCACGCAGGAACCCTGCCTGCCGCAGCGAATGTCTGAACACACCTGTGCTCGTGATGCTCATGAATTGACAGGCAAAAATGGTAGGCAAAGAGGCAAACGACGATACACAGTTGAGAGTCGTCTGTGAAAAGTATAGTTTCCACCGACTTCCAAATTCTACTGTAGAACTTATGAATACATCTCTTCTGTTGAAAAGATACACCCCCTACTCATAAATACTGCTTTCTCATGTGGTTGATTTGGGACACCAACAACCAGTCGAATACTAAGCAGTCTTTTCTCATCAAGGATAAAAAATTAGCCCTGGTCTCACTGCGCCGTCTTCAAAACCGGATCCGGCGGCCCGGCGGCGCTCACATTTTTGGTCACGATCCTTTCGTAACAAACAAAGTGGGTGTATCCAAACATTTTCAAAAATTTGGAATATACCCTTCAAATATGCTGAATTCCACATTTTGGCAATCATACAGTACTATTCCCCATGAAAAATTGCCATGTGTTTCCCATCCCTTTTGAGACACACCCAAGTCTTTGTACAAGCTGTGCGCTTCCAGCTCCCGCGATCAGCAGCAAATGGCATTCTCCTTCCGGGCTAAGGCCTGCAAGGATCCAATTGAATCGCAAAAAGAATCCTTATATATATATATATATGTGTATATATATATATGATTGGCATTTTATGGCCAACTCCAGAGCCAGAATTAATCATGTTCCCTCCATTTCTTGGGGGTTTCATGTGCAGCTGTTGCAATTGGTGGAGAGCATATGAGGTGCTCTCCACCATGTTGTCATTGTAAGGGAACAACAAGATCTCTAAACCATTGGATCTGAAGGTTTTTTTTCGAAAGAATCAGAGAAACTCCATGATATCACTCCTATATGGATGGATACCACCATAATATCACCATGAAATGATTGACATATGATTAGCTTTGGGTTTTCCCCGTAAAACGACGGGTTTTTTCCACCAGTGGCGATGCGAGTTAAGTTCCCCCACCTGCTTCTTCTGGGCTTCTCGCAGTTGATGTGCAGCTGCATCAATAGGGTCATGAATCTCCTGATGGAAAGTCATGGGAAACTATGAAAAAACCACCAACGGGAAACCCAAAAAGGTCGACATTTCAAAAAGAGGGGCACAACACTTTTAAATCATAGAAAACCAAACGAAAACTTTCAACATGTTTTTGTCAATTTTCTGAGTCCTGAGAATTCGATCGAAAAATCTGCAAAAAAAAATTGTCAATCGCCAAGTTACAGGTGGCAAATGCTTTTCTTGCCGCTCCATTTCCCGTTGCTCTTCCAGGCGGTTGGTGCCTCAAGTTTTTGTGCATCCCAACTGGCCCATCATTGGCATGTCTATACTTTTTGAGGATCTTTTTGAGGCCTGTAACATGCCTCTAACAGTTAACATTTATATAACATTTACAACAATACCATACAATACCTATACCTACACTGCAGAATTGCTTTGCAAAGTGATATTCGATGCTTTATTGACGCGCCTCCAAAGCCCAGCCAGCTACAGAGCCTCAGAAACGCCGACCAACGACTCGCTTCCCCAATGGTTTTGGGGGTCATTTTAAGAAACCCACATTTGTTACAGATGTTGGCCTGCTACACGTCTTGGTTGCATGAGACAAATAAACAACCTTGAGAAATCACGTAGCAGTTGCTGGCGCTGCATTGTCTGGATAATTATCCATTCTAGATATATTGTTGGCACTAGAGAGTAATAACTACTTCTTCTCAGGGGCACGACACAGGACAGACAGCAAAATCTTCCAACTTGAGTTTGTAAACGAACATGTTCTGAAAAACATCATTTTCTCTATTTTTATAGCCATCAACTTGGGGTTCCCCCCCGACTTCCCATTTTTATCTGGACCAATCCAGGTCGACCCTTTCATGCCTGTCCCTCCAAGAAGCATCATGAAGAAGATCCACACAAACAGTGCGAGGCATGTCAGAACCTTGTCACTGAGCAGCAAATCGCCACGGAGAACAAATCTGCCGTAAGATTCGGGGATTTTCACAGAAAGTGCTGATGCCAAAAAAAACACGTACACATGGACATCAGAAGCTTTCAGCACTTTCACCATGTTCCAATCATCAAGATTTGGCAACACATCTGGATATCACCAGCGAAATCACTGGCGACACCCAAGACTTCGACAATCTCTCCGATGATGTCTGGCGAATGCCCTTGCGTCAACAAGCGCGATGCGCTCCTGCCACTTGGAGATTAGATATGTGTATATATATATTATATTATGTATATATATATATTATGTATATATATTATATATAGAGAGAGAGTATGTGTATATATGTAAATATATGTTTAAATATGATCAAATATGATCAAACCATATTATCAATTCCAAAATGAGATAGAACTAAATTAAAATGGCATACTCAACACAGCATGGCAACCTGCACAGGTCATCAAAACCACCCAAGTCTTCACGTGCAGGTTGCCGGTCCCGAAAATATCTCACTAACTTCACATGCACATCCATGAAATATTACCAAATATGCATATGAAATATCCTATAATATGTTGGTATATTTACATATGTTTATATATATAGGATATTATATTATAGGATATTTCACATGTTGGTATATCCATGAAACAGATCACATACATATTACCAACATCACATTCATCATCACATATCATCACTGAAAAATCACGTTCATCACTTTCCCCAGCTGTCCCACTGATATCATTAAACAACAATCACAATAATGTCAATAACGATCCAATGTTTTGTTTAGTGATACATGACCACGACAGTACTATAACAATATGCCCCCTGATGATCACAATGAATATCATGATTCTGGGATATCTCCTATATTAATCCGTCTTGTTTTCCTAAATAGTGATATCATAAACATCATTAAAATATCACTTAAAACGTACTATAACCACATCTCCAAAATATCTCCAGAATATCTCCAGATTATCTCCAGAATACCCTCTGGTAATTTAACATAGCTATTGAAAATCACCATTTATAGTGAGTTTTCCCATTGAAAATGGTGATTTTCCATAGTTTTTTGTATGTTTACCAGAGGGTATCCCCCCACTTCCCCATATTTCACCCACGTGGTTTGAAACCGCTCCTGCTGAGCAGCAATGCTGCAGACCAGTGCCGCAGAGGTGCCCAGTGATGCTGCGGCTGCCACGGTTTTTGGGATAGATAGGGATAGATAGGGTGATTATATGAAGATATAGGTAAAATGGTGATAACTATATAGGCTGATCTTATAGATGATATGGTGATAGAGGATATCACCTTATAGGCTATATCTTCTCGATAAATGGTGATAAAATGATAAGTGATATAAGATGATAAATGATATAGATAACGAATATATAGGCTGAATTTATGGAGATAGACTGAAATAGAGGATGATAAAAAAAAGGTAAAATGAGCCATTGATGATCTTGATTGGTAGAAAAAATACAGGAATGGTGTTTAAACCCCAAAGCTTCAGTTGTACCAATTCCGGGATTTGGTTGGGGATTTTGCCCGAAACCATGGTGGAAAAAAAAAACATTTTGTGGGAATATAATGAGGAGATATTCATAACCAACGGAGTAATGTAAGCATCATGTAAGCAAAATTGTATGTTGAAGCCACGCACTGATTTACGCCAAAGATAGGGGTTCCAGTTAAAAAAATCCGCTGAATCGTGGGAGACTAAGGTCTTTTCAGCTAAGATTTTTGAGAAGACAATCTAAGAAAGAACGAGTTTAGGTTTGTCTACATACAAGATTTACCCGGCAATTTCCATGGTTTTTTCATGATGTTCTTCACAATGTTTTTTCCTCAACACTTTCAGAACAAGCCACATATCCACATATCATATTGTTGGTAATGAAAATCCCATGATGGATAGAAATCCCATATATATATATATAATATCCATATAGAAATCCCATCAAAAAGCCCCTTTCATATTGTGAGCAAATCAAAGCCATGTTCGTGACGCTGTTCTCGCCTCTTGAAGTGAGGACTTCGCGGCTCCACCAACGGATTCATTGGAATGGAGCTCCTGATCGACTCGGGAAGCAGAAAAACCAACTGTCACAGCGTTGATGGGATAAGAAAATCCTGACCATTTTATGGAAAGATAGAACGGCTTTTCCTCAAACATGTGGGAAAACAAATGGAATTTTCAAATACTTAAATCAAAAAAATGTTAAACACTGCATTTTTCGCATGAAAATAGATATGTCAAGGTACCCTCTGGTAAATGTTAACAAGAAACTATGGAACATCACCATTTTTCATGGGTAAATCAACTATTTCGACTGGGCCATGTTCAATAGCTATGTAAACGTTTACCAGAGGCTATATCGTATTAAATCCCATTCAACCACCATAAAATCCCATTAAATTCCATTAAACCACCATTTTTCATGGGAAAATCACCATGTTTACCGGCGAAATCCCCTAAAAACTTTTTGGCAAAAAAACATCGCCTCCTGGGCGCTGAAAAATCATCCCGCCTGGTCTCCCTGCAGCAATGACATCGTTTCCAGCTCCTGACTTTCGAGCTACGCTGTGTCTGGAAATGTTCCAAGATTGAAATGACCATAGAAACATGTTGTTGATATTATTATAATGTTGGTAAATAACGATACATAACATGTAGGTAATAATAATGAACAATGAAACATGTTGTTGATATTATTATAATGTGGGTAAAAAACAATGAATAATAAACCATCCCCCAAATCACCATAAATAGGTGGCATGAACCATTCAATTATAGGTTTATATTTGGGTTTTGATGCCTGAAATAGGGCATCCCTGACAATCGAAAAAAAAAACATCATTTTTTGAGTGTTTTTGGCCGAAAACTTGGCAGGAGGATCCATTTTCAAACAGACCCATTTACAGGTTGGTTTCATAGCAGTGAGGAACTACTGCGCACAGGGCTGCAAGAAAATCATCTCTACTTCTTATTCTGCCGGCTCCTGCAAAGCAGCCGCACTAGTGTGCGGCACCTGCAGAGCTGGCTGATGGCTAAAACCATGATTGCACATGTTTCACAAACAGCTGAACAAATGCTTCAACCCTGACTAAACATCAGAAACTCATCTCCAAACGACCTGCAGGACCCAATAAACTCACCCATCGACTGCGGCTGCCTCCGTCTTTGTGAGGCGTTGCTGCACCTGCGTCACGTCGCACGATGGTATACCATTGCCAATCAAGCCCCACAAAGGCTGGAGGAAGACATTGATTATTTTGAGTACATGATACAGTTATCAGATGTTATCAGTACTTAATCATACTTTTCTTGTGAAGATTTTTTGGGGGGTGATCAATTTTACCCCATACTCATCTCAGAATGCAGAAGATAGCAGAAACAAATACCATTGGCACGGTGCCCTACCAAAACCATCGCAAATAAATGTATGAATGACAATGCATGATCTGTTCTTCAACATACATCAACAATCCCTAAATTTATTACACTATTCTTTAAGCTTACCTTTGAACTCTTTTTGGACCCACAACGGAACTTGAAGAAAGATGTGTCCAGGAAGATGCCGTGTTGGTTTTTTTTTCTCGTCGCGTCCTGGCGACATAGAATTATACATGTATCATCATGTATCTAATTTCATACACATCATCATCATCATCATCATCATCATCGTCATCATCATCATCATGATATGACAGCTATGTTTTTCTAGTTTTTGGTGATCATACATGTCACCAAAACTTCAGAGACATGCCAAGGATGATGAAATGAGGGTGTTTGTCGCTTGTCGCGTCACATGTGGACGCCCACGCCTGCAGAAGCAGCAAATTACACTCTTCTGCCTCCTCATGATGTTCGTTCGAGCATGAGCTTCAGTGCTTAGAAAAAACACGCATCAATAAATCATCAGGGTTTCAAAATATATATATATATATTATGTTAATTGGTTGGCTGAAACTAAATAATCAACAGTCACCAAGTGAATCCAAAACCAAAAAGGAAGTTGCAATTCCTTATTGTCAAAATCATTGCCATCAGCAAGTCTGGCTAGATCAAAGGGTGCATGCAACGGCACCTGGGACAACACATGCTGATAAATGTTTATTAGGTTTTAGATGAGTGGTTTACCATTCCATTTTAGGGTACCCAATTTCGACACGTATCCCGGGTATCCCGGGCCATTCATTCGTTGGGGAAATCATCTTCCCCTTCAAAAAAATGCCTTATATTGGGGTTGATTGGGGTTGTAATTCCTCCATTCTCAGACACACCAATGTAATTCGGTAATGCTCAGCACTGCAGCACTGCTCCTCTGGCCATTCAGTCTCGTAGGCGGCAACACATACGAGGCTGAGAAGGAAAATGCGCATACCTGGTAGCGCTATCTTTCGCAAAACCGAAACCATGCCCATAGAGAACCATGCGACACACTGTGTCACAATGCCCATGAAGAGTCAAATATAGTCAAAATGCGACACAATGCTACATGTTTTGCCAAAGCGTGAACGGCCGTGAATTGCCAAGTTTCTGTGCGTCCAGATGGAGGTCGTTGAACGGTTCAGTTTTCCTGAGAGTTGCGATTAGTTGCGATTGCGTCAGCTGCCAGTTGCTCTGAAAAACAACTTGTTCAAACGGCAAAATACGGCAAGTGCATCCTTTCACTTTGGTTTCTCCACCGTTTCATCGTTTCATTTCCACGCTCTGTTCACGACACTCCCCTTTTAGATCTGTTGTGTAATATAGTAACTCATCAGCTGTCTTGTGCTTCAGCAAAGTGCTGTAAGACGCTCCAGGGTAACCATTAGGAACCACTATAGGCCTTCTGGGCCAAGCATGGCAACATGTCTATCTTTTCGGACAAGAGGCGGACATGGAAACCAAAGGGCCAGCTCCGGTGGACAACAGAGCTGAAATTGCTGCACACTCCGACACTCTACCAAGTGAAGAAGGACACTTTAGACACTTTTTGAAAACAATGAATTCATGTGTAAGCCCCAAGCCATAAACGATCACCGTCATCATCATCATCATCATCAACAACATCACCATCATCAGTATCATCATATCAAGACAATATCACACACACACACACATCACGACATTATCAATAATTCTCTCAAATAGGAATAATCCATCTCCAATGCCGCGCAAACTGACGGGTTTTGAACAGCCGCGTTGGCTCAAAACTGTTGGGAGTCCAGCCACTGGGGATGTTTGATGGGGATATCATTGGGATATCGGGATATCATTGGGATATAGCCAACACATTTATGTTTGTTTCTTTTCCGGAACATGCGGGCCCTGATTAGACAATCATATGATCTAAACAGAGATGTCTAGTGAACGCTCAAGGCTTGAGCTGTTGAAACACACGTTCCTGAAGCATCCAACTCCTAGATTTGTTTCGCGAACCTCGGTGGTTGCTGAAATTTTGTGAAAATCCCCAAGTTTCACATCAAAACACCTAAGTTCACCAAGTTTCCTGGGAAAATGCAAAGGCCATGCAATGCAGCGGTTGTTTTTCCATATACCCTTTTCAAGGTCATCATTTTGACAAAAATTGTTTGCTTTACACTTCAGGACCCTAATTGCAGAGGCTTCCCTCGGCGCAATCCTTGCGCGGAATGTTTTCTCACAGATATGGGACTTTGCACCTTTGGCCCTAATTGGAGACCGCAAATGAAAAAAACACCTGACTTTACCCGCAAAAAACGCACATATCCGCAAAAAAAAACGCAAATATCCGAGAAAAAAATGCAAATATCCAAAAAAATCCGCCAATTCACAAATGACGGCTGTTGCGTGGCGAAATCCTTGTCAAGATCGTTGCACTGCCAGTTCACAAATTCAATTCTGTAGAGCACTGTGTGTTTGCATGGGCCTCTTTATGAACATGATTGGCTAACCCTCTATGTCCATGATTCATCATGATTCCAGATCAGATTAACTCTTTCCGTTGGTTCAGTTCTAGGTGGGAGCCATTTTTATCGCGGAGAAAATCTGATAACCGCTGTTGGTGAAATCTGTGAATCACCGAAGCAAAAAATCCCATGTTACCCTCCGGTAATTTGCTACTTTTTGCGACATAGAAGCCACGCCCAGTCGAAATAGTGGATTTACCCAATTTTACCCAGCTAAATAGCATGGTGGATCTTTCCATCGTTTTTTGTAAACGTGTACCAGGGGGTAGTTTACCAGAGGCCCCATGGCTGATCCAGTCCCATCTCATCCCCTGGCAGTTTGCCATGGTGATTTGCCATGGCCCTAATTGAAATAGATGGTTTACCTAGCTATAAAATGGGTGGATTTTCCATGGCTATGTTAGAAAACCAGATGGTAAAACATGATATGACATAATCAACATGAAAAGACATGAATAATATGAGATGATGATAGCATATCCAGTCGAAGAATCTTTTCTCATCATTTTTCACACGTGCACACTAAAATGACAAAGTCGGGCGTAGAAAAGATGGGCATGCATGCCAGCAAAGGGGTGAGAATTGTATGATACTGCGATCTAATTTTAGATCTCAAAAACATCATCATCAGCCAATTCGGCGATTCTGTGGCAAGCTTTGGGGTTTCCCTGAAGAGCCTGGGACAAAAACTCCGGCACCGACAGCTCCTCTGCGAAATCTGCCACTGAGCGCCTGCGGTCGTTGCAAAGATCCAGCCGCGCCCCAGCTGCAATGAGAGTTGCGGCTCCTTCGTACTGTCCAGACAGCACGGCATTCATCAAAGGGGTGGAACCATAGATATGATATGCCATCATTGTGCTGGTTGTTCGCTTGCCCATGCGATATTGAAGCGCCTGGATGTGATTGTAAATGCCGTGAAAGGTCCAAAAAGGCTCTCTCCATTGGTGGTTCACGTCAGCTCGCAACTGAATGAGCCGGTTCACAAGCTTAGCAGTCCCACCGCAAAAAACCATGGCAAAGTGCAGTCCGTTTGAAATCTCCGTTTCTCGCAGAAGCAGTTCCTCCATAGCTTCCATAGATCCAAAGGAGCACGCAACCTCAAATGCACTGAAGGCAAAGATGCCGTTCCTTGGTGCGGTGTCACGGAAATTCCGTGCCAGTTTTACATGTCTTAAGGGCAGAGTATCCCCAACTTGGACATTGCCATGACAAGTATAAGTATCCCTATCCCATGCAATACGAGCTGCGATGATATAGATATCCCATCGGCTATAAAACATGTAAACCAGGTAGTAAAACCTCGTCACCAATGGACATAGTTGTTCTTTTTTTCCTGGACTCATCTGAGCACACAATCTTTGAATCATTGATCAACCAAGGTACCTGTCAGGAAGTTCTCCAGGGTTAAAGGTTGATCTCAGCATGCGAAGTCCTTCCGGATTATTTGCCATACTGGCAAAGTCCGCTGGTGGAATCAAGCCCGAGGTCCTATTGGCGCCTTTTTCCAGCAGGAACTGCGTGGCAATATGGTTCTTGAAAAAGAGTGAAATCGATAGAGCAGTCATAAACTGCGGAATTCCAGTGTATGGATTTTGTTTCTTGGTTTTTGAATCAAGAGTTGCACGTTGCTCCAAAAGAGCTTGGAGAAGGGAAGGCTCTCCATTCATGGCAGCATAGTGCAGCGGACGCCATCCGAGTGTGTCAAGCTCGTTGATACTTTGAAAGCCATTCCTGAGAGCCCATCCAACCCCAAATAATGGATTCTCTATAGAAATAGTGGGTAGTTCGTTCATATTATGATCCATTATGATCCATTATGATCCATTATGATCCATTATGATCCATTATGATCCATTATGATCCATTAGTTGGTTCATATTCAATTATGGAACAAATGGAATACAAATGGATCCCAGTTCCCACCAATTTTCTAGATGAATCCAGAAGAAAAATGACGCAAATCCAGGAGTCTGAAAAAGAAATCTCGCCACCTGCAACTCTGGATTGTCGCCATCGATTTCTGGAAAGCCAGGGACCAGATCAGATAAAGCGTCGGTGCTGAAGCCTCTCAAGTGCACCCTCTGCAGATTGAGCAAGGCGCGAAAACCCGAAAGGTTCTGTGCTTGTAGGTAAAGAAATAACTTTCGTTTGATGGCTTGTTTTACCTTGGATTTGCCGGCATCAAAATGCAAACACGTTTACCATTTGCCGATGTTCCATTTTGGGCGGATTCACCAATGTGAAAATGCGCAAAATGCCAAATCAAACAATCGTCTCGCTTGTTGATTACATTTCCTATAGATTCCTATAGTATATTGCAAAAAATTGGTTGTATTATGTTGGTCGATTTTCCCAAGAACTCTTAATTTGTGAAGCCAAACATCCCATCTCTTTAAGTTTCCCAGGGTACGATGGGACAGAGCTTCCTGCGATCCACTTTCAAAGTGAAAGTCCCTTCTCCCGGAGAACCGCCAAAGGAGGTCATTGGGGTCGCCACTGTCTCCAGATTCTTGGAACTTTTGATGATGATATACCTTAGTGGAGCAGAGATACAGGCCACCCATCATGGTCATCAGAATGGGGCTATATTCTTTGGCATATTTTTTGGCCATATCTTTTTGGTGATATGCAAATTTGTTGGTGTTTTTTGTTGGTCATGTTTTCTGGGCTTTTCCTTATGGGTAGATTTGGAATGTCAGATCCAGGATGGGTTTGCCAGGAAAGTCTGCTGGGTTTGTCCTGTCAAGAAAGGGGATTTTAAGTGCACAATGATTTTTGGCTACCTTGGACGAGCATTGCCAAACATCAACATCTTTGCAAATCTTGATATATAATTCTACAAGTAGCAATATCAAGCATCAAACTAGTAAACACTACCCGGAAAACCATGTGTACTATTTTTTGAGGCAGCTGCATTGTGTGCCATTTCCAACGCCACTTTTTGAGAGTCAAAAACGTCTTATTTTTTGCATCCTCTGTCTAGTTTTTTTACGCCGCTTTACGGATTATTTCGCAGCTTCTACTCATATGATATGTACGACACTATTGCAAAATATGATGCAGCAAGTGTATCATTTTTGAAGAAGCTGCGTTTCTTTAGGGCTTGATTCCTGAAAGTGGCATGGAAAACTGCCAATTTTCAAAAGTTGCCTAAAAATAGGACGCTTTGTCATTCCAGGTATTAATCATTATTAATCATTCATCCAGATACTATGGTATTTTCCATTGAAACCAGATGATCTTCCCAGCTATATCTATAGATTAGATCTAAACCAGCTATTTTTCATCTATAGATGATCTTCCATTGAAACCTTTACAGATGATCTATGGTATTTTTCTATGTTTCCATAGATTTATGGTATTTTCCCATAGATTTCCATTGATTTCCATGATTCATAGCTATTTTTCCATTGATTTCCCGGCCGCGTGAGCTCCCGTGGCGCTCCCGGCCCAGAGACGACTCGCTCTGGGAGAGCTCTCGAAGGGTTCGTTCGGCACGGCACCAACCCCTCTGCGTCCAGGACGATGTTGTTGTTGTTGTTCCATGAGACGTCAACCTGCACGACAAAGTCGCAGTTAAGACGCCAATGACATCCAGCTAGTTCCGAATCTGCCAGGCCTCATTTCGAAAAACGAAGTGAGGTAAGCAAAGGTCCCACCATGCGCGTGTCACCACGCATTGTCGCTGCACAGCAGTAGATGCCCACCGCAGAGCATCTTGTCGTTCCTGCGCCACTGTGTAGTATCCAGCCCCATGCATGATCATGCGCCAGTTGTTTCGCTGTCGAATCGGCAGCTGCATTCATGGCCCTGCAGAGATCAGGGGAAGGATATCCTGCCGGGGGTGTCCATCCCGGGCGTTTGCCATGCGCTGGGATCCAAGCCAATCGCGAAGCTGGTCGCCAGCGTGCCAGTAGTTGATGCCAGAACTCCGAGGCATCGCCTGCCTTTCTCCCATAACGAAGGAGGCTGTCAAAGCGACGCGCCACCGCTTCGTTGTCCGTAAGGACCAAGACATCCAGAGCCGCAGCGGCTGCAGCCGCAGTGACATACCACAGGGCCATGCGCTCCGCGTAGTGGGGAGTATGGTCCGCACCAGTAAGAGCACCGCCAAAAGTGTGGCCATCCGCTGCAGCAGCAGCCCAAGCAGTGCAACATCCAAAAGTTTGACCTGTAGGGTCCAAGCAAGAGCCGTCCAACGCCATGCAGATGATAGAGGTCCCAGCAGCACGTTGTCGTAGCAGATAATGTACCAGGTCGACTGGTGGATCAAGCACATCCAGGGTAGCGGGAAGGAAGGTCACCAGCCTTGTGAGCAAACGGCGCTCAGCATCAGTAGCCCGAGCCTGAGACCACGGGATCAGCGGACACTGGAAGGTGAGGTGTGTTCTGCTGGGGCAGGGGTTGCCGCAGGCGCAGGGTTTGTTGTGACCCAGGCGGGCGAGGAGGCGGGCATCAGCAGCGCAACCAAGCACAACCCGGCGGAGGTGAGGATCCAGGGTGGAGCGGAAGGGGCGGAGGTGCTCAGTCACCGGTTCCTGGGTGGGGCGGATGGGGTCAGCCGTTTTCGTGTCGTAGTCCCAGAGGAGGCGGAGCCAGGAGCGGGCAGCCAAGTGGCCCAGGAGGCGCTCGGTATCCCAAGCAGGGCGGATGGGACCATAGGGGGTGTCCCAGTGGGTGGGGTGGCGGGTCCAGCGGAAGAACTGGAAGGCGGCAGTCGCAGTAGGGCAAGGGGTCGACGAGCCAGCACGCCATTCGCGCCGCAGGGCTTCGAAGTGGATGAGGTACTCGGGATGCATGGTGTGGGGCCCAAACGTCACCCAGAAGAGGTAGCGGTCCCGGCCGGGGGGGGGCCGGCGGCCCCACAAGGCGGATTCCATGTGGGAGGACCAGCGGCGGAGGGTGTTGGCAGGGAAGGTGCTCCAAGGACCAAGCCAGCGGAAGAGCGAGGCCACGAGGAGCTGGAGGAGGGCGCGGCGCAGGGGCACGGAACGGGCAACCCGACCGATTTTGCGGCACCGCTGGATGAGCTTGGTGGTCAAGTCGGTGTGCGCCGGCTTGCCCGCACGCCCGAAGCGGTAAGTCACGCCGAGCAAAGTGGGGGCAGCGGTGACCGGGCCGAGGAGAGCAGCTTCGCTGCTCAGCGCCCGGCGGTCCCGCGGGGAAAGAGCGAAGCACTCCCGCTTTGCGGGGTGCACAGTGAAACCGAAGATGCGGTCCGTGTCCGCCGCATGTTCTGCAGCAGCCACGAGCGCGGAGACCGCGTCCCGGCCTTGGGCCCAGAGACTACGGTCATCCAAATAAATGGCCAAACCAATCCGTGGGTGGGCCCGGGTCACGGCCAGAGACCAAATCGCCATAATGGCGTTGAGCAAGGCAGGGGAGGCAGGGCAGCCTTGCAAGAGGCCTCGTTGGACCCGGACCGGGGTAGGGTGGACACACCCACGGGAGATGAACCAGCGGGTTTGACCCGCGTAAAAGAAACGCAGGACCTCTGTTAGGCCTGCCGGCGCACCCAAGTGGTCAAAGACAAGAAAGGCAACGCCAAAGTCAACAGAGTCGAAGCACCGCTGGATGTCGGCTTTGGCGCCGGCCATGCAGCGACCAGCTTGTTGCTGGTGCAGGGCACCGAAGAGGGCGCTATGCACGCCATCGGTACCCCGGCCAGGGATGCCACCATACAAGGTGGGGGGCGCCCAGCCAGCGATCCAGGAACGGAGACAGCGCAGAGTAGCGGACATGCAAACCCTGTACATGATGGCAGCAATGGCGAGGGGGCGTTTGCCGCCGTCGCTCTTGTCCAACAAGGTGATGCGGACGTGGAGCCAAGCAGTAGGTAGCCGCCCGGTGCTAATGCACCGGTGCCACAAGAGTGCGGCGGCCTCCCTAAAAAGGGGGGGAAGCCGGAGCAGCTCTGTGGCGTGCCACTGATCTAAGCCAGCGGCAGTGCGCGCCGCCCTCTGCAGAGCAGTGCGTCCAGGACGATGGACTCAGGATGTGGTGCCCATCGGTGCTCTCAATGACCTTAGACCCCACTGGTTTTGGCAGATTTTGTTTATCATGTATAATATATATATATATATATATGTATATTAGTATATAATCATAGGTAATAACAATGTATGTAACAATATCATGAATATATATATATATATGTGGTATATCATGTATATGACATATATACCTACTTACCATAAGAGTTAGTACAGTAATGTGTATATATATATATAACAACTTTGAAGTGGATATCTATGCATATGCAACTATGTACAATGTCTCTATGTGTGTGTGTGTGCACGTATATCTGCATATAATAATATTATTATGAAATCGATTCATATGAATTTCATGTGCATATTACATATAGCCATATTGGATTCATTCACATACACAACAATATTCTAAATCACATGCTTTGCAATCTAACTTTCAAGGTCCTCAAATTGAAATCTTGGAATACTCAGCCAGGTCACTGGACAAAGGACAAAGAAAAAGGCACAGCGGGCGATGTATGCAGGGATGCTGTCCACAGCCCGACCCAAGCGGCTGTTCGTTGTTTGATTCTGCATTGACATCGACGGAGTCGACTGATCCATGGGATCCGTGTCCGCCAAGTCGTCGATCGAGGAGACATAGGTTTCTAGCTGGGGGCAAGAGAAGTAATCGTACCACAGAAATACCTCACCATTTCGGAAGTCTTTCGCGGAAATGCCTTTGGCCGTGGGCACGAAAGCTTCTGTCACAAGATCTTTGGGTATGGTGCTCATCCCGTTCACCGAGATGATATATCGAAGAGCATCTTGCAAAAAGCGAAGTTGTCGGCAATCTGGATCTGGATGTCCCTTACCTTAGCGACTCACAGCGGGCGGAAGCTATTTCTAAGTCAGTCGATTCCTCGGACAAAGCACAAATCATCAGCAAATCACCGGTGAAAATCCCAGTTGCTCACCCATTGGTGTGAAACAAATGCTGCCTTCCCCATCTTCTCATGAAATTCCACCAGCTTTCCCTCAGCTCTGGGATCTTCATGCGCCTTCACTTCCACCATTTCCAATAAAACTTCAAGTCGCACTGTATACATCCTGGATTCAGCGAACCCGAAAGCTAACATAAAAGATACAGGATGGGGCCCCCAAGATAGCTAAGTTGGTTTATAAGTGGCTTAACAATGGTTTATGGTAGATATAACTATAATTGATGGGGATTATACTGGTTTATAAACCAACTTATAACTGGGGGGCCCCATCCTGTATATGAAGGGTTTATTAATATTAAACATCAACAACCACTAATAAGGGCTTATCCCATGTGGAAAACCGGACACAATTTGAAAAACATGTCAATTGAATAGCGGCATTCCCATTTGGGAAAATTACATAAACACATATAAACACCTAAGCTCAGCAAACTTGTTGGTTGTATATCCCATAGTATCCGATTGCATCCCCAATTTCTAGATTGTTGCTTCTAAAAATTGTACCACGCTGTTGGCATATTTCTTGGCAGTGTAGTCGCATATCTTCTGAAATATCCCCCATCAAATGTTTGTTGTTATACCCCCATAGCTTTGTTATATCCTGGGTGGAATGGGAAACGTTTTGTTCTTCCAATTACGAAACCCAACTCAGCAAAATCCTTTGTTGGTTCTGTAATTATTTCATAGTGTCCCATGAAATCTTTTACACTGTAAAAAGTTTTGTGCCAACTCGTACCGAGCATCGGAAAAGACATGGGCAAAGCCTCTGCAACGCTGTCGCAGTTGTCATGCGCCAGTGCTCGCGCGTAGCGCGCCAGTGGCGTTCCCGAGGCACTACAACATGCCATGGCACGAAGCACGAAGATGCCGCTCTTGGGCTGAGGGATGATGAAAAAGTGGGATGATGTGTATCAAGATTGAAACAACATAAATTATCTGGTTGGTGATTGAGCCTACCCCTCTGAAAAATATGAGTTCGTCAGTTGGGATGATTATTCCCAATATATGGAAAAATAAAACATGTTCCAAACCACCAACCAGTAATTATGTTTACAATTGTTTACATTTAGAGATGAGAATCAATGATGAAATCTTGGAAAAAAGTGTGCATGAAACCATTTATGAAAAGCTAGTGTGTTCGGGAGTTATTTAAGCGCAACGCTGCACAATTGAAACACTTTGAACAAGTGAAGCGGAAGAAGGCGGCCAACGAAGGTGCAAACTATAGCATCCCATCTCATCATACTGGTTTGCACATGCGTATCCCTATTCTGGGTCATCATAATTCCCAATACGTATAACTTATAGGCTATATAGGACTTATAGCATCTTATAACCATAGTACCACCTATATTAAACAATCAACACATAGTTTCACGATCTGGGGATGGAACAGATCTGGTTGGTTGTTGAGCTGAAAAAATAAACATCGGGGATCATCATCCCCATGGTTGAACATGTTGAACATACCAGTTGAAACACTTGAAACCTGATGAAGTGTCTAAGACACTTCCTTCAGTTGTGCCTCTCTATCATGAAAATGATCCCCAAGCTGACCTCAAAAACAAACCATTGACAAAGCGTTACCCGGCCTGGTAAACGTTTACAGTTTGCGACATTGAAAATGGACCATAGAAATAGTGATTTTCCACAGTTAAACGTTTACCAGAGGGTATTATCCTATTAAATCCCATTAGATCCCATTAAACCACCATAAAATGGACCATTATTGATGGCCATAGAGGGTACCTCCTGGAGATCAATTTTGGTTTTTGTCCGCGGCGTCGTCGCACGTTGTGCTGCAGCGCGTCAAAGTTTCCGCCACCGACTTTGCAGTGCTGACGTGGCTTCTCCACAGCGAATTGTTGCACAAATAAATTTCTGGGTGGTGGTTTCAACCCCAACATTGTGACAAGAAACAGGAAATTTATGGATATATTTGGTACAACCATTCCATTTGTTGATTTTGAAGGAAGTGGACAAGAAGATCAAAGACGAAGACCTTTTGAAACCACGCACCAGATGTCTACATGTGGAATTTCCCACCGCAATGAAGCATGAAGAGTGGCTGTTCCCAAAAAAACACCAGCAGGACATCCCACATCGACCCAAATTTTGAACGGCGGAGCCATTTTCTGGTCGCCTACGAACTACGAGAACTACGCAGGGTGAGGCAATTTCTGCCCCAAAACTGGAAGAGAACCATCAGCCAACTGAGAACACCAGTGGCTTCACAGGTGTTTCTCGAAGAATCAAAATGCAATTCTACTCGTCTGATCTTTGTCTTCTCAGCGTCGCATTCTTTTCTCACTCGTAAGCGGTCTGCAGCTTTGCACTGGAAATCTCCTGCAGCATGTGGCATGTCGACTTTTTTTCGAAGATCTTCGAATGCCAAAAGCACAGAGCTTGGTTGAGCTAAAAAATCATCGGAGATCATCTCAATGGGAATTTCAGAATCCTAATTTCTGGAGGTACCTACCATATATAAGGCCTATATCATTCCCATTGATCATCCAAATATGGCAACGAACAGAAACAGATTTGAAACATTTAAGAAACCAATGCCCCAATGACTTGGTCTATGAATTCGCCGCCCCAGAAAAAAAACCGCCGGTGTCTGGAGCGATGATGGGATTTCATTCCGAAGCCAAAATCACCATAGAAATCGATGGTTTTTTGGCCGGAATCGAAGGATTTTCCAGGTTCCAACATTTTCAGACCAACCCGCCAAAAGTGGATCCGATTCCTCGCGTGGATAATTCATGAAGAAGAAGACTTCCTGAAGTGCAGAGACAATAAAAACTGTAGAAAGGTGAACTTGCGATGACACAAAAGTTCCGAATCAAACAACAAAAGGAGACCATTGCAAACTACAAAAGATCTATAAAATCATATCCCATAGGATCCATGTATGCTATAACATTTACCATCAATATACCCCCAATGTTAGCTATATACCAGCACCATGGATCCTATGGGTATTAATAATTGATCACAGCCTGTGCAACCCCTGGCCCGTGATCTGTCCAAGTCCAAATCAAGCCACAGAAAACGACCGCCGAGTTGCAGCATTGGCATCGTGCAGAGTTGGTAAAACGACGGCCTGGACACAAAAACGACGCAGCGAATGACTGCGATGACGGTACCCTCTGGTAAACGTTCACATAACTATGGAAAATCACAATTTTTCATGGGTAAATCCACTATTTCTATGGCCATGTTCAATAGCTATGTTAGTTTACTGCGACCGAGAAATGACGAGGGAAATGATGTCCAGGACCTCCAGATCCGAGATTTCCAGTCGTCGATGTTGCCTCGCATTTCCACCTTGGTTGAACCTTAGAGTTGTCCAAAACACCGCAACGATTGCGAATGGCGCTGTCGTTGCTGTCGTTTTCGACTGTCGGATTGTCGGATATCTGAGGCAATTGCAATCCATGCGTGTTTTCTAAAGCCAAAGCACCTGCTCGCAGAACGATCGGACAGGTAGACAACACTGGACCAGAAAAAATTGTGAACTTGAACCCCCCAAAGAATTCTTTAGAAGACTTTAGAAGTGTATGAAAAGTTTTGCTATGAGTTCAATTCTTCAGCTGCTCGCTTCAGATTTTGGTCACCACCAGATGAAGATTCACTGGCCAAATCCATGAGATCATTTGAGCAAGGCGCTTCCTACTCGAATCATTCCAGGCTCATCTGTTGCAATGATAGGTCCTGGCCGGTTGTGATGGCCCAAGACAAACTTCATTATCTTCATTTAGAATATTTTTTTGAAGATTTTAGAAGATTTTAGAATATTTAGACTCCAATACCGAGTCTAATTCCATCTTCATCAGTCATCCTTGAGCTCAACGGGGGTGCTACATCGTGTAACCGGCCGTGTCACCGGCCGTGTCCTGCGATGGTTTCATCCACCAGGCCAATGCTTGGAGGTCTCGGCGATGGCGAGACCAGAAAGGTTAGTTGCCGGCGATTTTTGTCTAGGTAAAGATTAGAAGGTTAAAGCGAAAAAATACAGTTAGTCTAGATATAGATAGATAGATAGATAGATAGGATTAGATAGATAGGATTAGATAGATAGATAGATAGATAGATAGCTAGATAGATAGATAGATAGAGAGAGATAGATAGATAGATAGATAGACAGACAGACAGACAAACAGAGAGAAAGAGAGAGAGAGAGAAAGAGAGAGAGAGAGATAGATAGATAGATAGGTAGATAGATAGATAGACAGACAGACAGAGAGAAAGAGAGAGAAAGAGAGAAAGATAGATAGATAGATAGACAGACAGATAGATAGACAGACAGAGAGAAAGAGAGAGAGAGAGATAGATAGATAGACAGACAGACAGACAGACAGAGAGAAAGAGAGAGAGAGAGAGATAGGTAGATAGATAGATAGATAGACAGACAGAGAGAAAGAGAGAGAGAGAGAGAGATAGATAGATAGATAGATAGATAGATACACATAAACCGATTATACCTGGTTGGTGGTATACCTAAACCTCTGAAAAATATGAGTTCGTCTTTTAGGATGTTGACATTCCCAATATATGGAAAAATAATCCAAATGTTCCAAACCACCAACCGGATACTGTTAGTCTAATAGTCATTTAATATAAAAGATACACCATCTGGTTATGACATTGCCAGTTCGCCATGGAAAATCCACCCATTTTATAGCTAGGTAAACCATCTATATATAAATGGGACATGGCTTAACCATGGCGAACTGTGAATGTCATAACCAGGCCGGGTAGTCGATCCACATCCACTGAACATCACCTCTGTGCAACACTGGTGGCCAGGCGGCCGTATCTTGGATGCGGAGCCCTTGGAGACCTTGTAAATCTTTCCTCCTCCAGCCTGAGACGGGACAGACGGGACTGGAGCAACACTTCAAAAATTGCTTCAGATGCTCACCTGCACTGTCAACTATACATGGATGTGTTCAACAACTATTTATATATAATATTCTTTAGAGGCTATACTAGCCCTTTGATAGTTATTGAGGATGATCATATCTATAAACGATTGTGTGATGCAATTGTATCTCCATGCTTTTGCTTGTTTAAACACATTTTTTGGTTGTTTAACCCCGTATAACACTATGATGTGTTTTTGCATCATCAAGTGGCAAAGCTCTCTCCTATCATGTTTGATGGCATTAAACCGGTTAGATGATGGCTAAAAAAAACCGTTATAAATTAACAAGTAGGTTGGTGATCTACAGTTCATCCAGGATATCCTCCTCATTTATGGCAATGATCACCAATCATCTATATATATATCATTATATATCCCCTTTTAATGTGTTTTAATCATCCAGCCATTCAGAAAAACCGACCGTCGCCAAGTGGCAAAACTTTCGTATCGGCTGCTCACAATCTCTTCTTTGTCCTCCACGTCATCACTGGCCTCCTGCAACGGTCGTCATGATCTGAAGGTTCCAAATCTGATGCGTATGTATTAATATGCATATATGTATATTAATGTATATTATACATGCATACCATACAATATGATACAATGTGTATATATATATATACACATATCATATCCTAATAATGATTGTTGTGATATGTCCATCCCGATTTCGCTGATCACTGGCCATCTGCTGATCTGCAGTTTCATCATCCCGTCGTTTCGTTTTGTCCCGCTCCCGTGGCGTCTCCGTAGTCGAGGTAAACTGGGCAGGGGTAGTGTCAAAGTCCACGATAGAAACATGGCTTTCGACATCAGCATCCTTGAACTAAAATTAGTTAAGTGAACCATACTGAACCATTGGTTTCAACATGTTTCAACACGTTTCAACATGTTTCAACATGTTTCAACCATCAAACACTCTGTAACTTCTAACTTTTATCCATCAAAGATGGGGATTTGTTGTATGTGCCAAGCTATTGGGCTACTTGGCAGAAGCGCAAAGAGCCGGCTAGAGCCTATCCATGTGAATGGCTGAGAAATCCCCAGTGATGATTTCAATAAAATGTATACCCTCTGGTAAACTAACATAACTATAGAAAATCACCATTTTCAATGGGAAAATCCACTATAAATGGTCATTTTCAATAGCTATGTTAAATTACCAGAGGGTAAGTATCTGTAGAAAAAATATGTATGAAATACACTCTGGTTATGACTAACAGTTCGCCATGGTATAGTATAGATGGCCCTAATCGAAATAGATGATTTTCCCAGCTAGAAACCCTCCATGTATAAGGGATTTTCCATGGCGAACTGTTAGTCACAACCAGATGGTACATCATATTAAATCCCATTAAACCACCATTCTAGATCCCATCAAAAATCCCATTAAATGGGCCATGGCTTAACCATGGCGAACTGTTAGTCATAACCAGATGGTACATCATATTAAATCCCATTAAACCACCATTTTAGATCCCATCAAAAATCCCATTAAATGGGCCATCCCCATTTTCCATGGCGAACTGTTAGTCATAACCAGATGGTACATCATATTAAATCTCATTAAACCACCATTTTAGATCCCATCAAAAATCCCATTAAATGGGCCATCTCCATTTTCCATGGCGAACTGTTGGTCATAACCAGATGGTACATCATATTAAATCCCATTAAACCACCGTTTTAGATCCCATCAAAAATCCCATTAAATGGGCCATGGCTTAACCATGGCGAACTGTTAGTCATAACCAGATGGTACATCATATTAAATCCCATTAAACCACCATTTTAGATCCCATCAAAAATCCCATTAAATGGGCCATGGCTTAACCATGGCGAACTGTTAGTCATAACCAGATGGTACATCATATTAAATCCCATTAAACCACCATTTTAGATCCCATCAAAAATCCCATTAAATGGGCCATGGCTTAACCATGGCGAACTGTTAGTCATAACCAGATGGTATGTATAAATCGGTGGGACCCCTCTCATTGCGGATTGCCAACGATCTCATCCAAGTGGCAAAGGTAGATCCCGCCGTGAGGTTGCCTGGCGACATGTCTAGCAAGCGCAGCCCCACAACAGGAAACTTGACATGTCTTGTTTGTGAACTCTCAATGATATCCTGCCCATTTGCAGAAAAAATATAATATATATATATATGTTATATGTTTCTATTGTATATATATAACGTATATTCTGTATATCCTTTATGTATAGTTTGTCAATGTCATCTACAGTTCAAAGATCTTCAAAGACTCTAAATTAAACATAATCACACCGTGCAGCTCACCAGGCCTTTCAGTAGGCGAGGTAAGATCCAGCTCCATCCAGCCCAATCAGGATATTCTCAGCACGGTTTGCCCATCAAAATCGCATCCAGATTGGTTAGTTTCAATCATTTTGCCCATTAAAATGATGATAAAAATGGAATAAGCAAGGTTTGGACACAAAGCCATCGCACTGCTGTTGATTCTATCACCATTAAACCCCCTTAATTTCCATTTTTCTATCACCATGAGGTGTTCGGTCTCGGCCACCGCGGGTTGAACATAGCCCATTTTTATCATCTGAAATCTGCCATCCGCTAAAGCCATGTTCATCACATTTCCAAATTGTGCAGCTCCATTTTGTTTTCGGAGACCTGGTGATGACTGGTGACTCGGCTCCCAGACTGAGCTGGAGATAATGTTCCAGAACAGTTTCTTTTGGGCAGCTGCCCGTCGCAGCGTCGATGTCCTCCAGCGACTTCGTTTTGGTCAAATCTTAAGTCTCAAAACGTCTCATCCTGCGTTCTGAAAAACCATCGACTAAAGCTTCACTTGACCCGATTGACCCTCAACGAATTCTTTCCCAAACAAAGTCTATTATAGATGTATATAGTTTTTAAGTTCCCAAAAATTCCTTTTTCTTGGGCGATTTTGAACATGTTTGATCTCTCATTAAGAGGATCCGCAGGACGATGGGACGCCGATGTTGAGAGTTGAACGAGCCAGTCCGTGGCAGCACCAAAGATATGTTTCATGGCATCCACCAAATTGATTGTGCCTTGCAGAATGGGTTTTGATGATTTTTGATGGATCAACGGTCTAAGAGTCTAGCCAATGATAGGATGTAGCAGGTAGGTCCAGGTAGGTACCAAGAACCCCGCATATTTCTTAGCTCATCAACGAGGATTTTCTGGGAAAGGACTATGAGCGCACCCAATATCTCTTCTGGCCATATGACGTTTAGACTTTATCAAGTTGCAGTCCAAAGGTGATTCAGAACTTAGCATCATTTGCACTCATCACTACATGCACCTATCACTCAACTGGCAGTTCTGTGATGCTGTCACTCCGCGGCCACATTTCACTTTTTAGTGCGTTCCAAGCTGCACAAAAAGGCATCGATGTCACAATTCACCTTAGTCAGGTCGATGGCCAAATATGAAACACGTGAACCAAAAAATTCATGCATCCATAAGTGTCAACATCATCAACATAAAATGGTGGTTTAATGGGATTTAATGGGATCTAAAATGGTGGTTTAATGGGATTTAATATGATATACCCTCTGGTAATGACTAACATAGCTATTGAACATGGCCCTAATCGAAATAGTTGATAAAAACCCAGCTTCAGTTCGCATGGTGGATCGTTCCATCGTTTTTTGTAAACGTTTACCAGGCCGGGTAAATCGCATTAGATTCCATTAAACCACCATAAATCCCAGGGAAAATCGCCATTTTCCTATGGTTTTCCTATGGTAAATCAACCAGGGATTATTTTTATGAGTTGATGTCATATCTGTAGATGTCCCATGATGTCCCTGTGCCACGCCTGTGCTGTGAAGAAAATGTGACCGCGCCAATGTCAAACCACCGGTTGTGGATGTTTTCCCGTGCCAATGGCAATGGACATCAATGGACACTGCCACATTTATGGATGATATTCTCATTAAAATATATTAAAATGCAACATTTATAGATTTATATAGATTTTATCAGGGATTTTAAAAGGGATTTCCCAACTAGCCATGCTTCACAAAACACCAGTTCCACGACTCTGCTCCCATACATCGCACCGGGACGAAGCTCACAGCTGAGTTTTCGGACCGACGCACCCACCAAATCCGATGCCAAACTGCTGAAGCATTCGGCCGCATCAAGGGTCTCAGTTCCACGACAAGCTGTTGGCGGAGCTGTTTTAAGATATGTCTTACCCTCTGGTAAACTAACAAAAAACTATTGAAAATCACCATTTTCAATGGGTAAATTTACTATTAATGGTCATTTTCAATAGCTATGTTAAATTACCAGAGGGTAAGATATATCTTTGTGATTCTTTGTAAGCTGTGTAAAGCGGACAACAGCTCAGTTCGAAGAGATAGATAAACCTTAGATAAAAAACATCGAGGCTGGCTGCGAGCGAGAGTCCACTTGCTCCTGAGCGGAGATGGGAATGAACCACCGGATCCATCGTGTTATTGGGATGAAAAATATAGGAAATCACCCAGTGACATGTGGGATATACCCTAGAAATCCCTAGAAAAAAATGAGGGCAACGAAACGGTTCACAAAAGGAAGCCTTGAACTGTAAGGGGAAAACTACACGAAACCCCTATGATTCCTGCCTTCCAAAACATGTTCACCCTGGTTTCGCAACACGCAACTGCGAGATGGGAAAGTTACTAAAGTTGGAAAACTGGAAATGATGTGCATAATCCTTGTGGATTTGCTTTTATTATCTTTTATTTATTTTTTGGAATATAAAGATGTTCTCTTCAATCCAATGATCCCTTGTCTTCAATGAAGTTGGTATCTGCATCTTGTCCCAGTTCGCCAAGCTTCGCAATCAGTGACTTCTCCCGCGCAAGCCATCGACAGTGCTGCCGCTGCTTGTGCCGCATCTAATGTGTTTGCCTGGTAAAATCCCAGCTGAACCCCAAAACGCAAATCAGAAGCTCCAATATGCAATTGTATATATACAAGATATATATATATATATATACATACATATGTATATATATATATATACACATATCGATCTAGCCGTAGGGGAACCCAAACACAAAGTCCCAGGTAGTCCACCTTCCCAGCCTAGATCTATGCTGCAATGCCCACGAAGTCACCGGCAGCAACTGAGTCCTCTTCTGTTTTTCCACCTTGCCAAGCGGGTAGTCCGCAAGTGGCCATGCGAAGGCTCCAAGGGCGCCCTGAAAAGAGGCGTTGGGCCAGAATGGCCATCGGTTTCACCTTAGTCCTTGGAGCACCTCAGGATGGCAAATGTGAACACATGACAACAGCATGAGCTATGTTGACACAGGCCCAAAAAGGAAAAATTGGGACACTTTGCCATCTGTACTGCTCAGCTGGAAAAACCTAATGCCTTGACAGGCGCTGAATTTCACATCCTACCGTTCGAATTGTCAGCAGCTCAGCGCGGATGATCTGCGCTTCGTGCGCCAGCTGCCCGTTCATGGCGTCATAGGGGATGCCCAAGAGCAGTGAGTCCTCCAAGGCTCGCACCATCGCTTCCCTTTGAACTCGTCCAATCCCATGCCACTCAGCTGGCTCGATTGGAACTTCAGGTGCGTCCAAATCGCCGTTCAGGACCTTCTGGATCTGCTCTGCAGACATGTAGTCCTCGATGGAGGGCTGCAAGGTCGCCATGAACCTCTCACGGGTGTCGTTCACCTCCTGGTCGCTGAGCACCTCAAAGCCATAGGCGACCAAGTGGCGAATCTCTGGTGCCGTCAGACGTCTCACGTCTGGCCGAATTCCAGGATCATCTTCCGCTTCGGGAAGTTGTTCCACTTGTGGTAGCTGAGCAGGCTCCTCATCAGTTGAGGAATCTTCTGATTCACTTTCGCTTCCAGTTTGGACATGACTGTCCACCAAACCTTGTACTTGCGCTCGTCCATGATGTAGTTGTTGCCCTTCTCGATGTCCAGCTCGTTTGCCCATGTGGTAGGCAAAGATCATGCCAAGGGTCAGCATGAAGACAAATCCAATCACCTGGTCAAGCTTGATGGCCAGGTAGAACTCAGGGGGGATGTACTCCATGATCGCCGTGATCTTGTACCCCTCGGATGGCAACACCTGTGAGGCAAAAGTCAAACCCCACACAACTCCTTCTGCGAGGTCAGTGTCCTCGGAGTTCTTCTTCTGTTCAGCTTGTGTTGATGCGCATGGTAGTGGCGCTTCGAGCAGTATTTCTTTCCATCTTCTGCCTTGAGACCACATCCAGGTAGGAGACAAAGTCGGCATTCTTCCAACTCCTCCTCATCCATGTCGCGCACCGTGTAGATGCCCTCTTCGATCTTCTTTCGGTTTTCAAACTCTTGTGCAGCTCGATCAAGTGTGTCTTGTTCTTCTTGTTTCTCCTCTTTCTTGACCTTCTTGGATGCAACACCTTGAGGGTCGTAAAGAAGATTGTGCATCCTCCTTTTCAGTTCCATGGCAAGTTTCTGTCTTGCCGAGGTTTTGGTCATCCCATCAGCCAGTTGTTGATGGCTGTTGCACCATCGAAGCATTCCAGATGCTGCGGCCATTCTTTCGCAGCTCATCTTGATCTCGATCGCCGTGCGCTTCTCGGTCAACTTCATGCCGGGCGCTTTGGAGACACTGGCGTCGTACAACGCTCTGGCATCCGTGACGCATGGGGACTCACCAAGCCACTTCATGATGTCCTCGTTGCCAGGACGCTGGTTGGGCCAGATCATCAGTGCGAAGAGGCACTTCAGCCACCAAGGGGTCGACGGCCATGGCAAGCGTTTGGGCTTCAGCAGCAAGAGAACTCCTGCACACCCTTGTCAATCGCTTTGATGCCCAGTCGATCGCCGTCAGCGGAAATGGCTTCCCATTGTTGATCTCGTCCGTGTTGGCCACGAAGATCAACCAGCCGCCTTGAGAGGAACCGTCGGGTCTTGTGGCCCAACTTGCATCACAATACATCCCGAACCTGATGCGATGCAATGGTCCGTGGGACCTGAGCACCAAGTGAGTACTTGCCGTTTCTTTCGCAAACCTCAACGTTTTGTTCACTTCCAGCAAGTCAGAGATGGTTGCCGAGGCAGTTGCCGATTGAGCCAGGGAGACTGATGCAGCCATGTGTTGAGAGACCCACTGCCTGCTAAGCATCTGGAAGAGCAAACCGATACCAAAACCTATGATTTGTGGTGCAGGAAGGGTGGCGGAACAGGGTGGCAGGACATTAAGGCTACTGATTTGTGGTGCAGGAAGGGTGGCGGAACAGGGTGGCAGGACATTAAGGCTACTGATTTGTGGTGCAGGAAGGGTGGCGGAACAGGGTGGCAGGACATTAAGGCTATTGATTTGTGGTGCAGGAAGGGTGGCGGAACAGGGTGGCAGGACATTAAGGCTATTGATTTGTGGTGCAGGAAGGGTGGCGGAACAGGGTGGCAGGACATTAAGGCTATTGATTTGTGGTGCAGGAAGGGTGGCGGAACAGGGTGGCAGGACATTAAGGCTATTGATTTGTGGTGCAGGAAGGGTGGCGGAACAGGGATGAGGGGGGATGAAAACTATTGATTTTTGGTGCCTGACAGGTGGCTGAAGAGGGTATTAGGAGGGCACCAAGGCTATTGATTTGAGGTATTTTAAGGGGCAGGACGGGTGGCAGAAAAGAGGAGCAAGACATCAAGCCGACGGCGCATGAGATGTAGCACCCATCGCTCGGATTCTCCTGCTTCAAATCCATGTTGCAAATTTTGCATTTCTGAAGGAAAGTGTTCAAGACACAGTGACGGGCAGGCAAACCGTGCGGAGGCTGAAAAAAACACATGAAAAACGTAAACAAAATATTGGTGCGGGCGTCACACATCAAAAAACTTAAGGAAAGATAATTTTTGCGCACCCAAAGTTGCACCAATAATTGGTGAACCCCGCCACCCTCCCTGCCACCCTCCCCGGCCACCCTCCTAGCAACGCTTTTTGTAGGGATGTTTAGCAGCCACTGGTCCTACCAAGCCATGTGTGGTTGCGTTTGGAAGGAAGGCCAAGCAAGTGCACCAAGTAGCCCTCGAAGCTGTGACTGCTCTCGAGGTGTTGCGCGCTCGTTGGGCTGCTGTTTTCTGCTCTTTTCGATCGTCAAAGGTTTCAGCTGGTGGATGTACTTCTCGAGGTTGAAAGTGACCGTTGATCCACCCATCGCCTGCGTCATCTGTGTGCCGCAGAAAGTCTGTTGGTCATGGTACTCAATGGATCCAAACTTGAAACGGTGGAGAAGCACATGCAACCTTTCAGCAAAACAGCATGGGTGATCACCTTCAGGAGCTTTGGCATCTTCTGCGCTTGTGACCCATTCACCGCAGGCCATGATGTCGTCAACGTGAAGTCCAAAGAGCCCATCAACGACGTAGCTCTGGCCGTTCATGTCGAAGACGGTGAACTGGTCATCCTCCTTGGTTGCCAAGCGCACAGAGATGTAGATGCAGCCGTCCAGCTCGTGCTTGAGCAATCCAACGTCGGTGAGCAAGGCTTTGTCTGCCGTCTCATTCCATTGTCGAGGCGCTCTGACGTCACCGAAGGCTGGCTTTGTCATCTGCATGATTTCGTGCTCCCTCAGGCCGATCAACTCCACAAGGAGACGTCTCATGTCAGCCGAGGGTTCACCATAGATCTCGACCTCGTGATGGATGTAGTCGCTCTGCAGAAAGGCACTTTTCACATCCATGGTGCCAATGCGCCATCGTTTGCTGCAGGCCATGAGCACCATCAGGTATTTGCCAAGTCGGGAGATTGTTGGTGATTCAGTGTCCAGCTTTGACTCCAAGACATCCTTGTGCTTGAAGCCCTGTAGGATCACCCTCGCATGAGGCTTGTCCTCCTTGTACCTGAGCAAGAACCGCATAGGAACAATTGTGCCTTTGGGGCATTTGTCCCTTCTCACAGCTCTCCATGCATCGTTCTCTGACCAGGGTGTCAAAGCCTTTCGTTTGGCTTCTGTGAACGCCTTCTTCTCTTCAGTGCCAAGTCGGCTCTCGACCACTGTGTGCAAGATCTCTTCCTCCGTGATCTCGGTGAGATGGAGCTCTTCAGTCTTGGGCTGTTTTGGCTGTGCCTGTCCATCTTCTTGGCGGCGTGGGATGCCGTCCAATCTTCGATTGCGATCTTCGGAGATCCTGCTGGCTGTTCTGATAGCCTGTTCCAAGTGGCGACGTTCACGCGCACGATCAGCGTCATCTTCAGCTGGTTCCTGGTTGTTCTCTGCAATGGAGTTGTGTGATTCCATGATTCCAGGGTGAATCGCTGTGAGTCGATCTCTGATCTCTGCCTGCTCGGCCGTGATCTCGAAGTCCATCGGTCGATCAGCAAACTGAGCAGATTCCTCAGTCTCACCGGAAGGTTCTGCCCGAAGTCCACTGGGTGAAGTCTTCTCCCGTTTGTGAGCTGGGAATTTTGCAGAGCTCTTGTCTTTGTCCTTGACAGGTGCTGGCAAGCGTTTCTTTGCCAACTGGTCCAAGTCAGTCTTTTCATCTTCCGTGCTCGCCCTTGCAGTTGTCGTTTCAGTGGGTTCAGCTTCCATTGATGAGGCTGCCGCTGTTGCAGTCGGAGGTCGTGCTGGTTCATGTGGAGGGACTGCAGTAGCCGAAGCGGTGCCATCTGAAGTGTTAATGGAAGACCTACCCCCCAAAGAAGGGAAATCATCAGGCGTTTGAGCACGTGCAGCCAAGTCCAAACCTCTGACAGGACCACGAACAGGACGCAAAGCGGCCAAAATTCTGTCTGCCAAGGGTCTCTTGAGATCATTTTCAGCTCCAGGCTTGGCTTGTCGCTCATAGCGTTCAGGGACTGTTTCGTGCCTGAGCTGTTGGCGCGTTGTGCGCACCAGTGAGCTGCCATGAACCACCCAGTAGATGGTAGTGGCTCTGTCTGTGGTGCACTCCACAGCAATGACTAGTGCTGGTCCTCGCCATCTGAAGGGGTCCAACTTGTGAGTTTGAGGCTTCCAGTAGAAAACCCAGTCACCCACCATGAGCTCATCCTCTTCGATGCGTGAGCGATGGAGGGCAGCAGCTCTCAATGCCAAGTCCTGGTTGGCCTTGTGAAAGGCGATTGCAGCCTGTTGTTTGATCTCCATGATCCGTGGTAGATCTGCTTGGTCACCAAAAGCTTCAGGACCAGGCTCATCCATGACACCGCCCTCAGAGGGAACATAGCCAAATGCCAAAGTGGCTGGCGTTGAGCCCTTGACTGAACTCAGTCTGTTCCTCTGATGTGACGTCACCAGCAGCGCTTGTTCGAAGCTGCAGGTTGGAACTTCTGCCTTGAAAGTTTCCAGCATCTATCGTCTCACGGCATGGTTCCTTTCCAAAATTCCAAGCCGGTGATGAGCACCACGAGGGATCAGGTTCACCTTGATGCCATGGTTGGAGGCCCATTCCGCGAAAAGTTCACCTTGATGGGGTCCAGATGCATCCATTCTGATGATCTTTGGGTAGCCAAAGCTCTTGGCCCATGTGGAGTCAAACAGTGCAAGCTCCATTTCAGCTGTCTCATCTTTGATTTCACAGTCGACCTCGTACCTGCTGAACTCGTCCAGGATGGTGAAGACTGCTTTCTTCTCTTTGTCCCACTCCACATAGAAGGTGTCGATGGCCACAGTATGGTTGAAATGGGGTGCCTTGTGAAGTGTGGCAACCCGCACTGCCTTTGGCTGTGCTTTGGCAATGCACTGTGGGCATCGGTATCGTCGAGCCACCTGCACGTACTCGTTGGACATGTGGCGTGTCTTTGCAGCCAGAACCAGTTTGGCTCCATTGGGATGTCCGAGCTGTCTGTGCAGGAGTGCAACTGACTTCAAAACCTCGGGACCACCAATCTTCACCAGCTCCTTGTTCTGCTCGAGATACTGCATCTCTTCATTGGAGTGTTCCACAAGCTCCAATGCCATGAGTTCGGCTGTGCCACGTTTTCGCCAGATCTCACCCATAGACTCGTAGATCGCATCTCCAAGTCGTCGAACCAAGTCAGGCTCGTAGTTCTGCATGCGCTTGAGTGCTTGGCCACGTCCCATCATTTGTGTATGGCCAAGGGTACATTGGCATCTCAAGTTCACAGCTTCGCAGACTTTTCGGGATGTAGATCTGAAACGTGTTGGTTTGCGGACATAGTGCGGATCGTCTTCATCAAGTTTCAGTCCAGTGCGGCATCGATCCAACACAGTCTCGCAGTAGCCCCTCATCTTCTCCAAAGTCTCGGTTTTCCAAGAAACCGCGTCAGCGGGCTGTTCCAGTGTGCAATCGTAGTAGATCTTCTTGGAGTCGCTGTGGATGTCGTCATAGAACTTCAAGTGAGTGCTTTCTTCAAGATTTCGCATGTCTGCCAGGAGTGCTCGTCGTTCGGGTGTTCTGTAGTTCATGTTCTGCATCGGAGACCAAAGTCGGCACTCGGGTGCCACCATCACATGGTGTGGCTTCTCTTCAGCGACCAACTTGCAGAAGTCCCTTTGAGCTTCGTTCATCTCAAAGTTCCATTGGGGAAGTGAAAACTGTCGCACTTCCACATCAGGGTAGTAGTTGGCCTGAAGATACTTGCCCAAGTTGCCTTCGTCGATGTAGACCTCCCAGAACTTGAGAACTCTTTGAGAAATCTTGCTCTTGTCGACCACCCGGAAGATCACCTCCTCGATGGTCTCTTCATCCACGTCGACCTCAAGATCCATCTCCTCTTCAGAGATGTCGTCGGTCATGATGGTGTCGAGGAAAACCTCGTCATCAGCCGAGTTGATGTTCTTGACATTCAAGTCGTCGACATTGAGGATGTCCTGCAAGTCGTCGAAGATGTTGATCATGTAGTGGCCGTTCGCAGTGAAAACAGGTCGAATCTCAGCGCCATCCACATAGACCAGTTTCTTGCCATAGTTGACCATGACATTCCAGGCTTCCAAGTCAGGCCTGGCCAAAAGTAAGGGTGTGTGTCCCGGCAAAACATGAATTGTCAGCTGTCACCAGGTTCTTCCCACACAAACTGGGGTGTTGGCGCTGAAGTGAGACCTCACTGTGACGCCATCTCCAAACCGGAAATCGCGAGGATCTTTGTTGATCTCAGCCTCCATGCCTCTCATGTTGAGGTAGCCGGCGATTTTGTCCCAAGTGGCCTCTCCACAGACAGTTCTTGTTGCACCACTGTCCATGATGGCCCATCCAACCTCTTGTGAGGTGAAGTTGATCTCCTCATGTTGATGGAACTCGCCAGGGACAGGTGTCACCTCTGTGGGTCTGTCCTCAACCATGTTGGCATCGTCAGGAACCTCCTTGATTCCTGAGGCTGACAAACGATACCTCTTGAATCGTGGACCATGTTGTGCAGTGCTACCACTGGTAGTAGACCTTGCCGTCGTTGAAGCCGTTGATCCCGATTCAGAGTTCGATCTGCGGCCAAAGACAAATCGTTTGGCACCAGGCAGGGGATGTGATCCTTTGGAACCACTGCCTTTCCCTTTGCTTTTGCCTCCTCCTTTTCCTTTCGACTTGCCTTTCGATCGCCCACCGTTGTTGTTGCGACCTTTCCCATAGGATTTTCCAGAACCCTTGTAGTTGCCGTCGCCCATGTCCAGCGCAACCACAGGGTAAAATCCTCTGGCGAGGGCTAACTCCCTCATCTTCTTCCTCTGTCCAGGTAGTTGATGTAGGCGTCTTCAACCACCAATGTCGCCTCATCCAATTCGGCGGGGATCTCCTCGTCACCGACGATGTTGTTGTCAGCGTAGTAGGCATCGTCCATGTAGTCCTCCTCATAGTCGTTGGTGTAGAAGATTTCGTCATCCTCATAGTAGCATTCATCATAGACCTCATCGTCGTAGTCACCATCGACGTCGACCATGTGCACCTCGTGTTTGAACGTGGTGTCTTTGGAGTTGGGTTTGCTGTCACCTCCAAACATCTGAGTCAATGCGCGAGCCACCTTCTCCGTGGTGAGCTTTCCGTTGCCCATAGACTGGACTTGTGGTGTGTCCATCTCGGAATGCCAGCGCGCATCAGGAGATGCCAGCCAGCAAGTAGTGGAGGGACATCTACTTGCAAATCCTTCAACTTCTTGAGCATCGTCTGATGCCGGACAAGATATTGCTGAAGCTCCTCTTGTCGTTCTCGCTGGAATTGTTCGAAAAATTCTTGGCAGCGCTCAGCGCTCTGGTAGTTCAACTTCTTCTTCATGTTGAAACAACGCATCCAAGACCTTGACAATGGGCTCGAAGGGGTTGTCAGCCAAATCGATGTCATCCAGCTCGATGCTTTCGGTAGCATCCCAAGCTACATCTTGAAGTTGGCTAAGCACCAGGTAGGCACCTTCGACAGAGACAGTGTTGCCCCTTCTGCTGCATTGTCTGCTGAACAAGTCCAGTCGCCTTCTATAGGCTCGGTATGTTTTCTGTGTCAAACCCTGTGCCGACGGTGCAGCCTTTGCAAGGCCGGAGTCTAAGCCTCTTTCGAAGCCACCTTGCCCTTGTGAAGCTGTACCTCCATTGGCTTGAGCTTGATCACCTTGCGCAGCAGCAGCGTTGGAGGCCGGAGCGGCCTTAGGCTGTCCACCTCCGTGTCCACCTCCCCCAGGCATGCCCTCGAAGGAGTCCAAAGCGAGGAAGGGGTCCAGGAAGTAGCCAAAGCCCTGCGGTAGCCCGTGTTGGGCTCCGCTACCAATATCGATCTAGCCGTAGGGGAACCCAAACACAAAGTCCCACGTAGTCCACCTTCCCAGCCTAGATCTATGCTGCAATGCCCACGAAGTCACCGGCAGCAACTGAGTCCTCTTCTGTTTTTCCACCTTGCCAAGCGGGTAGTCCGCAAGTGGCCATGCGAAGGCTCCAAGGGCGCCCTGAAAAGAGGCGTTGGGCCAGAATGGCCATCGGTTTCACCTTAGCCCTTGGAGCACCTCAGGATGGCAAATGTGAACACATGACAACAGCATGAGCTATGTTGACAACACATATTATGTATATGTCTGGTGTGTACATATATATATATGTACATATGAAATATACTTATAAAATAGAATCATGCTGTATATACATATAATATACACACACTTACATACTGGGGTTTCAACCATCAATAAATTGGGATATAATGCAATACTTTTTGGGAAGTAATGGGATACAACCAAGAATATGTCGGTGAAAGATAGTTGCCTCCCCACTGTTTGTGAATGTGTGTCGCATGTTTTGTTGTTTGCTTTACTATCAGCAGTACTGGGTTTATTTAAGAGAAAATCTATAGGTTTTACCATGGTTTTACCCACCAAAAATAAATCCTTCCTGCCGTTCTTCACCAAGGTACCATGAAATCTGAAATATCTGCAGCACAGTCCGAGGGAGAAGGTAAGTCACCCATGCAATCGCCGGTCATCGAAACAACCTGAGGGCTTGGAAGATTAGTTCCCAGTAAAACTTCGCTGTGAAAACAGGGTCTATGTTTAAAAATCAGATGGTAATCCATCCAGGGTCTATGTTGAATAATCAGATGGTAATCCATGGTACCCTCTGGTAATTTCACATAGCTATGGAAAATGGACCATTTATAGATTATTTAGCTATTAAGAATGGTGGATCTTTCCATCGTTTTTTGTAAATGTTTACCAGGCCGGGTAATCCCCAATAAACCATGGAGTCTCAGCCTTTTTCTTGCCAGTGGACCAAGCCATCTAAGATTGAAGTTGCGACGTTTCCATCCCCCAAAATGTGACTCGAATATACAAAACGCTCTTTTTCTGACCCAAGTAGTTTCTATTTGGCAGTGGGTCAAAACCTTGTACCCCTGGTGAACATCAAAATAGCTGGTAAATGGATGTTCATCCCACTAAAAATGGTATTAATAGGTATTGATCCATACCCATTTCTGTAGATATTTTCACATGAAACACCAAGCCTTCCGCGAAGCCGCTGAAAAAATTCGGTGCAACCGACCCCGATTCCGGATTCCGGCTGGGGTCCCAGCATTCTGCGCCATCAATACGATATCATTGATCATCAATGTGACACTGAGCGCGTGGGTTTAGGAGGAATCATAGGTGCTGGAATATGTTTAGAAGAACACCACTGGTGTATCCAATACAGCCAATTTGCATGTTGTGTGGCAATGCATCTAACCAAAAGATATGATGCTATGTTTTAATACTAGAAATGTTCAATTGATTCCTCTTCAAATGTTCATCTACCAGGTATACCAGTGGATGCTCCCCAAAAAACGAGAGAGAGATAGGTTTGGTGAGCAGTGATGACGCCACAACATCGGACATCATCTCTGGATGTTTGAATAGGTAATCACCTAAAAAAACAGGCCATGGCCATGGTAACCATAGCTGTGTTAGATTCCCAGAGGCTATTCTACATGTATATGCGTATAGATGTGTAGTTTAATTGTGTAAGTATACGTAAATTATATACATTTTCTGTGCGCTTATGGTAAAAGTCACATAGGTATGTCATATTATATGTAAATGGTGAACATAACTGAACACAATGGATCATAATGGATGCTTCGAGCAAAGCGTGCAGCTGTCTCAACCCGATAGCAAAGTCATAGACATTCAGAAAAGTCGCGTAGAAGCACAATATGGAGGATCGAAGATGGCCTCAGAAAAGAGTCATCAAGACTTCTTGGTAAACATAACATAACATAACTATGGAAAGATCCATCATGTTGTAGCTGGGAAAACTCACTATTTCAATGGCCATGGCTTCAATGTCGCAAACTGTTAGTCAGCAAACCAGAGGCTACCATGGATTACCATCTGATTATTTAACATAACCCTGAAAACTCACAGCGAAGTTTTACTGGTTTTACTGGAAACAGCTAAGAACCAACGTTAAACTTTAAGAAACGGGTGAAGGCTTCAGGACATTTCATCGCCACATCCACATGCCATGGCTGCCATTGCCACGCTGCTGTGGGGTGATTCCACAAGAGCCAAGCAGTCGCATCACCGTTTGGTCTGTAGATGTTCGCATCCAACAGGTACGGCAAACTGCGTCAAGGGAAAGTGAAAAGGCTAAAAATATCGGGCCATGAAAGGCTTATCGGGCCTGTATCTGAATGTATGTGAAACCCAATATATATATATATATAAAAAGCATGCCCAAGTGAAGTGAAAATTGGTGAAATGGATTGAATTGCTTTTCAACATCCTTCAATATTTAAAGGTTTACGGCATTGGGTTCCCCACATGGTTCCCGGCCGTTGCCTGAATAACGTCCAAAGCCATGGCATCATTTCAGCTGTCGATTCTTGATGCGAAATCACAAAGATGTCCGCCCGCCACTGGCCCGATCTTGAGATATATGCTGCGATTTGAAAAAAAAACTCCATCTCTTGGTTTGAATCCCGTCATGTCATAGGAACACATCAAGCAAGCACGTCTTCTCGCAAGATTGGAGTATGTAGGAATCCCAAGAACGACAGAACAGGTTTGATATATTTGATTTACCCATACATTTGGTAAGATTTAGCATTTACACCCATTTACCAATTTTATGTTGGTCTTTCTCCAGGGTTCCATACTGTTCCAAAGAAACCAAATCGACAAATTCCCAATTTTGGGCCACTTCTGCGGCCTGTTTCCAGTGTTCGTCAAAGAGTTTAACGTCAATGGAAAGGCCATGATGTGACGTAGTCATACATAGTATGATTACATGTGATTCTTGATAGTATGATTGCATAGTTGTCTACATGATGTTTGCTCATGTGATTATCATCATTTTCCCCCCAAAATACATGGGCTATAAAATCCCCATTGACATGGACATCAAAACCACTGGTTGGTGGTTTTTCGCCTACCCCTGATGATGAAATTCCCAATAAAAGGAAAAATAATCCAAATGTTCCAAACCACCAACCAGATATATATATATATATGATATATCCCAATTAGATTCCATTAGATTCCAATGGATTGTTATCTATATATATATATCATTATATATATATACCATTATATATCATTATATATCATTATACATTATATATTATATTATAACATTACATATTATATTATAACATTTATAGTGGATTTACCCATTAAAAAATGGAGAGTTTCAAACACCCATTGGTATCTTGGAGTTGAGAGATCATCGATGCACCGAGCTAGTCGATACTCCGCGAAGTTTTAGCTGGTTAGCTGAGTCCAAAGGTTATCCAAAGGTTATCCAAAGGTTGGAAGATTCACACTTCTTTTATCTTCTCAGATGTTTTTTTTGGATTTGATAAATTGTTTAATAATGGATATTTAAATGGATATTTGTAAGGTAGAACTCCAAGAGATATCACGATCATTCCATGTATTCTCGATATTTCTCAACGCCGCAAATGCCGTTTTTAGTGCCAGATGTTTTTCCAGGTGAAGATGCCTTAAATGCTTCCCCTGTTAAAGAAAGATTTGCCAAATCTGGTAAATCTGGTAAATCTGGTATATAGAATCATATAGATGTATATTAGTATTCCCAATATATGGAAAAATAATCCAAATGTTCTAAACCACCAACCAGTATATATATATATATGTATATAGTGCAATGTGGTGGCTTCTGTGCTTATTTGTTGTTGTCATATTGTCGTCGGCATCACTTTGGTGGCCCCATCTTCTGGCGCTTAGCATGACGTTCCTTACCCATACCCATCCATACCCATATATTCTTGGTAAACTACACATATTTTGTTGGTAAATCCATGTAAAATCTCCATAGTGGGACACCACTGCGGTTCACTCGCATGATTAATGCGATGAAAACATGGCGCGCCATTTCGGGCATTCATCATTTTCTGGACGAACCCCGATAGCAAAGTTGTCACCTTTGATCTTTTTGGGCTGAGCTTTGATAGCTGAACAGCGGCCAAAGGTGCTAGGCGATGTTAACCCAAGATGCAGAAAAACCATGAGTTTACCTTCGGTAGGTTGGGATACCAACTTGAATATAACTTCATTATTTTCGAGGGGTTAACCCTCCTGATGAATCAACAGAGTTTAAAACTTAATTTATCTAAAGAAATCATTAACATCCGGGGTTGACATTACCAACTTTGCTGCCGCCTGCTATTCCGGAATCCCATTCTTCGTGGCTACGGGTCAAGTCGTCCAAACAACGGAAACTTTTGACCCACAAATGGCGGGTGTTTTTTTCTTTGTATTGAACTACATCTGGTATATATATATATATATTTACTGAACTATGATATATATAATGATACATAATGATATATTATATATATGATATATTATAATATATATATAATATAATATATAATATATATAATATAATATATAATATATATATATATAATAGTATATATATAATAGTATATATATATAATAGTATATATATAATATGATCATACATTTTGGATCCTTCGTTTTGACCCACAGCCCTATACCTTTGTCGCATGACATGAGGTGAATTTCCTCATGTGGGATCCGAAATTTCTATATACAACTGGTCATCACGACACGACGGTCGCGACTGCGCGGTCACAGCATGGCACTGACTGGTCGAAACTGAACTCATAAGATCTCACGGAGACAATACCCGGCCTGGTTATGTCAGACATAGCTATTGAAAATGGCCATAGAAATAGTGGATTTTCCCATTAAAAATGGTGATTTTCCATAGCTATGTTAGTTTACCAGAGGGTAATGATGTGCAATGTGCAATGTGGTAAACCCAATAATGTGTTTGTGTTGAATGAGATCTCCATTTCATTGTTTACCCATGTCATTATTCTTGAACCCATGTAATGATGTGCAATGTGGTAAAGCCAATAATAACATATAATAACAGCCCCAACTTTTGATGGTCAATACATGTCACCCATTTCTGGTGAGATTGGGATACTATTTATGGCTTTGGCTTTACCACATTACAGATTTATTCATGGAGGACAACGGCTCTGATCGTCTTGCAATCTCAGCCTTGAATCGCGTTTGCCGCCACTCACTCATAGGCGGTCTGCAGCTTTGCACTTGAAATCTCCTGCATGTGGTATGTCGAAATAAGAAATGGAGAATGGCGACATGATGCGACATGTCTTCATGACTTTCCATGACTTTCCAAACAGATCCGCCCCATGTGAACCGGCCAGCAATCCAACCAACCCTTACACTTGCCATGTTCTTGACTTCTCAGGCATTTGCAGAGAACATAGATCAGAAATGATCAGAAATTGTTCGTCTGTTTATCTTAGCGTAGGAATTCAAAAGGCACAAGTGTATACAACTACTTACTGGTGCTTAGTAGGGAATGGGTGGGAATGGGGGAATGGGATGATTATTACTAGTGATTATGGATCATTCCCTCATTCCCTACTAAGCACCAGTGAGACTATGACATTTCGCATTAGTTTGACGAAGGAAGCTGTCAGCTTTCGGCGGCTCCTGTGGGTAATTCATGAAGAAGAAGACTTCCTGGGCGTGCGGAGAATGAGAACTGGGCAGAGAACTTACGCGAAATCTTGCAACTTTCAAAAACCACAACGTGGGATTCTCTGTACAACAAAACCAAGTACTGGTGAATGTTGATGATACCTTTTATAGATACCCTCTAGTAAACTAACATAACTATTGAAAATCACCATTTTGTAGCTGGGAAAACTCACTATTTCGACTGGGCCATGTTCAATAGCTATGTAGCAAATTACCAGAGGGTACAAAACAAAATAGATACCAATTGGTGGTTTCAACCCCTCTGAAAAATATGAGTTCGTCATTTGGGATGATGAAATTCCCAACTGAATGGAAAGTCATAAAAACCATGTTTCAAACCACCAACCAGAGGGTATATCATATTAAATCCCATTAAACCACCATTTTAGACCCATCAAAAATCCCATTAAATATAGATATGTCATGACTCGAGTCATTGCTTCAACGTCCCACCTTTCCAAAGACGACGTGATCACCGTGATCCAATCAACTCATCCCAAGTGGCGGCATTGGCATCGTGCAGAGTTGGCACGACCACAGCCTGAAACCACAGACCGAGCCAAAGGTGATCGCATGGAAAATGCCCAGATGACGGCCTTAAAATGCTAAAGTCATACATATAAAAACTACGTATATATATAGTATGTATACGTATATTATATATATATATTTATTTAAGGTATATAAATGTATTGACGGTCAGGACCTTGCAGCTTTGCGTGTTCGCCTCTAAATCGGAGACTTCCAGTCGTCGCGTCTTTGCACTTCCGTCGCTGTCCCTGGCGTGGCGTGGCAGAAATTGGTGAAACTTCCGTGGCGCGGAGCCGGCGATCTGAGGCCATTGCAATCCGTTGCTTCCTATAGCTATGGCACCTCAGTGACAAAACATGGGAATGATTGGTAAATGTAGGGACAATGGAACTTGACCGCAGGAACATTTCAAGTGTCTGAAATGATAATCCTCTTCGTTTCTGCTACACGTTTTGAATGCGATCACTCTAGCTTCAACGAATGCTGGAACCTGAACAAGTTGGATTTTGTCTTCTTGGCATCTCAAGTTGCAGCCCTGTCATCAGTCATCTATGAGTTTACTATATTCCCATTATACCCATTGTATTCCCATCGTATTCCCATCGTATTCCCATGATGTACCCATAAAATGCTTTGTTGCAACACACTCCTCTCAGCAAAGGCGCTTCCTACTCGAATCATTCCAGGTTCATCTGCTGCAATGATAGGTCCTGGCCGGTTCACTTTCTAACTGCGAAGTGGAGAAAAGTGGAGAACCCCCCGAATTGTCATATACCCTCTGGATGTGACTAACATAGCCATGGGAAATGGCCCATAGAAATAGGTGGTTTACTATTGGATGATATTGATGACAACTGGATGACATTGATGATATACTAAATCCATACTAAGTTACTAAGTTCATCAATATCATCCAATAGTCATCCACTTCCCCTATTGGAATTGCCATAGAAAAGGAGGGCTGTCTTCTTCCCGCTCCTAAGACCGTTTCATCCACGAGGCCCACAGATCTCGGCGAGGCAAAAAATCGATGTTGAGGAAAAATTATCGAAAAATATCATCAGAAATGGGATCATATAGATATCATGGGACAAAAAAAAGTACTAATATCATCATATTCTGAATATTATCATGTATATTATAGTACTAATTATATAATTTAGTACTAATATCATCAGTATCGTTTAAATATTCCAATGGCATCATTCTTTTTGACAAATATCTACATTCTCTTAGAAAAAGTGGATAATATCATCATTGATTCCATAACCCATAGGATCCATGGTGCTGGTATATATGCTAACATAAAGGGGGTATATTGATGGGATCCATGTTACCATAGATATAGCATACATGGATCCTATGGGTAAAAATATCATCAGAAAACAAAAATATCATCAGATATAAAGAGAATATGGTCCCATGAAATATAGATGATACCATTACCATTGGAATATAGTATTGAATATAGTCCCATAAACATCTATCATCACATGATTCCATAAAAAGTCCCTTAAAAAACATCATAAAACGCAACGATTGCCGCCTACTCTCAGGCAATTGTCATAATGCCAAGCTGCTGAACCTTTGACTTCTCTCCCTGACCACCGAACTGCGCCGACGAAAAAAACGGGTTGTCTTCATACACTCCTTCCCATGGAAAAATAATGTGGCGAAAATTGGTAAACATACCCTCTGGTTATGGTGGTTTAATGGGATTTAATGGGATCTAAAATGGTGGTTTAATGGGATTTAATATGATGTACCCTCTGGTTATGACTAACATAGCCATGGAAAATAGATGGCCCTAATCGAAATAGATGATGTTCCCAGCTAGAAACCTCCATTGATTTTCGGGATTTTCCATGGCGATGTTAGTCATAACCAGATGGTAATTATGTTTAACCGGTCATCATTGGTCCAATATTTGACGACAATAAGTTGGGCTATTTCTCATTGACAAAACAAACACCATCTCATATCAGTTCATATATCTGGTTGGTCACATATGTTGATATTTCCCAAACTGCCCCAATCATGCTTAATCAATCCATGTTTTGTCGGTAAATCTCCGCTGTTGTATTCTTCATGTTTGCGGCTTATCCGACATCCGCCACGACCACATGGCAACACTAAAAAGACGTGCCCCGGCACGACGACCCAAATCGCACCTCTTTCGGAGTCTCCTGAGACGCAGAGCAGCGAAAGTTATGGGATATTTTATGACCAATCAATTCATGGGGATTTTCAATGGGGATATGGGGCTCCGCTGAGATGTAAGAAATGCAGCCAGTGTTTGGATTGAAACTTGGGTTGAAAGGAATATATGGATCATCTTCATCGAAAATTGTGGGGACGTAGCCTGAAAAATCAGGGAATACGACCCATCTGATTCTTGGAGGCTTATCATCTTGTGGGGGGAAGACTATCCGATGACTATCCCCTACCCCAAAAAATGCGGCGGCCAAACGTACGCAGTATGTACCCTCTGGTAAACTAACATGTCTAACATAACTATGGAAAATCACAATTTTCAATGGGTAAATCCACTATAAATGGACATTTTCAATAGCTATGTTAAATTACCAGAGGGTACAAATCTGGTCTAATGCATTCACGTTCTCTCAGTATTGACTGTATAAATCTGTATAATATGGCAATCTACAGTCAATGAGATCAACAAGCATCCCAGGCACACTCTTTCCACAAAAAAAACTGTCTATAACCGATTTGAGACTCATTTCTTTGCTTCATTGGTCACGACTTCCAAGCGGCCAATGTTGATTCCGAAGTGAGGTTGCCTGCAACGAAGGGAACATCCAGGCATTTCACAGAAGAAATTTCTGGCAACACCGGCGACACCTTGTAGTAGACGAGGTAAAATCCAGGCCCATCCCCGCCAGCCAGGGTGTTCTGAGCGGCAATGAGTGGAAGCGCTGAAAGCTAAGCTACTGTCAAGAAAAGCTGTACTGATTCTTGAATGGATTGGTTTGAGGGAAAATCTACATTGGAAACTCTCGTTTTCTCGTCTTACACCCAAATATATGAGTTGTATCTTCCCTTCGTTCAATTCTTGGAATTATGTGGACATCGAAAACGACATGACTATGGCAAAGCCAAACGAGAATCTCACCACTTAAAAAAAAAGGTCCTGGTATTTTAGTCTCCTCCATATCTGTCTTCAAATTGCCAATGAGAGGACCAATGTGTCATGGGACCATCTGTTAAGGATCAGTCCATCTGCAGCCCCGAAAAAAACATGTGCTATTTTTGGGCCCAAACTTGGGGTTTGTCCATGTGTTTTTCCATCTTTATAAGGTATACCCATCTTTATAGCTTATATATTCGCATATATATATATATATTCGCATACATATAATATTATATAAATATAAGATTATATAAATATAGTTTAAATATGAGGGTTGTTTTTTTGCGCTAAAACATGCTAAATCGTTGAACACCCAACGGAGGTTTTCATAGCCCCAGTTTTCCAGGGAACAACAGGAAAAGATCTGATGGTTCCTGAGGCCCCCCACTGTGCTGGAGATAGTGCTCCAGCGGGGTCACTTTGGGGCAGCTGACGGTCGCGGAGTCGATGTCCTGTCGACCACTGTCGATCCCGTTGGGAAGATATGGGATCTGGGATATACCATCTGGTTATGACTATATAACAGTTCGCCATGGAAAATCCACCCAGTGTATAGCTAGGTAAACCATCTATATATAAATGGGCCATCTATTTTCCATGGCTATGTTAGTCATAACCAGAGGGTACATCATATTAAATCCCATTAAACCACCATAAAATAGATCCCATTAAATCCCCAACAAAAACATCCCCATATATATATATATATGTTTATAATCCCACTTGGGATCTGGGATATATCGCCAAGAATATGACAATTGGGATCCAAAAATGGGGAAGGTAAAAATGAAAAAACGTCTCCGCCACTGCCATCAAGAGATAAAACTACTCACCACATAAATTGAACGGCAATTGCGTACCCAAATCATGTGGAAAATATATGACGCTTATGATTTTCGAAAAAAAAAAAAAAACATGGTCCAATTAGGTGTTCTCAACATCAGAAAAATAGGTTTTCAGAACATGTTCTTAATTTATTCTTAATATTTCTTCATTGCCTTTGTTCATGCCATCCTTTTGGTTGGTTTTTCAAAGCCGCTAGTCCAGTCCGTGTAGATACCGAAGATCGTCTTGAGGGAGTCCACCACATTGATGGTGCCTTCGCAAAAACATCGAAAACACCAGTGGAAAGAAAAAAACCGTGTCCAAAAAGATTGGGAAAAGATTGGGAAATGATGGTAATACTACTGTTAATAGTAGTATAATGGTTGTAGTCATCTACACATCAATAATAAAACTAGTGATGATGATGATCCGTTGGAATTGGGTACCGTGATGTCACTCCAGGATGTCTTGGTGCTTTCCAAGGCACACAAAAAGGCATCGATGTCACAATTTGACTCAGTCGGGTTAAGTCGGGACGATGTGCCAGCAAACTCATGCAACATGCAGGTGACAGCAAGTTGATGCCAATTCTTTGTACCTATTATCGACGAATTCTGGTAGTTGGTTGAGGACAAAGAAGCAAGGGAAGGATTCCCTGGCCGATTTTTTCCCTACCCGTACGATTCTGCAAGCGTGTGCATGAGGGCAAACTGTACATATGGCAAAGTAGGAAAGCAAGGGTCTTATTGAAGAGTTGTAGATTTGTTTGTCATGAAATGCGTATGGAAAATCATAGAAAAATGCACGGCATACAATTTTTTGTGCATACTGCAGGTTTTATTTAACCGTAGGTCCGAGGACCGTGCGCTCACGGGGCAGCTGATCGGGTTACCCAAGAATGCTAATGAACCAGTGAGAAAAGGACATGTAAAGACATCTATAATCTATTTTTTTGTAAAATATCCGGGTGATAGGTTCCTGATGGCTGCCTTGGTTTGATAAATTAAGTTGGAGCTGACAGCACTGAGTTGGAGACGGAAGCACCGATCAACTGCGATGCCAAACCGGCGAAGTTTTCGACCGTATCGAAAGCCTTGGTAGATGTCGGGTGCAACGTAAACCCTACATATCTATCATGTATGTATCATCTATGTATATATATATACAATACATATGTGTGTCTTATTATGTTTTACATGTACATGATGTACATGTATCTAAGATGATTTTGGACGCGATCATCTTTGCAGCAACCTTTCACTGCCGTAGCAAAACGCCAAGACAAGCTGAATCTTCTGTGAATGTTCGAGGACCATTCCACAGTGCCCATTGATGCCAATGCCAGCGAGTTTCCAATTGTTCCTTGGCAGGGAAGTGAACTGCTACATCTGAAGAATTCTTTTCCTATTATGAAATACCCACCATATAAGCCCCAAACGAACAAGAACAATACCAGAAGATGGTTGAGGAATAGGGGGAAGGGACTCAGGATCAATACAGCTGATGTGTTCTGATGTTGGTCTACATTCTCGCAGGATTAAGGCGTCTAAAAATAGGATGGCCCCAAATTGGATTTTGATGGTAAACTAACATAACTATGGGAAATTGGCCCATTTATAGTTGATCTACCTATTATAAATGGTGTTTATCATCTGCGAATCAACAAAATGCCATTTCTAAACAGTCCCCATCGGATAAACATGATAAACCAATGACTGATGAAAGCTGGTTGCTGTAGATGTTCCCCAGAATCCTATCCGAGCTGCACAATCGGTGATTTCTCCAGCGCAAGCCATTGAAATCGTTGCGGCTGCTGCTGATGCATCCATTGTATCTGCCTGGCTGAACTCCAATGGAGGAAATTGCCGGGATGGGATGAGATCATTCCCCCATTCCGCAAAAACGGATTCCCTACGTTTAGCACCAGAAAAATTCATGGGGATTTAACCTGCCCACAACTTTGGTTTTTCAAGCTGGTTTTTCAGGGACAATTTTCACTGACCCAAAATGGTTGTTTTTCAGCTCGGCTCAGCTCAATCCGGAAATTTCCCCATGTTCTTTTCGGAAACCAATCCGGAAATCAATCCATTGATCCAAGGTGCAATGAAACCCGAAATATCTGCAGCGCAGTCTGGGGGAGACAATAGTTCACCCATGCAATCGCCTGTCATTGCTACGACCTCAGGTCTCTCACTGTGACGACAAAAATAGGTGCTGTGGCACTGGTCAGAAGGGCATGCTAGGATATCATGTATTTATATATATATATAATGTAGCATATATATATACATATATACATATATATATATACATATATATACATATATATATATATACATATATATATATATACATATATATATGTATATATATATATATGGTCCCGGCCGGCGGCCGGCAACCCACCCTTCAATGCTAACCACCCCAGCAAGCATTTTGGATGGAGTCCAAGCCATCTACGACCAGCCGTCAACAGGTTACCTCCATGCCAGGGTTCATTGTCTGTAGGCCCATACAATCTATTTACAAACGTATTACCCTCTGGTGATTTAACATAGCCATGGTATAGATGGCCCATAGATATAGATGGTTTACCTAGCTATAAAATGGTGATTTTCGATGGCTATGTTAAATAACCAGATAGTACTGCCCATCAAGTAGCTTGATAGTAGCCAATGTCTATAACACCTACCCATCCCATAGTGGAGGAAGGGTGGGGTTGCTGGCCTGGGCCGTATATACTAATATTAATTATATAGATACCATATACTTGGTATCTATGTTGTTTAGGATCTGGAATCATGCGATTGTTGGCTAAACCAGAAGTGTGTAAATCTATATATATATATTCGGCCATATATATATAGAATAGATAACTATAGTTTTTATGTATGATCATATAATATAATGGATTGTAATTCTTTATGTATATATATATATATGTATACATTTGTATATAGTCCAAACCATAAAATTACCACTATGGTTTATATATACATAAATAATTACAAACCATAGTGTATTCATATCTATAATGGTTTATATATAAATTACATTTGTGCAATAGTGGTTGGTTTCCCAATATATAATGGATGTTGATAGTCCCGATGAGATATACCACCCATCATTGATACCCTCTGGTAAACGTTTACAAAAAGCTATTGAAAATGGCCATAGAAATAGTGGATTTACCCATTAATAGCATGGTGATTTTCCATAGTTACGTTAGTTTACCAGAGGGTATCAATGATATCTCCAAGCACGTTTGATGGTTAAAAGTCCAACAAAAACCTGCATTTTAATGATTCAATCAGTGAAAACGATAAAAGATCCCCAGAAAAATCGTTGAACATCGTACCTCCTAAATGAAGGTTCTAAATTTAGATGGGTATTCCAAGATCATTTAGATCTTTAATTATCTTTAATGATCACAAATGGATGGTTCTAATTGATCTTTCATGTTTTTTTAAACCATCTAAATGATCATGGAATCCATGAAAATCCTTACTTTGAAACATGCCGAAACTGAAATCCCGCCCCTGCCCTTCCCCTGCTGAAATCCACCTGGGGAGCCCAGCATCTTGTGCCATCATGGTGATGTCGTTGATCAACAAGGTGGCACTAAGAGCGGTCGCTGGTCATCCCATGACTTGGATGGATTGGATGGGGAATCCCCATGACTTAGGAATCTCCACCCTGTCATTTATTGAACATATGCGGAAGTTTGCCCAAAACCCTGATTTTTTTGGTACTTTTTTCAACAAAAAAATAAGGGAATCCGATTGCTTTCTCGAAACATCATCCATGAAAAAAAAAAAATGGCCTGAGACTGGAAAATCCGAACATCGTTTTCATTGGATACCCTCTGGTAAACGTTCACATAACTACAGTATGGAAAATCACCATTTTGTAGCTGGGTAATTCCACTATTTCTATGGCCATGTTCAATAGCTTTTTGTATGTTTACCAGAGGGTATATCATATTAAATCCCATTAAACCACCATTTTAGACCCCATTAAACCACCATTTTAGACCCCATTAAATATAGATATGTCATGACATGTCATTGGATTTCTTTAAGGGTAAAACTGCAGGAAACCCGAGTTACACCGGAGACTCGCGGCCTTTCAGTGTTTCCTGTCGAGTTTCCCAAGCTAAACTGGGTGGTTTCAGACCTTTTTGTGAGTAGTCACCAAAAATAGTTTCACTTTCTGCATTAGATTCGTCTTTTGGGTCCAGTTCTGCTCGTTCCTTTGCCATGGAAATTGAATTCAGCCCCAAAAATACGACAATTCTGGCGAAATCAGATCGAATAATTATCATTGGATACGGCCCAAGAAATCGGATGACAGCAATTGTGGGCATGTAATATATGTCATGATTAAGATTGATTATATATATATACACACACTATATATATAATTATATATATATACACTATATATACTACGTATATATATATACTATATATATAAGTAGCGTATAGTAGCGGTCCTCGGACTGGGGATACTGTGGATACACCAACTACTTCAGAGAAGCCACGATGCAGCACAAAATGGAGGATCGAAGATTGCCTCAGCGGAAGTGTCCAAGTTGACCACAACAACTCAAGGTGGAAAAACTCAGTAGACTCAATCATCACTCGTCAAACATCTCTTTTTTTTACCGCTTAAGTCACCATTTCTCAAAAACGGGTAAGTATGTTTGGGCCACAAAGGTTTGCCATATTCATATCCATATATAATATATTGATCCAAATTTTGCCATATTATGACTAATATTATTATCCACATTATTGTTATATCCACATTATTATCCATATGATCCACATTATCCATATTATATCCACATATTATTTATCATAATATTATATGGATATCCATATTATTATCCATATTATCCACATATTGTGGATATTCTAATGTGGATATTATATAATATTATCCATAAATATCCATAATATGTTGATCCATATTATCATCCACATCACAGTTTTCTTCAAATTGTCCCATGATTCCCAGATATAAAGCCTGGGTGCTGTGGGGTGATTCCACAAGAGCCAAGCAGTCGCATCACCGTTCGGTCTGAAGACATTCGCGTCCAACAAATACGGCAAACTGCGGCGCCAGGGCTTTCCGGTAACCCTGGGCCCCTGGGGTCTGAAACTCTGAAGGATCAAAACCTCCACTTTCATCACAAAAAACAGGAACAGCTTGAGAACCGAAGTTCTTTTGGATGTTTGAGAATGGCTTGGCAAAACCAACCGTTCATGGTCACTGTGAAGTGCCAGGTGCTATCCTGAAAACCGATAAAAAATTTGGTGCCGCCTGAAGAACGTCCAGAGCCATCGCATCACTTTGGAGGAAAAAAAACGCCTGGTGAAACTTCACGCCTAACGCCTTCGAGCGTGTGACGGGAACTCGGAAACTCGGTCACTCGGTCCCAGTGCAGCTGCACTGCCGATTGAGCAAAGAAGCTGCGGAACTGCACAATTCAACGATTCAAACATGTGAAAGCACCATGGAAACTCACTGCAGTGTAAAAGAATTCAATGTAACATATACATATACATATACATATATATATATATACGATACATACTGTACATGTATAAATATAATATATGTATATATATAATATGCCATTGATGCGTTTCTGCACAGAACAAAAAGGGTTTGGTTTGGCCCCAGCCTCTCAGCGTCGGGGAAACCTGGGAAGCCACTGTTGAACAGAAGAAACGATGGATTCCGAGTTTGCCTTGAAAAGCCATTGATATTGAGGGTATTTTGAGGGTGACATTGAGGGTACATCTATTACTTACTGGTGCTAAACGTAGGGTTGCTGGATGGGTTGCTGGGGGTTGCTGGGATGATTATGAACCTAGTGATTCTGGATCATTCCCGAAAATTCCCTGCTAAGCACCCATCATATTTCTATGATGTGAGGCCAGTGTTCACATTCTATCAAGCTGAGAGGCCATGGCCAGTGTCCAAGCCAAGTGGCTGATGTAGAATTTCTCTCAACTGGCACCATCTAAATCAAACTCAAGATCAGAAACATTCATAAATAAACATATATGTTAACCATCCAAAATAGATCCATAAATAAAATCATAAACCATCCAAAATAGAGGTTTCAACCATTGGCTTTACCATAAGCTCTGCCTGGTTTCACCAACCCGCATGGGTCACCAACTTGCCAAGCCGCCTCGTGGAGGTGCCAGGACATCCTGCGGGACCGACCTGCGGACCTGGCAGGTCGATTCATGTTGTTCAACGAAGTGTATTGAACCTTTTGTCACATCGTGAAATACCATCGAATACCATGTTAAGTATATATACCCTCTGGTGAACTGTCCCATAGCAATGGAAAGATCCACCATTCTGTAGCTGGGAAAATCCACTATTTCTATAGCCATTTTCTATTGCAAACTGTTAGTTCACCAGAGGGTATGTTATACCATGGATGCACTGGATTCAGAGGTGCCATTCCAACTGGCCAAGCTAAAAACGCACATCAGGTTGAAAAATCACTGAGAACTGGTAATTCACAGGTCATGGATCAGCAAATTTTGTTGCTTATATAATATATATATATATGACATATCCCAATAGTTGATTTACCATAGTTATTGGTATCCATAGTTGATTTACCATAGTTATTGTTACTGGTAATAGATATCATATATGATTTACCCAGCTACAAAATGCTGGATCTTTCCAGTTCGCTACGTAAACGTTTACCAGAGGCTGTATATATATATGCTATATATCCCAATTAGATTCCATTAGATTCCAATGAATTGTTATATAATATATATATATATATCATTATATACCATTATATATCATATTATGTTATGATATCCCCGCCAAAAATCTCCGGTCATTCGTCCCCTATTTAGGTGATGACGATCTTCCCACGTCGCCTGCTGGGCTCCACAGCTCGCCGCCGGATCCACACGGCTTTGGCCGAAATCCGGGGGTCGAAATCTGAAAGAAATGGCAAGACACTAATGTAAGGATAGCGAATCTGATGCCAATATGTTATAATATGTTAATATATATATATATGATATCTACATATTTATATATATATATATGATATCTACATTTATGATATCTACATATTTATATATATATATGATATCTACGTATTTATATATATATATGATATCTACATATTTATATATATATGATATCTACATATTTATATATATATATATCTTCGTGCATCGGTGCAGAAAACTCACTGCAACCATGCGGTTTCGCTGGAGAAGGCAATCCAAATCGCTCCTTTTTCAACTGATTGCGCCGTGGCTTTCGGACATGTCGTTGACGGGCAGTCCCGCAACTTGAATTTTGCGTTGAGTCGATGGTTTGTTCTTCATGCTGTCCGTTGCTGAGTTGTGAAAATCTTTCAACTTCAGAGTGAAAACCATGGTGTTAGCCTGGTGTTAACATGTATTACTATATACGAATCAAGTATGCCTATCCATTGTCGCTGAAGTCTTTATGTTTGCCTCACAGTTCCCTCCTGAATTGGCACTCAGGAACCAGATGGAACTATCTGGACACAATTTCTGCATCTCATCTTTGTCGTGGGAGAAATGGTCGCATTAAAAGATGTCTCATTGATGTCTCACTGCTGCAGCTTCCATCAGCTTCCATCATTTTGATGGACCCAAGTGGCAATCCAAGTGGCAATCCTCTCTTTCCGATGCCGATTCTCCCAGGACGCTACAGTTTTCGCATTAGCATTTCGTTCGGTTTTGATGGAGACACCAGCGGGGCCTCGTCGGCTCAATTAGTGCAATTTTTAGCTTCCCAAAGAACTGGGAGGCAAACAATGGAAATCTAAAGTGTTTCCAATGCCAAACTAATAGTCATTAATGATCATTCTTGGTTTGTGAAGAAAAAATCGTAAAATGATGGAATACATTGAATACATCTGTACATTGGAAGAAATATTGGAAGAAATATTGGAATACCATCTGGTTATTTAACATAGCCATGGAAAATCACCATTTTGTAGCTGGGTAAATCAACTATTTCTATGGCCATATATGGCCATTTTCCATGGCTATGTTAGTCATAACCAGAGGGTACATCATATTAGATCCCATTCAACCACCATTTTAGATCCCATTAAATCCCATCATATTAGTCTCAATGTATTCCATATATATATATGGGAATATCATCATTTTGAATGGGTAAATCAACTATTTCTACGGTCATTTTCCATATATATATAACCATTGGAATACAAAGTACTGGTTGTGTCATTTTACATCACTAAACTGAGCTCTTTCCGCGAGATCCCAACTCGAAACCTACTCGTTTCGCGCTGATCGATCGCATCTCCCAGCCTCCCGTGAGACGCAAAGGGCACGAGCACTTTGTCCCATGGCCATCACGGTCCTGGAACGAACAACTCGCGGAGGTCTGTTATGTTCCACCAATGGATCAAGCAAATGGACCAATGGACATGGTTTGCTGTAGAATGTTGGAGAAGGTTGGTGGTTTCAAGTTTCAACCTACCCCTCTGAAATATCATGGAGTGAGTGAAAGTCAGTTGGGATGATGACATTCCCAATTCATATGGAAAAATAATCCAGCCATGTTCCAAACCACCAATCAGTTGTGGATTCACCATGGCTTTCGACATCGATGGTGGCTCAACTCCCACCTGCCGCAGAAGTTTCCGTGGCCTCCTGAGCTGTCTCTGCGGCCTACGGTTTTTCACGGAACTCAGCAGACGAAAAGAAGTCGTTACGATATCTGTAAGATATACCATCTTGTTATTTAACAGTTCGCCATGGAAAATCCACCAATTTTATAGCTAGGTAAACCATCTATAAATGGGCCATTTCCCATGGCTATGTTAGTCATAGCCAGAGGGTAGTGACTATAGTGTCATATAGGGACACAGTCAGTACGAATATCATCGAATCTCTGATCATCTCACTGATCACTGCAAGACTTGAATCTCCCAGATGACCGTTTTCAAGTCTATACCCGGCCTGGTAAACATTCACAGTTTGCGACATTGAACATGGCCATAGAAATAATGGATTTACCCAGCTACAAAATGGTGGATATTTCCACAGTTTTTTGTATGTTTACGGCCATAGAAATAGTGGATTTTCCCAGGAAAAATGGTGATTTTCCATCGTTTTTGGTATGTTTACCAGAGGGTTTTGATGTTTTGTCTCAACGAACTTCCACGACTTCCACGTCGCGACCTCGGGCTCTTGTGGCAGACCAGTGGAGAGGCCCCCCACGGAGTCCAGTGGATCCTGTGGCAGAAAGATCAAAACTCGGTCCATACCCCACTTGATACATTATCCAATGGGATTTAATGGGATTTAATGGGATTTTATGGGATTTTATGGTGGTTTAAGTGATGTGAGTCATGACACAACCAGTACATTGTTATTACCCTCTGGTTATGACTAACATAGCCATGGTATAGATGGCCCATTTATAGATGGTTTACCTGGGTTTACCTATTACAAAATGGTGATTTTCCATGGCTATGTTAGTTTACCAGATGGTATACATCAAGGTGATAATGCTATATAATGATATATAAGGTGATATCAATATATAAGGTCATTATATATATATGTATATATCATTATCACCTTGATACATATCATCAATATATCACATTATATATCATCAAACATCACCATGTTTGATGGTAGACTTATATAGTGATATGTAATGTGATATGTGATGTGATATACCCTCCAGTAAATTAACATAGACCCTGGCAATCATCGGGCTTGAAAGACTAGTGAAACCACTCAAAATGTGGTGATATAATTTAAGGGTCCAACTGTTAATTTTCCAGAGGGTAATGTATATATACTTTTCAATAATCATATGTAATCATGATAATCATATATAATCATGTATAATCATGTAATGTATATAACATAATAGCCATGAAATATCCTTTTTTTGATGGTTAACCTGGCAACCTGGCCATCCAAGGATTCGCTCCTGACTGCGTTGCTTGGAACGAAGCAGCGTGGCTACAGAGCCTCAGCGCAAATCGAACGAACGAAGGAAAATCGAGGCGTCCTGAGATGTTACGGAGCCATAGGTATGTGAGGTATGTGATATATCCCAGGGAAAACTATACTTGAAAATAATGATGTCACAGCTATACCTACAAAAAAAATATGAAAAACATGAAATATATGGAGCCATCAAATGTCAGTGATCAAATCTGTTCAATAATAAGGCTGATTATTCTGTTTTTCTTTGAATACGGAGCAATCTATTTACCCTCTGGTAAACTAACAGTTTGCGAACTGGAACATGGCCATAGAAATAGTGGATTTACCCAGCTACAAAATGGTGATTTCCCATAGTCACGTTAGTTTACCAGAGTGTAATAATTTCTCTGATTCTACGTGCCATCACGGACTTCCAATCACTGAATCACTGTTGGAGCTGCCGTGCCAAGCAACTTTGAGATCCAAGACGTGTCTCCAACTCCTTGCAGAATGACAAAACGTTAGGTGATTGTAGAACGTTATTGTTACAGTAGGTCGAACTGTGAACACTCACCATCCAAGAGTTTTGGAGCAACAACTCAGCAATCACCTATGGATATATATATATATGTATATATATATACCCATAGGATCCATGTATGCTATATATGGTAACATTTACCATCAATATACCCCCAATGTTAGCATATATACCATACATGGATGATATGGGATATACATGCCACCTGCCACCGGTAAGAAAGTTCTGTCACCTCAAAATTTTCGCGTCACGTAAAACCCCCCCTGCTGTCGTTTCCAAAAAAGCCAAGTGCTTAAGTCCTCCAGAACGGATTGCGTGACGATCCGGGAGTTTTGAAGACGTTGCAAACAAATCATCTCCTGTTCCTGGCAGCTTCATCAATATCCCAGACATGCCATGTTGATGGGATATTGATCCCAAATCCGAAGATTCCGAATCCTCCACCTAAAAGGAAGATATGTCAGATATGTTGGGCTTTAAACACTTAATTGATGTGTTTAAGGAGGATTCAGAAAAACAAAAAAAAGCTTGTGCAAAGGCACTTGAACTCCAACTTTCTGTATCAACCAACCTTCAACAAACAAGCAGCTTGCCATCCCCGGATGTCTAGGGCCTCAATTCATTTGCTCGTATATCATATCTAAGACCAAGATTTTGACTCATTTAATATGAACATGTCTCATCAACAAATTACCAAAACACTGAATAGCTGTTTCGGAATGTCAATGTGACTCTTTTATTTGCGCGCTTTTTTAATGCCAGCCTTCTTATGTATATAAATAGTTTGAAGAATTCCCAATGTTTGGAAAGTTTATCCAGTTACTCAGCTACATCCAAGATCATCCCAGTGATTCTGGGATATCCCATTCTGAATATGATGGATATCTAGGTTCTACGTATATCCAGGTATGTATAATATATGTATAAATATGATATATCATATTATACCTCCACTCTATCTCCATTGAAATTGATATACTATATTGGAACTATATACTCTCCGTATTGTAGATATTTAATGATATTCTTATACTATCTAGATATTACATCGATACATATTGTAGATATCCATACGTATAGTTATATAGATACTAGATAGTATATCTATGGAATATATTGTAGAACTATATTAGAACTATATACGTGATGGAATATATATATGTGTATCAAAATGAATTGACATACTATACTAGAACTATATACATATATATCTAGATATATCATTATATTGTAAACATGATCTGGTTGGTGGTTTTAACCATCTTGAAAAATATTAGTCAATTGGAAGGATTATCCCATATCTTATGGAAAATAAAAGCCATGTTTGAAACCACCAACCAGTGATATATTGTATTATATATATATCTATCAAAATGAATTGATATACTATACTAGAACTATGTATATCATCATATCATCATATAAACATGGTATATCATTATATTATAAACATGATATATTGCAGCTATATCTCCGTATTGTAGCTATATTCTATTCAACCTCCATCAGCTGCCACCTCCAAGTCCGGCAGCGTCGATTCTGCCTCGAGGACCTGACGCATGGCATTTTGACAATGGTGAAAATGTCATGGATACCATAACATAGTGATTAATTAATAGTGATCAATAGTGATTAATAGTGATTAATAGTGACTAATAGTGATTAATAGTGATTAATAGTGACTAATAGTGATTAATAGTGATTAATAGTGATTAATAGTTATTAAGATCTAGCTTGTATGATATCTAATCCATTAAAATATAATGATACCATTAGGATATTACTGTAAGATATTCTTAAGATATTACAGTGAGATACTGAGAACTATAGTAATCTGTTAAACCATACGGTTCATCACTATCTTCCCGAACCATATTTCATAGATGAATATCTTATATCGATACCGGTTTCACAGGATATATGGGTGTATCATGGGTGTATCATGGGTGTATCTAAGACTTTTTAGCAATATTTATATTGATGAATATCTACATTATATATCTTATACCCTCTGGTTATTTAACATAGCCATGGCAAATGGCCCATTTATAGATGGTTTACCTATTAAAAATGGTGTTTTTCCATGGCTATGTTAGTCATAACCAGAGGGTATGGTCTGGGAGAATGTTGATTCATCAAATAGATGTCAAATATCTGGACCGGTAAAATCCGATGTATTCAGATGTTCATTTTCTGAATCATAGTTGAATGGCTCAAATCCACCAGCTACCAGCTAATGGACCAGTAAATCAGATATTCAATAACCAGTGTATTAATATGTATTGATACAGTATCTGATTTTAGTGCTTATGATTTTGGAATTATTAATTCACAGACTTGCAAGATATAAACAAACGATAGAATTGCCATAGAGACAGAGCATTGCTACCGAAAAACTGGCCAGTGGGCACTGAAAATATCCAACACTCCACAGCAACTATTTCATCAACCTTGGTGATATCAAGACTGGCTCAACATGGGAACACATTTGACACGATTTTTCATTCCAAATTTTCTGAATTCTAAAACTAGCCAACACCTTCGTTGTCCATTTATCAAAGTTTCCAAACCAAACTGGCCAAGAACTGTCGTGCATTCCAAAATATTCAAACAGCCTTCTTTTTAGTTCGCCGACGAAAAGTGTCCTTTGTCACATTCTTTGTGCGCTACAGCTGCACTTGTGGCAGGCATCCGGCGGGAAATCAAATCTCGCATCGAAACAAACACGTCTTCCCAGCTGGGTATACCATTTGTCATACTCTACTAGTTGAGGTACCTGTCTATTAAAGAAGAAAAATGAATCAACGGGACAAGGACGCCGTCGATGAACCAAGTCAGGATTTGGTCATGAGGTCGATCATATCTGACCTCAAAAGTGAAGGACATCGACGGCGCAGCAAGTGACAGGGACAAAGTGGGTGTGTCTAAAAATTGGGTATACCCGATACCATTCTGATATATTCTTGTAGTCAAAATGATGATCAACCATAAAACTTTAGGGTACCCTGTTTTCAGACAAACCCAATATGGAAATAGGTGAAGTATCTTCAACACCAGTCCAACATTGACCATTGACCATTGATCTGCCTCGTGTTTGGCGCACCATTGATCTGCCCCAAGTTTCTTAGTTCTTAAATCACCATTGAGTTTAATTCCCTATCACCCTAAAAGTGACCAGCATCCCCGTTGATACAGACTTAATACTTATTGGTTGATTATGCCCTCATGAAAATGATAAAATTTACCCGCTGGGATTTTTTTAACCGTCTGCTTTGGAAAATCACAATAATTAACATGTATCAAAATAGTGGTAAATCCTCAAACATCCTCAGACTATATAACTACCCTCTGGTTATTTAACATAGCCATGGAAAATCACCATTTTTAATAGGTAAACCATCTATAAATGGACCATTTTCCATGGCTATGTTAAATAACCAGAGGGGAAAATTGGATCTAAATGGGCTATGGCATCGCAAGTTGTGTTAATTTCCATGGCTGAACGGCTGAACTAATATAGACTTACAGTAATAGAAATGTGGAAACACCATGGTGGATCAATTACATTTCGATTTTTCCCGAGGGTTTCCCACAATTGTGTCTTACCCCCTGAATCTGTGCTGTTTCCATCTGTTTCCCATTAGATATTGTATAGATTACCCTCTGGTAAACTAACATAACTATGGAAAATCACCATTTTGAATGGTAAAATCCACTATTAAATCTGGTAAACCACCATAAAATCCCATTAAACCACCATTTTCCTATGGTTTTCCACATCGCATCGTCTTTTCCACCGATCTCCCACCGATCTCCCACCGATCTCCCACCGAGCTCCACGTACCACTCTTGTGGCGTCTTCTCCGCACGCGTCACCTGCGAGGAATAGGCTCCAAAGTCCTGGCGATGGCCACCGATTGAAATGTGGAATCACCAGGAATCAACAGTGATGTCGTACTGAAGAGCTATTGTATAGTGATCATATAGTGATCATATAGTGATCATATAGTGATCATATAGTGATCATATAGTGATCATATAGTGATCATATAGTGATTATAAATGACTATATGATATCAGTTGATATCATGCATGTCTTTCCATGGCCATGGTCGTTGATCCCCAAAACCCCCCGCATCGCACCCGGTGCCAGAGGGAGAATTCCGACAGAGCGTCCCAAAGACGAGCCTCGTTGATCCTTAGCGTTGATAAAAAAAAAGGACGAGCGACTCGCGAATCAAACGTTAGACCTTCACAGATCTTCACAGGATTTAAGTTGTCTTCACTATCAGTAACCCATAGGATCCATGTATGCTATATATGGTAACATTTACCATCAATATACCCCCAATGTTAGCATATATATACCATACATGGATGATATGGGTAATAATTATGTGTTTAAATTAGCATCGTTGTGAAAATTGACAAATTGTCATGTATTGTCTACAGATTGTCTACAGTTGACAACGAAAAATTGCCAAAAAGTGCACCTGCAAAAGGGTTTCAAAGTTCAGCTGAGACTCTCCTTGTCCGCTGGCACTGCATAGTCTACGTAGAATCTTGGCAGAATTGCGCGGCATTCCGCAGGAGATTTCCGTAGGTTTACCCTCTGGTAATTTAACATAACCATGGAAAATCACCATTTATAGTGAGTTTTCCCATGAAAAATAGTGATTTTCCATAGTTATGTTAAATTACCAGAGGGTAACTCCCTTTGACTTTAAAAAGCATGAAACAAATGCATCGTAGACTTGGTTGCACCGCAAGCATAAGCAAAGTACCAATCTGACAAAAGACTTCAGAGGAATCATCGAGGAAACGTGTGAGACGAGTTCATACAAGAAGAAAACCTCTTCGAACGGAATGCCCTTCTGTTTCAGAGTGAGCCTTTCAATGGACACCTTTCCAAGTTGGTCCAGAGAAAACGCCTAAAAGTCTGAGGTTTCGAGGGTTCCTTTTACGGTAGATGGAACTTCAATCCAGTTGATCCATGTTGATCCAATTTTCAAAATTTCATCAGTTGTCATTCTCGGATTCTTGAAACTTGATCATCCCAGCAATGATCAAGTATCATCAATTATGATGGAGGATTCAAAAAAAATGATGATTTTGTGGAAATTTTGATGATCATCATCAGTTTTCATGAAGGATGTTACAATGTTCCGAGAAAAAGCGGGGGAAATGGTGCAGAATCCAAGCTGCAAATAATCCCAAAGTCTCGCTTTGGTCAAACTGGGTGGTGCTCGAAGGCCCAAAGCCAATGGCCGCGTTTCAACCTGTGACATGAAATGATCAATGGAAGATATCTATACATATATATCATATATATCATATATATCATATAAATTCATATAAATTCATATAATATCATGGATTATACAAATGGCGTTTCAACCATGGCGGAATCATCATTCCATGAATCATTGGCGAATGATTTTGGGGGGTGCCCCTCTACAGATTCCGAGCCGTGCACCGTGCCTTTAAAACGTCGATGTTGCGCAAGGCCCAGCAGGCCAAGAGTTTAAAAATGGCTCCGGGCCTTGGTCTTCATTTTACCCTCTGGTTATGTCAAAATAGCTATGGAAAATCACCATTTTTGATGGGAAAATCCACTATTTCTATGGTCATTTTCAATAGCTATGTTAAATTACCAGAGGGTACTGTCCCGAATACGAATATTGGGTTTTTTTTGGGAGGTACTGTGGATGGTTGCGAAATCCGGTTATCACCAGTTGATAGCTGGGAAACATCCCATTATTTATAGGGTGTTAACATGTGTTAACCATCCAAGGTGGTGCAGGATTTCTTCCACCCACCGTATCAAAATGCATCAAATATCCACGATTGATCACCACCTGAACATGATGAAAAACATGAGAATGACACTTGCACATTGGAAAATGAAAAAATGAACATGACAATATGAAAATGATAGTTTCACATGATCGGAGAATGATATGAAAAAGGAAAAACATGAAAAACAAAACTAAAAAATGAAAAACTACAGTAATTCCTTGGTCCGGACTCAGTCTGTGGCTGTAAGATTCTGATAAGGTTAAACCATGGTTAGACCACTATATTTGACCCCGTTCCACTGGTGAATCGCCATGTTCTCCAAAATTGCCTGCAATTCTGGGTTTACCTCCCATTCAAACCATTCAAACCTCAGCTAAACCCAAAAAAAAACCTTTAATCATCTAGAATCTATTTTTTAAGGGGTTTTCCATGAAATACATGAAATAAACCATCCATAAACCATCCATTTGGGGATACTCCCACTATGGAAACCCACCCTGAACATGGCCGATGCAAGGCGCTCATTACTCAGCGCAAAGCAGGCGGAGCGCTTTTGCAACGCGTTCTGCACGTCCCGCGGAAAGGGCGGGGGAACTTTGGACGCTTCGCCGTTGCGGAGATGGAACAGGATGTAACCTGATTTCGAACTGGGGAGGAAACATAAAGCCATCATGGAGCCATTATGAAGCACCATCGTAAGACACAATAAAACAATGTGAAACATGTAAAAACCATGTAAAAACCATGTAAAAACCATGTAAAAACCATGTAAGACAATATAAAACATCATGATACACCATGAAACTACTTTTTGAAACCTGATGAAACATGGCAAAAAAAAATGATGAAACATCATAAAACCTTGTGACACTTCATGAACGATCGCAAAACACGACACATCCTGAGCTTTGCACTTAGGGAACTTAGGGCAATGAGCTGACGGATGACGTTCAAAGCTGAAACCCTACGGTCTGACTCTATCAATGGCGTGATCTACGGTCACTTTCAAGGGACGCGTCTCCAGAAAGGCATCGTTTCCAATGTCCTGGGCTCAGCGAGTTTTGCAACACACGGATTCCAAAAAGGGAAAAACAAAAATGTGTGGTTCCTTCACATTGTCAAATATCCAAGAAAACATTGGTATTTAGATGTAGTGTTGGATTGCTCTTCATTTTCGGGACCGGGGTCATGTTGGGTCGACGTAGGCTGTCCTCTGCCAAGACGGAGAGTTCATGCTTGGCTGCTGCCTCCTTTGTTGCAATCGCACAAGCCGCTCCCAGCGCGAAGCCACCGTTTCTCACCTACAACCACGAACGAAGAGGGAAAATGATGGCAAATGATGGAAAATGATGGCAAATGATGGAAAAATGGGGATTTGAAAGCCAGAAAAATGTAGCAGAAAAACTGAACAACAAGTTTAAACACTGGCCTTCGCAACTGTCATGTGATACACAGATTCGGATAATCATTCAAGTGGCATGTGAAACAGAATGGACAGTTCCTGTTCCCGTTCCATTTCGATAAGTGTATTGTTGCCCATTGAAAACGATGTATCCCAATATCAACAATGGAATAGAAACACTACATCTTATCCAGACGATCCCATGTGCGACATGGAAAAATGATCGCAAGTTGGAACATGTTTTAAAAAAAAAAACATAGAATCTCCCAGAACATATTGACACAGGACCAATATTGTTTTTGTGAAAAATCGTATGACAATGATACCTGCCATCTGTAAACCCTCCTGTGTCATCAGCTCCGTGGCTGGAAATCCCCCCACATTTAGTTCGATGATTTTCCCAGCGAACGAAACATCCATTTATATATAGGGGTTGTCCAATTGCCATATTTGATTGCCGTACAGGATTTTAGGATTTTCCGATTCAAACAAGCCAATTCTAAAAAAGCTGATATACTGTACTTATTATCCATGATGATGTCTATATTTGATTAAATAAATGATGTGATATATGACTATATGACCAGTCTGCCCTAAATTTACCAGAGTTATCCATTCATTTTCCCTGTTTTATGGCGGATTCTTCCATATGTTTCCATTCATTTTCCCAGATGTTTCCATTGTTTTCCATGAATGTTCCATTGATTTTCCCATTTTTTTCCATATGTTTACATGAATGTCCCATATTTTCCATATTTTTACATGAATTTCCCATATTTTCCCATCTTTTTCCATATTTTTACATGAATTTCCCATATTTTCCCATATTTTCCCACATTTTTCCATATGTTCCATGAATTTTCCCAGATTTTTTCGGACCAACGAAGACTCCGCTGCCCCAGCGGCCTTCCTGGCTGCTTCAGTGGTGGAGATGGTGGAGATCAGATCCAACGGCGCTAAGGCCTGCGGACCTCGAGCTGTGCCAAGCTGTGCCAAGTTACCTGGGATTCATGTGATATATATATTATATATAATGTGTAATATATATATATATGTTTATATATGTTTATATATGTTTATATATGTTTATATATGTTTATATATATATGATAACATAGAATATCATGTAATATGTATATGTATATATAATGTGTATGTTTCAATAGGAATATATGTTTTAATAATAGTGTATTATGTGATATATAGTGATATAACATCCTATAATGTGTATTATGGAATATATACCCATGACGGATCCATGGTGCTGCTATATATGGTGTGCCATGGATCCCATCAACATACCCCCTTTATGTTAGCATATATACCAAACATGGATGATATGGGATATATATATATATGTTTATATATATTATATATTATATATATATGATTATATTATATATATATGATTATATTATATATATATGATTATATTATATATATATGATTATATATGATAACATCCTGTTTTGGTATCGGTACATTCTGTTTTCTGCTCTTTTTTGGCCTTTCATTTTTGAAACTTTGGCCCTTGGCTTGGGTACAACCATCGGGATGTTCTCAGGGATGGGCATCCTACCCTCTCGTCAAGCGTGGCTGGCTGGAAAATACACGGAAAAAAGAACGGAAGCTTGGAAAAAATGGATGTTTATAGCTGGAAATACCGGAAGAAATGGATGTTTAGTTCGCTGGAAAAATCATCTACAACTGGATTTTCCAGCCGGCAACGTTTGATGACACCGGAGGGTGTCATACATGGTGTCATACGCCATACGCATCTACCAGGATTGCAATGGAGATGGGTCGCAACCTTCCGATGGGCTCCCGCCCCATTTTGGATATAGATTGAATCGATGGATGAACTCAAAAAAAATACCTTTCAATTTTTCTATACATATGTCTTTGTAGGGATAGAACAAAGAAAGAACCAATTAATGCTGGTTGGTGGTTGAGCCACCCCTCTGAAAAATGATGGAGTTCGTCAGTTGGGAATATGATTCCCAATATATGGAAAAATAAAAGCCATGTTCCAAACCACCAACCAGAATGGGTATTTGAGTCCAACCTTCGGATATAGTCAGCTGTGTGTACGGCTGCATAAACCCGAAGCTGCGCTGTTCGCAGAACAGCGCCCTCCACCGACGGAGAAATAGGATATGTATGGCATTGACATAGTTTTCTGTTGGGCTGGGATACAAGTATGATGAAACATGGATGAACATCCATAATTTATCATAAAAGATCAATAGATGATCAATAGATTCAACAAATAAAATCTGGTTGGTGGTTTTAACCATCTTGAAAAACATTAGTCAATGGGAAGGATGACATCCCATATATAAAATGGAAAATCATCCAGCCATGTTTGAAACCACCAGCCAGAAATGGTGTTCACCGACTTTTTTTTTTACAGCCGTTCCCTTGGCGCAACGACCCCAGCAGTTCAAGGCACTTCCTGCTGGGATGCGCGTTTCCAGGAACGCGGAACAGGCGCCCAGGATGTTTGGATGGCTCAAGACCTGGGATTCGATATCGATATCTGGGGGCATCTGGGGGCCCATTGGGCCCATTTCGAGCGGCAAAGCCATATCTGATTCCATTGTAGCATTGTTCAGATCCCATAAAACACCATGAAAATCCCATAAAAATGGATAACTATGGATAACTACATTCTATTGGATGGATAACTTCCAGCGACTTCAAGGATAGATGCAGAGTTCAATGAGCCACAGAGTCCTACCTTTTTTAACGTCTGCTCCAACATGTCCAATCCTCAAACGTTTGCAGATGGGTACCCATTGGGCCCCAGACATATCTCACGTCCGCCAGCGTCACATCTGGCCGGCCACACAGGCAATACACCTCGGACGAATACACCAGTTAAACAAAGCCAGCGACAGAAACCACCATGGGTTTGTCTGAAAAATGTGACGGGAAACCCCTTAAAATCCCATGGTTCATTGCTTCATTGCTTTCCATTCAACAATTGCCCGAAGACTGTCAATCCACTGGTTGATCATGTCTCTTTCATGGCCATACATTCTACAGCTACCAGCATATTCCAAACTAAAAGAGCTACGGTAGCTCTTCCCCATCGATATCCATGGGATTTTTCCCCACATCACATGGCTCTGGCGTGGCTGCTCTGCCCCTCTGCCCTGCGCCCACCTCGCGAACGCCAAGTTCGCCAGCAATGACTACGTCATGTTGCAACAGGAGGTCGTAGGTGGAGTGGAGAGTTCCTCCCGACAATTCAGGCAGGAAACCATGCTATACCCCCATTAATTGGAGCCCCATGAATGAATGGCCAAAAAAAAGTGGGGAAAAACACATTTTGAGCTATGGATAGCTGTGGAGGATGATGCCAAACTATTGCTACATGATTTTGGCCATGATGATACACAAAAACGCCGATGCGGCGAAAAACCCATGAGGCAAAGCCATGCGGGCTGCAATGCCTCAAAACATCACCGCCAAGAAATCACTCAGTTCTGCAGTTCTGGGCTCATCTAAACGATCACATCTTGGATCAAGAGGTTGTATCATAGATCCCCAAAGATCATATAAACCACTGGGGTCGTATCCCCAATTTGCGGACAAGCCTTGATTAATCTCTCACTGAGATCCCGAACCCATGGCTAATCAGGCGAATGCATCATGTTTTTCTAGCCGGTTTGGAAGTATATAACTTATATACAACTGATATATATATATATAACTTCTATATATATATATATATCTATATAAATCTATATAACTTATATAACACCCAGTTCTCTCCAATTTTACCCTGTCAACTTCAGGGGTTTCCTGGAACTCAGCTCCTGAAGCGGAGTTTTCAATGGGCACAACGCCGTACATCGCTTCGCCGCTCACCACAGCTTTGAAGGCCTAGCTGTCGTCGCTGCTCAGTTTTCGTCCGATCAAAGTTCAGGCCGTTCCCCATATGGGACTTTCTGAAATTTGGTGAAAAACAGTGAAAAACCATTGATGTAGGGGAAAGTCCCATATGGGGAACTGTAGGACAATTTATGACAAATTGGTGAAAACAGGAAAAAAAATATAATGTAGGGGGAACATTCGTAAAAAATTGTCCTTAACGATCATCTGGTTGGTGGTATACCTACCCCTCTGAAAAATGATGGAGTGAAAGTCAGTTGGGATCATGACATTCCCAACTGAATGGAAAGTCATAATCCAGCCATGTTCCAGTCACCACCAGCCAGTCATGAATCGATCATGGGAATGGTCCCATTTCCCAGTCAAGGCATCCATCGTCAAGGCGTATCGAGGCACTGCCGCGAAGGATTTCACCCCTTTCTGCGTGAAGTGCGGCAAGTGATTGAAGAAGCGACCCATGGCCACATGAGCCAAGGAGCCTTCTTCGCCTGAGATCTGAGATTTCGAAAATCTACGAGAGAATGTGACAGAAAGAATAATATTGGCTCATTGAATAATCTTTGGATATAATTGGATATAATTGGATAATTTAATTGGATAAGTTAAGTCCAATGAACAATTCACCAAATCGAATTAATGAGAAGGTGTCCTCTAACCTCAAATAAGAACCTGCTACACCTTGACCCGTGGTCAATAGCTGAAGAATGCTGAAAGGAAATTGTTAGTCCGACACACTGTCTAGTTTGCAATATGAAATTATATAATTATGTGTAATATATATATACCATCTGGTTATTTAACATAGCCATGGAAAATCCACCCATTTTATAGCTAGGTAAACTATCCAATTCTAGTCTATGGGCCATGGCTTAACCATGGCAAACTGTTAGTCATAACCAGAGGGTACATCATATTAAATCCCATTAAACCGCCATAAAATCCCATTAAATCCATTTAAAGTCCCAATGTATTCCATATATATATATAACCATTGGAATACAAAGTACTGGTTTGTGTCATGACTCACATCACTTAAAGCACCATAAAATTCCATAAAATTCCATAAAATCCCATTAAATCCCATTAAATCTATCTACTTTTGCTAGTGAATCTTGCTGGTTCTGAAGCCACTGTCGTGTCGTGACCTCTTCAGGTGACCTGCCTATGTATACAGCGGTCTCTCCACGATCTCGGCGCTTCAGCGGTGGCTCCATCGTGGCCGCGATGAACGCGGCAAGGATTGTAGTGATATGATGTGTAGATGTTGTGTAATATGTAATTGGATAACATCCATATTCTACAATATACTGGATGTTATATGATGTTAATTGGATATAATATGGATATAATATGAGTATGAGTATGTTAACATGATTTAACATGGATGTATGAGTATCTCATATGTAATATAATTGTGATATACTGGATGTTAGATGAGTATATGGATTAACACAACAGTATATGAGTTTGATTGGATTAACATGTTGTGTTTCATTGTTTGTGATATATTCTGTTATCCAATTATCGAAACAAATATCACATGGAAAAAGAACATCTATAGAATCTATAGCCTGTAGATGCCACACGGTGTGTCCCAAGCTTTGATCGAGACCATTTATTATAGTCCAACGTGGCAGGCTTCCGTCACAGTTTTGAAGGTTTCAACTTGCCGAAGCTTCGGGAGAAGTCATGCCATGAAAACACCAAATATCAATTGGATACCGAAGAACATCAGAATACATCAAACAACCACGGACTATATAGGGTTAGAACAACATATAACACTATATAGCGAGTTGAACATTATAGCCAGTTGAACATATATAACACTGGCTATACATAGCATTATAGTGTTCAAACGGCAATGCTATATGAGAATCGGAGCATCAACGCCATACCGACACTTGACATAGCATTTTTTTAGATGGGCAGCACAGCAGCCTCTTGCTCTGCTTGCTGACGTTCAAACTCCTGGAAATCGGAAAAAACCCTGGGAAGACGGAAGACCAGCCACGAAGAACAGTTACACTTCCCGGTCACTTCCACCGTTTTTGCTTCATCTGTGATACATGTGCGTCGCTGTAACACCATTTAGGGGTAAAAGTCTAATGTGAACATCCAATCCCAGATAAATCTGGTTGGTGGTATACCTACCCCTCTGAAAAATATGAAAGTCAACGGGAAGGATGACATCCCATATATTATAGAAAAATAAAAGCCATGTTTGAAACCACCAACCAGATATCTCATTAACCATTATCAACCACTATTAACCACTGGGATGTTTGAAACCACCAACCAGAAATGCAGGCCGTTCCCAGCTGGTAATCAAACATGACGTGCTGGAAATCCACCAATTTTCTTCGGGGATATCCCATATTCTCATGCCCCTATGACTAAAATTCTATGTCATAATCATATGATCATATATCATATTCATCATATTTATCATCTTTAATGTATATTATATTATGTATATATGATAGATATATACAGTATACTGTATGTATATATATATGATATGATATGATATGATATGATATGATATGGTATGATATGATATGATATGATATGATAATATATATATATGATATGATATTATATATATATATATGATATGATATTATATATATATATGATATGATATATGATATATGATATATGATATATGATACATATATATATATATATCAGCTATCAGCTAAGTTTTTGTCGCTAAATATCTCTGATCATCACCAGAATCTCTCCTGGAATTCACGCATTCGTTCCAGGCGAAGGGATCGTTCCTGGCTCGCCTCGCGGCGTGGCATCAACGGAGAACGGCGTCGCACCATGGGTGAAGACGACCAATGGCAATAGCATGGGAAAAACCATGGAAAAAGCTATGGGAAATGGTGGACAATGTTGGAAAAATTCTCGAAATATTATAGAAACATCTTGGAGAATGTTGGATGTGGAAAAGATTGGAAAGAAGTGGAAAATATTGAAACATATTGGGACATGTTGGAAATGTTGGAAAATCTATGAAATACATTCTATAAAAATGAACATATTTGAAAATATTGATGAATGGAAACCTTGGGGAGCCATTAGATTCCATCAATTGAACATGGGAAAATATATAGGAAGCCATAAAAAATACAAATGCAAAGGCTCCGAATCGAATAACAGAAATGAACATGTAGAAAATGTAGAAACCACTAGATGAGATATGATAAGATTTGTGTATTAGTATGTATTTAATATATATATATATACACATATGATGAGATTGAAAAGTCGGGACGACGTTGGTTCTCACTGGGCTGCCGGACCCTTGACCGAGCTTCTTTCTGTGCTATCCTGAACATGCGCCAATATCCCATCTGGAACACATGTCACACGTTAATTCTTTCAACGTTTCTTTCATCAGACATGCTCAATGCTCGTCACTCTTTGCTCAGCACTGTATCATAGCCGCCCGCTCCGAGTTCTGCTTCCGCATCTGGCCAACGGCAATGACGTCTGGATGCAAAGGATCATGACTCATCATGAATCCTATTCCCCTGGGATTCCCGCAGTGACATGGGGGTGAAAATGGGGATACTTATTGGTTTATGTAATAACTATAATGAACGGGGTTGGATATTCATAATATAGTATAGTTATTACATATATATTCATCATATAATATACCATAATATATATATATATATGTTCAATGTATAACTGTTATATGAATAGTATAACTATATATTATTGAACATGTATATTACATATATAATATCGTATATCATGTTCAATGTTCATGGTATGTCATGGTCAATGTCCTCCGTGAATGACCCACACGGCTTGAAGATCATCCAGTCATACTTCGAATAGTTCGATTCCCACGGAAAAAAAAACTAAACCTCCATTAATTTATAGTGTATATAGTATATACAATCATATATATATATATGTAATCATGTATATATATAATCATATATATATAATCATATATATATAATCATATATATATATATGGAGGTTTCCCAAAATGGAGGTCCCCCAAAGTGGATGCTTCATATAATAAAAAAACACTGCTTTTGGCACCTCCAAATCCAGCTGTCTTTTTTGGTGAAGGATGGCCTGACCCGCCGTGCCGGGAACCCCTTTGTTTGGGAAAATGATGGTTCTCATGATTGAAATGATGGGAAATTTCTATGGTTTTAAGATCTTAAACATGCGATGGATCTACCATTGAATTTAAGACAATGTTTTGTGAAAGCCATGGATCATGGAATGGAACACCCAGGCTGTAGCGTTGTTCCAATCCACTGTATCGAAATTTTAATCTCTGACAGTCGAGACGATGCGAAACGTTCTGGCTAGATCTTGCTCCCAAATGTTTATCCGGTTGGTGGTTGAGCCACCCCTCTGAAAAATATGAAAGTCAGTCAGTTGGGATGATGACATTCCCAATATATGAAAAAATAAAAATGTTCCAAACCACCAACCAGTTATGGTTCAAATAGGTTCAAATCATCTCAAACTGAGCCGAAGAAAATAGATGATGGACTCATGAAATCTTCAGAACATACCCAAAATACCCAAGTTATATCCCATAAGTTGATATGTTAACAAGCCGTGATACAGATTCTGGTTGGTGGTGCAACTTTTCCATCTTGAAAAATGATGGACTTCGTCAATGGGAAGGATGACATCCCATGTATGAAATGGAAAATCATCCAGCCATGTTTGAAACCACCAACCGGATATCTCATTAACCATTATCAACCACTATTAACCACTATTAACCACTGGGATGTTTGAAACCACCCACCAGGATTAATACATGGCTCCATAAGTTGCGTCCTAACATGTCCCCACGAGACGGGCAGACTCCGTGCCTGAGAGGTTTCCCGTTGAGCTTGTGCTGAAAGCTGTTTCTCTCGCATGGATTCGAACCTGAAAAAAACTGGTTGGATTTCCATGGATTTCCAGGATTTTAACCAATGGTTTATGTCTGAAAATGGGGTATACCCCCAAAAAAATAGCCATTTGTGATATGGGATTGTCTGATCATTAACCATTGGGTGTAGGGGTACCCTATTTTCAGACAAACCCATTTCTGGTTCCAGAATCTTGGGGGAAAAAAAAGGGTACCCAAATGGTAGCCTAATAGCTGGGATCGAAATTGATGGATGTTGATGAATTCATCCAGTCATTCGTTTGTTTTTGACCCCCCCATCTCACAGAAGTGGGCTGGAATCCGGACGTTGAAACCGAAATCGGCAAGTTGTGTTTCTGGGTTTCGACTGCTTCGAGTGGTTCCGGAGAACACAAGCAGCCTGGGTAACTCTCTGCAAGTTCAATCTCTGAGCGTTCCAACTGCTGTTGCTTTCGATAGTCAGAGACGGAGACCCTGACAAGAACCGCGTGTGAAATGATTCAGCGACACGTGTCACAGTCTACGCCATGGTTCAACTGGGTCGGAAGTTGCCATCAAAACTCGAAGCTTGAGAGGCAGCTTCGACCAATGCTTAAAGTTTGAAAAGGTTTTCTGGTCAAAAAGTTCAGTTCAGTTCAGAAATATCAGATCTTTTGGAGGTTTCAATGCACATAAAACACCATAAAACACCATAAAACACCATAAAACACCATTATCATAATGTCATAAAACACCATTATCATAGTGGATATTCCCATTGAAAATGGTGATTTTCCATAGTTTTTTGTATGTTTACCAGAGGGTAACTGATTCTCGAACACCGCTCCGCTCTTCTGCGGACCGCCTATTTTGGGACACCTTGACTCTGTTGTGCTGCAGCGTGAGATCTCTCTCCTGGCGACGCCAGGGAGAACCACGGGACTTTTCTCAATGCCAGCAGAACATTCGCAATGATGTTATGATTGTTGATTTTGAGGGACTGAGGGATCTAAATTCCTATAAATGTCCATGAATTGATGGATAATCGGATTTTTCTGAGCAATTCAAGTTTTACTTGATCATGGCACATCATGATTTTTCATGTGAACAAATCTGGCTTTTGTTTCCCCAAACTTCTCCTGCTGAATAGCTCGATCTGCCAACTTCTTCTCGATGGTGCGCGAACGGCCCTCCTAGGTACACCCCAATTGGTCGGGGGATTCACCAAAAAATGTCAGCCACTTTTCGCGCCAGTGGAGAGTGAAGTCATGAAATTGTCAGCACTTGCCAATGGTATTTTAGGGATATATATATTATATAATATATATATATTATATTTTGTATATATATTTATATTATATATATTATATATACAGCATACCATCTGATACCATTTAACTGGAGAAATTACTATCCCCATTCCATATACCTATGCCATCCCCCTGGAGAAATCACTGGCATCACTGGGATCACTGTGGCTCGGCACTTCGATGGTTGCAGCCTGGTGATGCTTTTTTTCAACCGAAAACGGCAAGTTGAACCGGAAAAGACGGTCGGAAAATGCGCTGATATTATCACCGCAACTAATAAATGATATAAATGAATGCCGCTGAATACCATAGTTTCAGAATATGTACATACGTATATATATATATATATTTAATATATATAATTTTCGTATTATTTAGTGGTTGATGTTCATTGGGATTCCCAGTTCATGGATTCCGAGAATGTAATCATAATGTAATTATCTTGAAACTGCAAGATAAGTTCACAGTAGTGACAGTAGATGGTCAAATTCAGAGTTGTGGTTAGATAATGTAATTACCATCTGGTTATTTAACATAGCCATGGAAAATCCACCCATTTTATAGCTAGGTAAACCATCTATTTCTATGGGCCATTTTCCATGGCTATGTTAAATAACCAGAGGGTATCTGTGAATATCCCAGTTCTGGTCAAATTCACGACTTCACAGATCGCCTGCCGTCGGACTTCTTCGAGGTCTCGCCAGATCTTCTCCTTTTTCGAAGCAGTAAAAAACAGTTTCACACAGCTTCTTGAAACAAGAAAAACAATGCGTTGACAAAATGTTCCATATCCTAAAACATATAGAAAAACGGATGGTTTCTGCCTCTATATCCATAAATATCCTAAAATATAGGAAAAACGGATGGTTTCTGCCTCTTTTCCTACCATTTTTGTCACTGGTTTTTTGTCAAATCCTACCTCTGCAACTGAAAAACCACTGTTCCAGGCCTCTTCCTTTTGGAAGTATCGAATGCGATTTTCAATGGCTTTTCGATTCCTGTCGATCGCCTAGAGCGCAGAACATCCAATCCAAGCGGCCAATTTTTGTGGTGCAGAATTTCGTTTGAATCGCTACAAAGAAATCACAGAAAAAACGGACTCGAAACCATGGGAACCATCGCTACAATTCAGAGATAGACAAGTTGGAAATGATGAAATTGCTAGGGACATATCGTTCAAATTCACCAAATTCACATCCTGGATTTGTTCTATCTTTCAGGGATTCAGGGATTCAGCATCTGGGTGGCTAGAAATAATTGAAACCTATGACACATGATGACACCATGTAAATGAATGTAAATGGGGTGATGAACATCCAAATTCGTTCAAAAATCAGCTACTAAGGGTTTTGACCCGTGCCATGCCTGTGAATTATAGATTATACTCCGCAATAAACTAGATTAACTATAATAGATGAATAACCCTCTCCTTTTCGTAACGCAAAAAATCATCCAAACGGAAAATCTACCACGGCTGGTTGGCTTGGCTTGGCACCTTCTTGGCACGATTGGCCTGGCGCAGCGGATGATGTCCCAACAGATGCGGTGAGACAACGTGCATCTACTGCGCCAACGTGTAGTCCGAATTTGAGACTTCGGTGATGCCAGATGCGGTGATAGTCCGAACATGATGCTTACTGTAGAAAATTGGCTGTTTGATGCTGTTTCTACAGAAAATTCATTGAAACAGGTTGGTTTGAAAATGAGGTACCCTCTGGTAAACATTCACAATTTGCGACATTGAAAATGGCCCAGTCGAAATAGTGGATTTACCCAGCTGCAAAATGCTGGATCATTCCATAGTTTTTTGGGACAGTTTACCAGGCCGGGTAGCCGGGTACCCCTCGGAGCCTCATGGACAGTCATTGGTCGATCATCCCTCCTGGCAACGGCATCACATTGAATTGCTACCATGATGTACTATGTAATGTAAGTAATGTATGTTGCTACTATGATGTACTATGTGTTGTGAATCATAAATTGAATTGCAGCTATGATGCTATGGCTTCTTTTCGAGATACTCCATGTTTTTCCAGGATTGAAGAGGAGTAGATCCAGTGCTCAACGGCTCAACGACGCAGCATGGCCGTGCCCGGCGCTCCTGCTGTCCTCTCTTGGACTTCTTGGACTCGAGTCCTGCGAAAAATCTCAGGATTTCCCATGGTTTTTCGGCCACCAAGAGCCACAACACCATTCTGAATGACGCGGAACCGTCCACCGAAAAAAAAAAAAACAATTTGTGTACAGTATAGATTTTTTCATGCGAAGAAATCCGCATGTTTGATGCATTTCTGTCGTTTTACCCTGGTTACAGTTATTACATCACGATGCTTTTGAACCACTGCACCAGGTCACCGTTGCCTTCTCACCAAGGCTGTTTCTAGACCTTCGTAAGGAGGGGGTAACCGCCCATGGCTTGACGTTGAACATCCGGCTCTACATCGATAGTTACTGAGGATTCTAATCATCAAAAATGCGAATTCGCATTTTTACGGGAGATGATATGTTATGGGAGATGATGTGGGGATCCTAAAAATATCGGTGTTTTCCACGCTGCTCAAAGTGCATAGGCATAGAAAGTCACGGAAATTCGTCGTGCGATGTGGGATCCATTTCACTATATTTCACTGCTACCCCGGGATCAAAAACACCAATGGTTTTTCATGTATATGAATATGCAAAAACATAGGCAAATAGATAATAGCTAGATAATAGATAAACATACAAATTTAATAAATAGATAGGATAGGATAGGATAGGATAGGATAGGAATGGAATGGAATGGAATGGAATGGAATGGAAGGGAAGATAGATAGATAGATAGATAGATAGATTTGTAATTATGTAGATGTATGGATTCACGAAATGGGCCGCCACACCCTTCAGATCTTCCCGTGCTCTTCCAGGGACCCTTTTCAGGCCCCGTGGGCACGGGTCGACGCCCAGGGGGCGCGAACATGACACCTGACCATGGCACGGTGGGTCCCTTGACGGATGCAAGTTGCTTCAAAATTGGGATCATCCAATTTTTGGGGGGATGAAAAGTGATGAAGATGCAGAAATTGAGAGAATTTGGTTCCGTTTTTGAAACAAGACATGGAAATTGATTGGGAAGATATTAATATCTTCCTGTTAATTCGAGGATGCGAATGAAGGTCATGAAGATGTTCAACTATCATCCAGTTAAAGAAAAACGATGCAAGAAATGCATCTGACTCGCACTCACAATACTCACATATTTAAAATAATTTAGCTACTCTATCATTTGCCACTCACCATGGGCCATGTTTTTGAAAGATATGGCCATCATTTTCCCAGAAAATCCACCAGCCACCAGCCGCAGCCGGACCTTCAGCCGGACCTCGTGGCTGGTCCACGTCTCGACGCTTGAGCCACGAGCGTGGAAGCCGGGGGAATCCCATTGCGTGGTAGGGAAAATTGATAGGAAAGACAGGTTTGACAATGAAAACATGTGAAAAAAAACCCTGTTTCCGGTAGATGTTCCTTTCTACCAATTCTGGGACTGGTTTATGGCAGTTTATGGTTTTTGGGTTTGATTCATACTCAATAGTTGGATCAGTTTTGTTTGAAACACGCGAGGCAAGCCATGAAACAAACACATTCCCTGAGTTTGAAGCATAAGTTGGTACTCCAATCCATCTCTCATGGTTTTTCGAAAAGAACTCTCCATTCAGTTTTTTGCCACATATAAATTAAACTGGTGCCAGCTTTACGCAGGGAATGAGTCAGGGTTGATGATCCACAACGGCTAACTCTCGTCATCATCCCAGCAAGCCCCATTCCAACCCATCCAAAGATTCGCGCCATTTTCTCGTGAAACTGGTCACTGGTCAGCCCAGGTGGTCCGTGTTATGGTCCTTGGTGCACCAGGTGCACCACTAAGACCAGTCGGTGTTTCCTGGAGCCAAGATATGCGACTTAACTGGCAAATATGGAACGCACATTGGGCTGGAAAATATGGGAAAATCATCATCTTCAACCTTTTCTATCCTTTTCTTTGGTGGATTCATGTGGATGCCATATATTCCATGTTAAATTTGCTGGGTGTAGTGAACTGTCAGTGCCACCGGGCAAAATCTCCAACTGGTCCCGTACACCGCTGCTACATGCTGCTACGCCGCGAAGCGCTCTGCAAACTTTGGCCATGAAACGATAAAAGCTGCACTTTGGAATGTTGACATCCACGAACATGTCCCCCTGGTGGGATTGAAAAAATGGAATTCCTTCAGACTCAAAAGATATCCGGCCAGGTATCCCCAGTTTTCCTTGTTCTAATCATTCCCATTGATAAAAAAATTGTCATATTCCATCATATTCCCATTGAAATTGCAGATTGAAAATATCTTCCCACATTTCCTTGTTATATTCCCACCTTGAATCTAACCGTTGATACATTCTCAAGTGGATAGCCTCTGGAAGCCAACCTGTCTCCAAACTTTGCAGGCCCTCCATGGGCTGACGGAACGCTATTCACAACGGCCCTACCAAGGCGGACGGCTGACACAAACTGCGACTAGTCCGACTTGGTGAATGTGTCTCATGGGATTGACAAACTGCTTACCCTCTGGTAAACATACAAAAAACTATGGAAAATCACCATTTTAAATGAGTAAATCCACTATAAATGGCCATTTTCAATAGCTATGTTAGTTTACCAGAGGGTATTTGTTGGGAGAAGAATTCTAAAGTAGCAGTTTATCATCATTTTAAGGATCCCCCTCCATTCATAAACGGCTGTGGGGGTATTAAAATCTGCGGTTGACATTATACATAAAGGTAAAAAACTGGAATTTTGCATGGATCTGAGTCCAGCGAAGCTCTTCTGAGCAAACATGGACAAATCGCTGCTGTTGGCTGTTGGCTTTAATCTGTTTACATCTACCCTCTGGTTATGACTAACATAGCCATGGAACATGTCCCATAGAAATAGATGGTTTACCTAGCTATAAAATGGGTGGATTTTCCATGGCAAACTGTGAATGTCATAACCAGAGGGTATTTGAAAGAAAAGATGAGTTCTTGGAAACTGGGGATCATCATCCCTTAAATAGGCTTTACAATGTTACGAATAGCTGTACTTACGCTGACCGTTGTCACTAATCCTATGATCAAGAATTGATCGTTATATTAATTATATCACAGATACTCAAAAGTCACTTGTCACTTTTACTTCTATCAATAACGAATTCTCATCTCCTTTTGTCACTTATACTATTTAAATCTATCACAGAAGAGGTAAGTTATACCAGGTTATACCCTTCCAATATCCCCCATTTTTCCAATTGGTCGCCATGTACGATGAAACCTGCCCTCAGTATCCCATATTATTGGACTTAAATCATCTTAAAATCCCATCTAAATTCAAAGATAAAAACCACTAGCCATCCATCAATTCCATCAATTGTCCAAAATCACCCAGTTTTGTAGGTTTTTATATACCAGCACCATGGTGAGCTAATATGGGTAATGATATATAAGGTGATATATCAATTAATATAGGTCATCAACAAAAATCATTATCACCTTGATACATATCATCAATCAATATCACATTATATATATATACATAATATATATATATATCATCAAAAATCACCATGTTTAAATGGTAGACTTATTAACGGTGACCGCTTCGCCAGGGCTGCGGCATTGGTCACGGAGAGACGGAGCCAATGTAGAAGTGCCGTCCGACGGCCGGCTCAGTTGGCCGAAGCCAAAGGACCTCGGAAGAACGGAAGAAAGCTCGAAGCAATGCGTGGCTCGTGGAGATCAACTGGTGGTTGAGCCATCCCTCTGAAAAATGGTTAATAATGGTTAATAATGGTTAATAATGGTTAATTAACAATGGTTAATTGATAATGGTTAATTAACAATGGTTGGTGGTTGGTATACCTACCCCTGAAAAATGATGGAGTGAGTTCGTCAGTTGGGATGATGACATTCCCAATATATGGAAAAATAAAAGCTATGTTCCAAACCACCAACCAGTCAATGGATTGGTTTTGTTGGGAAAATTGAAACCGGTTAAAACCCCATGATTATTTCATGGGAAAATCGATGGTTTCCGGTTCAGATTTTCCCTTAAACCAATCCATCGTGGATAATCCGTGGTTAATATATATATATATTAATACGGAGATAACATGAGATTCTGCGGTTTAAGAATGGATCGTCTCAGATTATGAATCTGGTTAAGTTATATAAGATATGGATAACCATTGGTTAATATCTCTCCAAAATTCGGGACAAATATGGAGATAACTTCTCGATTGTTTGATAGGCGTTCAGTTTCAATCTTAAGTGGAAAGTAGGGTGTCACCTTGAATTCCGCGCAAGTTTTCTCAGAAGTATACGGCCACCATGCCATACCATGCCAGTGGGGGTTCTCTGCGATGACTCTCGTCTTGGAGCGCTGCAGCGACTGTATAGGCAGAGCTCTTGTCGAAGCATGAAGAGGAGATATAGAAGCGAAGTGGCACCTCCCACAGCATTTGGTTTGGTAAAATGGGTGAAACCATCATAAACTAGGGGGTTTGAGAAAACGAAGTTTGAAACCATGGAATGGGTTGGCTTTCAAAGTTTGAAACACTTCCATATTCCCATGAATTGTTGTTAAATCCCCATCTGTAGATTATTTCTCCACGTTATCCGTCATGTAGATCATGTCCGAACGTGAAATAACCATGGATTTCGATAGGTGATTCTATGTTCACTGCCGGGTCACTAAATCCACCAATACCATCCAATACCTATATTAATACCTATTAATACCTCAATATTTATATTCCCATCATTTATGAATGGAGTTTTATATGTGTTATACCTCAAAAGCCATTGAACAACCTCGCCTCCGAAAAATCAGCCATAGTTCGATGTGCCAACAAAAACCTCCACGATCCTCCATAGAAATAGTGGATTTTCCCATGAAAAATGGTGGATCAACCGCCATTTTTCTCGTGGATTTTCCCAGTTTCCCGGCCTTGGATGACACATCAAACCACTCCTGGCGATGACGAACGGTGGCGGTTAGAACGGTCAAAAATTCATAGCAGGGCCGTAATAAATTCATAGCTACCCAGTAAACTTTAGAGTAAACCAAGAACATGGTAAACTTCATGTTCGAACAAATGTTTTGATATGTTTGAAGACGTTTTGATATGGTGACCAATATGTTTTGATATGTTTTGATGTTGTGTTCGACACCAAATGTTGGATCAAAATGACATCGGTGAAATCGGTGAACCCGAACCAAGAGGCCGAACCCGACGGCAGCGCCTCCGTCAAAACGTGTGTGTTGCGCAAGAGGGCCAATCGGCACCTGACAGCGAAATCTGATCGAATCTGGAAGCCTCATGAAAAATCCAACATGGATCATCATGGAAAATCATGGATAATCTCAAGAAAATCTCAGAAAAAATCAAGTTCAAAGAACATCGAACATCATGGAAAATCTCAGATTCCAGTGTGGGATGCCCATGGATGTCCCATCTGGAAGCATCAAGTGTTGGGAAAATATGGGAAAATCACCACATTCTGCCTTAATTAAGGCCTTGCATTTGATAATTTTCAGATGCAACAAATGCATTCAAGTGATTTAAGCTTTGCTAGCCTCTCCACCTCTCCCAATAAAATATCCCATGACATATATCCCATAACATATATCACATATCCCACATTTGTGACAATGGAACACATCAACAGTTACATTACCCCAATGATAAACATTGAAACACAAACCCAGGCTATGTTCAAACATAGATCTGGCTGGCTTTTACCCATATGGTTTCTTCGGAATTTATGATCTACATTTTTAGATGTGTAAATTCCACATCTATGTGAGTTTTCAGGAGGCTACCCTCTGGTAAACTGTCCCATAACTATGGAAAATAACCATTTTTAATGGGAAAATCCACTATAAATCACCATTTTCAATAGCAAACTGTTAAATTACCAGAGGGTAAATGATCCGAAGATCTCCACGTGTCGGGCCGCCTTCGAATGCCATACTTTGAGGCCTCGCCAATGAGGAGTTCCAGGTCGAAAGTCACCGAGGTAAGCGTACCTGGGATCGATGGGATCGATGGGATCGATGGCATCCTGGGATCGATAGTAATTTGACCATAGGATGACGGCCATTTTAATGGGATTTTATGGTGCTTTATGGGATTTTAATGGATTTTATGGGATTTTATGGGATTTTATGGGATTTTATGGGATTTTATGGTGGTTTTATGGGATTTAAGATGATCTACCCTCTGGTAATGACTAACAGTTTGCGACATAGAAAATGGCCCAGTCGAAATAGTGAGTTTTCGCCACATAGCATGGTGGATCTTTCCATAGTTATGGGACAGTTTACCAGAGGGTAAGGGCAAAAAATCGTCAAGCTCTTAGGATTCGTGAATGATCCATAATCACTAGTAATTTAGTTCATCATCCCAGCAACCCCCAGCAACCTATCCAGCAACCCAATTGGCACCTCCAAGCTGTGAAGAATGCTTCCCATTCAGGTCCTGGAATCGGCCATGAAGCTGGGAAGGCAACCAACCACGCAACGAGGATTGTTGGAATGGTGAAGACGAATGGTGAAGACCCTGGCTGGAATGTGCTGAACTTCGACGGAAATCTCATCACCGGCAGATTGTTGTTTTTTCTTTTGGAAATCTGCATTTCCAATAAAATGATGAATGATCTATGAGAATTCACATGGATTTACAACATTAAGACCAACAGTTGAATGATGTTGAAAGGATTTGCGCTTATCGTGGATTTCCACCAAAAGTGGGGGGGATATCCATGGATATCCCAAAGCCACCATTATTGTTCATCATGTCCATATTGGAAAATGCACATTAGCGGCTTTACCGGGAAGAACGGGATAATTTGTCCCCAATGGTAATTATATGTAATTATCTAATGGTAATAGTGTTCATCATGTCAATATTGCGGGAAAAATGGTTCATCCCCTCTGGTAAACTAACATAGCTATTGAAAATGGCCATTTATAGTGGATTTACCTATTTAAAATGGTGATTTTCCATAGTTACTTTAGTTTACCAGAGGGTAATTACCATCAGACGAAGCCATTAGCATCGCAGTCGCATTTTGGCGCACTGCAAATCGCAGGCCCCGGAAGCCAGTGAAGCGAGCTGAAGCAGAGACGAAGCAAACGGAACACATTGAACACAAACGAAACATGTTGCCTCCACATAGTTCTGAAAATAATGCACCCCTAATCCCCATGATTTATAATATATATATATATATTGATTTATATTGATTTATATTGATTTATATTGATTTATATTGATTTATATATTGATTGATCATCATTTTCCCGATTAAAATCGCATAAAATGGCTATTGAGGATCATAAATCCCCATTTTCAGGTTCCATCGAAGTCTCTTGGCTCCTTCGAAAAAGCCCGACTTTCCTGGCCACGGCTGACGTGGAATTTCCTCCGTTTGGAGTGCACGTCAGGTGACACGACCGGCCCACATGAAAAGTGCCCACGGCTGGCAGCACCATCGCTGCTAAAAAAGATTTAGTAAATCTAGAAATATAAGAAGTACCTAAATTATGTATATAATATACATATATAATATAACTATCTATTTACTATGTATAATGATGTATAAATTATGTATATATAATTCAACAATTTACTGAAGCTGTAGAAATCGCCAACCTCTTTGCATGTCAGCCGTGGTCCTTTCCTGAGAACCTCATTTGTGGGTGTCTGACGCTGAGCTGCATTCAATTCGATTGAGTACTGAGTTTACATCATCCCATGACTAGGGTTATTCCAACAAAATCATGGGATATGGATGATTCACATATATATATATATCAATGTATATATTATGTGTATATAATACTGTATATATATATATTATGTACATGCCCAATAAATTTATGGGTGATTGTATGCATGATTATAGATATTGACATCAAATCCCAAAATGATTAGATTTCTATAGTGGCGGTTTTTATGAATATCCCAATGGCTATGGAAGGTTTTTTTCGCATCATCAAGGCATGGATGGCACGGAGGCAGCGAGTGGTCGAATCCGGGAAACGAATCAGCTCAGATCCTCTACATCTGCTCCCATCAGTGGCAGCGGTGCCAGTTTGTTCCGTGTCAAATCGACCTCGACTGAGCTCCGACAGGGTTTGTCAGCTGTATACACGAGTTGTGAATTTTGTTTGGATACGGGGACCCCAAATTAATCCAAATTATTCAATTTGTTTGTCATTCTTGATTCTCAATGGGAAAACCAATGGGGTACCATATCCGACAGCACGGGGAGCACGCACGGTTTGCTTCCAACAAGGAACAACAATCACAACAGACATCAGCAAACAACACACAACAAAGAACAAACAACAACATGACCATCACCACCAACCACAACAGCCAAAACCACAGCCACAATCTCCAACCTCCAGCAACAACAACAACAACCACAACCTCAACCTCAACCACGACCCTGTACCAACTGTTGCCCAAAGGACAAAAACATGTACTCCCACCACGGGCAGAGCTGCCAACGACCCGCCAAGGTTGTCCAACATCGTAGGACATGATGCAATTGAGCTGTGCAGTGAATAAAGTTAAGAAGATTGAAGAAGTGAATGCGGTGAATTCATCAGCGATCATTGAAAAAATCATCAACTCAGTCAATCTAGTCAAGTAGCTGTTGAGCTAGTCATGAATTAATCAAATCTTGTCATGTATGAAATCATCAATCGGTGTTCATGTTCATAATTCTTCATAGTAATTAACCTCAATTGATGCCTTGGATACCCAGATAGTGTGGTAAAACAATGCCATGAACCATCTCCAAAAATCACCATAAATGGGTTTGTCTGAAAATAGGGTATATTCCCAATGAAATAGCCATTTTTCATAGGGATAAGGGTATCAGCAAAACCATTGGGTTTAGGGGTTTAGCCTATTTTCAGACACACCCAAATGGTATAATGACCATTTATAGTGGATTTTCCCATGAAAAATGGTGATTTTCCATAGTTTTTTGTGTGTTTACCAGAGGGTAAATGGTATAAACCATCCCCAGTCAGACCAGTCATGGTAGGTTTTGGGTGGCGCCCTGCCCACAGAGAACCACCCTGGGGACCCTGGGCTCCGCACGGTGAATTCAGAGAACTGCGACTCCACTGCACCTTCCTGGGCTCGAGGCAACATGATATGTATGCTATACCATGATAGATATATATATACTGTATAGATAGATAGAGAGAGAGAGAGAGACAGACAGACAGACAGGCAGGCAGACAGACAGACAGGCAGGCAGACAGACAGACAGGCAGGCAGGCAGACAGACAGATAGATATCAGAATTATTTACATAATGTTACACATATCTACTTGATTGAATCCATGACGGGCTGCGTCGTCCCAGCCGGCCGCAGGTTTCGCCAGCTCCTTGACGATGGGATGGTGGTCCTCAAGACGACGACGTTGGGAGGGGGATATGATTGTGATACAATAGGCATATAGGCCTTTCATGGGGATACCAAATGGGGTATATATATATAGTGTGTATATATATAGTGTGTATAAATATATATATATATAGTGTATATATATAGTATATATATATAGTGTGTGTGTATATATATATAGTACATATATACTATATAATTATATTGTATAACTAATATGATCAACAATAATTAGCTGTTTTGGTGGAGGTCAAGGATGGTCTGTTGGTTTCCATATGTCGTTCCGGTGGCTGCTCGGCACTCCGCAAAGCTCCTGCTTCCGCACTGACGCGCAGTCGGCCTCCATTTCGACCGAACAGGCCATGCCTGAGATGAATCCCAACCTCGGACAAAAAGCGACTGCATGACCGAGAACCGAAAAACATCTGACCGGGGATTGGAATGACGTATAACGTATGTATGTATGTATGTATGTATGTATGTATATATATATATCATACATCGTATGATACTACAGTACATATACTTATATATAAAATATATGTATATATACATGACTGGAGTGTAATATGGTGAGTTTAGCCACCAAAACTCTCATTCCTCGATGCGGCCGAGGCACTGCAAAGCTTCTGAAGCGCTGCAACGAATGTCCTGGTTCCGTCGCCTCATGTGGCTCAAAGCCGAAGCTAAAAAACAGCTGCAGTCTGAAAGGGTTCTGGGTTTCGTACCTGAAAATGGTGGATTTCTATGGCCATTTTGACAATTCCACTAGTTGGGTATGTCTAATCTGCTCCCATTCACAGCGAAGCTTCGTTCTGATCTTAGCGTGTTCCAAGACGTCTGCGGAAGGGACAATGATTATAAACTATTGGATTTGGTGTGTGTATATATATATATATATCATATATATATATATTATATACTGGTTGGTTGGTGGTATACCTACCCCTCTGAAAAATGTGAAAGTCGGTTGTGATGATTATTCCCAATATATGGAAAAATAAAAAATGTTCCAAACCACCAACCAGTATATTACACTAGTGTATCATATCCTATAAATCCAATGATGACAATGGGGATATATTCGGAGATAATGGCAACAATTTGATAAGGCGCCACTGAACATGTAGGTTTTTTTCCCAAGATATGGTCATGTTGATTCGTTTCAGTTGTTTTTTGCTAGCGGATCCATATGGGCACATCATGACAAACTGCGATGAAATCCTTGGACGCTGGCAACAGGACTCGGCAAAATCTCGCTGCAGGACCCAAGAACTCGCCCACCTGGAGCGATTTTTTGGAGCGAAATTTCGACATCGGAAACCAGGACTTACATCATACAGGGGGTGCAGAATTTTTTGAGGTACCCCAAAGATATACTAATTTCACCTATACTTATATATATATATATGTGTGTGTGTGACTGTATATATATATATCATATATTAACATGTAGTATCTGTATCTGTAATATATATATATAACTTATGAATGCATAATATGTGTAATAGATATTTCTTTTAAGAATATCATCTTGTCCGAGTCCAATGGTCTCCAGCCTTTTGCCCAACAGGCACCTCGGATGTCATCGGAGGATGTCCCATTGGAACATGGAAAATCCACCATAGATGACTGTCCCATTTCAATTTAGATGCCATGAAATTCCCAATGTTATGCCATTTTAACGCAATGTTTATAGATTTGTTGCAATTTTCCAAGATCATGGCTTGGAGGAAGTGTGGCTCTTCATTCTGCAAGATCAACGCACGGATTCTCTCCTGGGGGATCCAAATGCTGGGATGAAAAATGGCTGGGAATTGAGCAAAAAAATGGTTATGATAGAATTATCAGCCCAACATAGCTCAGGCATTTTATGGCAATATATCATAAGTATCATAATATATTATGGTAGGACACCACTATTCGATGCTTTCAACAGTTTTCTAATAAGAAACAAAGAACATCAAAGAACACATGACAGCACCATCCTCGCTAAGCTGCTACAAATCCAACCCTTCCACAAGTTGCCTGAGGTTGTCCTTGTCTCTGACTTGGGCTCCATAGGGGAACTCGTTGAAGAGCAGGGCATAAGCCATGACGCCAAAGGACCAAATATCGGTCTTCTCCGTATAACCGGCCTGCGACATCCGGCTATGACGATGAGGGGAGGACGATGAGTGTCTCTGAGGCCTCCATTTTTTCCAATGAAAATGGCCATGAAATGGTGCAAATCCCAGGTTTTTGGGACTAACCGTGACTAACCCAAGATCATGATTATTATATTCCACATGATGATTTTTAGTTACCCAAGATAATCCACAACCCAATATATTACTAACCTAAGATTATGATGTTGGCTGTTTTCTATTTTTATTCCACATGGTCTCAGCATAAAAGTTGTCCGAGTTTTCCGGCGCGGCGCGCCTTGGAATGCATCTCCGGGGAGCGATATTGCCAGCTGCCGGCTTCTTGGAAAAGCCGAGCACCCTGTGACCGGAATTGGGATGGGGATCACAAATGAAGTCATCCACCAGGAGTTCTCTCCACAGCTTCGCGAGCTGGCAAATTGCCAGGCTTCGATAAGAGAAACATGTTGAGTTACTCATGGCGGGTGAATTCCTTCGAGCTTCGTGGATTTAAGTGATCATCCCTCCAGTCGTGCTTCGGTGACCCGCAATGGTTGAAATTTTTCTGAAGAACATGCTTTGAGTCATGTTAAAAACACCATAAAAAATCAATAAAATCACCATGAAATCCCATAAATCACCATAAAATCCCATAAATCACCATAAAATCCCATGAATCACCATGAAATCACCATAAATCACCATAAAATCCCATAAAATCACCATAAAATCCCATAACATCCCATAAATCACCATAAGATATTGTAAATGTCCCACTTCGAAAATCGGCTTCGAATGATTTTGACCCCGGCTCCCAGAGGCCTGCGGTACTTGGCAGGCTGTACTGAAGTCTGTCAACTTCCTCAGTGCCAGCAACGTCGGGCCAAGGCCATGCAGAAAGCTACGCAATGCGTCCAGGATTTGTGTTTAACTTTTAGAAATACTAGCAAATAAACATAGTTTCAAAAGAATTCGACGTGAAATCTGGGTAAAATAAATACGAACAACTGAATTAGTTGAATTTGCGAACCCAACTCGATTGAAGCTTCGATAGCAACATCCCGGCAACACAACGCCCCATCGAAGAATCTGCTAGGCCAAAGCTGTCTGCCTGTCCCATTTTCAACCTGCTGACTCAAGCCTCATGTTCCACAACGTTCCACATTTTGTGTGGCCATTTTTATTGCGTATTAGATCATTAAATGAAGGATTAATAAGGATTATAGAGAATAAATTACTAATGATTCTAATGGCCATTTCCATTTCCATATGGAAAAATATTTTTTGTCTGCCATTTGGAAAAACCTCCATTTCCAGGTACATCAGGTTTCCCTTAGCCGCATGAATCTGCCAGGGCGCATGATGGTGTTGCCTTTGTCACCACCACATAAAAAGTTTGAAGCCTCCGACAGTCTCCCCCAACCATCTTCAAAAGCTATCCCGGCGCTGGCCGCATCGACATTTTATAGCTGGAAAAAATGGAGTTTCTCTCCCCCATTCATAGGATTTTATAGGCTGTGACTCTTGACTTTTGATTGAAGACACTCAACTTGCTGACTTTCATTGTGGTGAGATATTGCAAAATTGGGGTGAGATGGTGATTTTTTTTTGTGATATTGCAGTGAGATATTCTACCCACTTCCAAGATATTGATACCCTCTGGTAAACGTTTACATAACTATGGAAAATCACCATTTTCAATGGGTAAATCATTAAATCCACTATAAATGGTGATTTTCCATAGTTAAGTAAACGTTTACCAGAGGCTACATCATATAAAATCCCATTAAACCACCATAAAATCCCATTAAACCACCATAAAATCCCATTAAACCACCATACCAGGCCGGGTAATTCTGATGAATTGCTCCCCACGAAGTCGCAAGCGCGGCGCCGCAAGGTGCGCCTTGATGTCCCGATGGACTACAGAACAAGAATGGATCCAATCCACCGCCCGCATCATCCTGAGATACCACGAATCGGCTTCTGATTCTGAGAAGTGATGGATTGGGGATATACCCTCTGGTAATGACTAAGAGTTTGCTATTGAAAATGGCCAGTTATAGTGGATTTTCCCATTGAAAATGGTGATTTTCCATAGTTATGTAAACGTTTACCAGAGGGTAACGAGATTTTTTTTTCATTAATATATACTGGATGGTGGTTTCAACCCCTCTGAAAAATATTATTACTGTAGTCCGTTGGGATTATTATTCCCCATATGTGGAAAAATAAAAAAATGTTCCAAACCACCAACCAGTATATATATATAATGATTATAGAGATATTCTTATAATTGTAGTGAGCAATATCATAGGGGTATGTAAATATATATATATAAAAACCTCCAGTACTTAGTTTTGCTATAGGTATAAGAAATCAATAAAGTGGGATTTTCCCATTAAACATGGTGATTTATGGCCAGTTATAGCTATTGAAAATGGCCAGTTATAGCTATTGAAAATGGGATATTTTTTCTTCTATGAAACCAAAGTGTTTTTGTCGCTCAGAAACTCCTGGGACCTGGGATGCCAATACAAAAAACGTTTTATTCGCGCAGCGAGATTTCCAGGAAAGTGGTTTAACCAATATATTAACCATTATATTAACCATCATTAAACCAACATCATTAACCCAACATAATAGTAACCCAACATTATTAACCATGATTAACCACTATTAACCATCATTATTCACATAAGATTAACCATCATTAACCAGTATTAACCAGTATTAACCAGTATATTGGATGCTGGGTTCTGTGTTTGACTTTTACAAAACATCAATTCTGGGCTCCCCAAAATTCAGTCGCGACTGAGAAAATCCGAGGTTCTGCTTGAATGCAGCTCGAGTTTTCTGGACATTCCAGGATGAAGAGTTTTTCCTCGGCAATGCTGAAAAACAAAAATGCAATGGCTAAAAAAGGGAGCACCACGTGGTGCCAGGTTCGAAACGTCAGGACTGACTTACACTCATCATTCTTTCATAATTATTTAATCTGATTGGTGGTTTTAACCATCTTGAAAAATATGAAAGTCAATGGGAAGGATGACATCCCATATATGAAATGGACAAATAAAAGCCATGTTCCAAACCACCAACCAGTTCATCATTTTTTCACCATCATCCCAGGGATGACGATCTCATTCATGGCGCGTCCAATGGTCCAATGGGCCAAGGTTCAGCTTTTGCACAAAGTTGCACTGACATCTCTCCATCAAGAAGAACAGAGTGGCTCCATCTGCTCTGATGGTGTACCATTGCACGATGTACCTCGACGAATCGACGACTGTTTTTGGGGCATTCTCCAGACACAGTATGGTTGAATTGATAGAATTGATGAGTTGCACTGGACTGTTTTTCATTGGGTTTAGGGTAACAATTTAGTTGCACTTTGTTACTTTTTTGGATACCCCACTGATCAATCAACAAGGATTCCTGGGTTGACTCGCAGAACTGGATGATAGTTTAATTCGCAGGAAAAGCCTTTTGAGATGTGAAGAACCATGGTTTCCTGTAGGTTTCCCTTAAAATAATCCATCATAATATCCAGTTGACAAGGGGAAAGTACAGGATCAAGTTGGATTCTTGGAAAGTAGACTACGGCGTCGGCGTCGCAAGGCGGCATGCCTGCTGTCCCCCAAACCTCTCCATCATCATCATCGTCATCATCATCATCATCATTTGCATACAATCACCATTCACAACTAGTTTCACTACTCACAATCATCATTTGGCTTATTATAAATATGGTCATCCCAGAAAAAAATCCTCCCGCTGGTGCCATCAGAATCCATCCAGGCTTTCCAATGGCCATCCCTTAGGCCAAAGCGTCTTGCTATCCGACACGCTCTTCCAGATCTTCGCTTCTTGCAGCAAATCCGCTTTCCCGGCAATCGACAAGAGCCGCACGGCGTAGGGTTCCTTTGTTGCGCCACAGGTTTAACTCTGCTTGGCGCATCACTGGGAATTTTTCTTGTGAAGCTCCAGAAGTTGGGATATAACCTCAACAAAACTATGGTTATGGAAAAATCTTCGGTTGTATCTAAACATTGTTATACCAGAACTGCACGAAAAAATGATGGATAGCCCAATACCCTCTGGTAATTTAACAGTTTGTTATTGAACATGGCCCAGTCGAAATAGTTGATTTTCCCAATAGCATGGTGATTTTCCATCGTTGTTTGTTAACGTTTACCAGGCCGGGTAACCCAATTAGAACCCAAGAACCGCACTTCCAGGCCGTGCCCCAGGTCCCCAGGTCCCCAGGTCCGTCCGGCCGTCACTGGTCCCAGCATCTCTGGATGCACGCTCCACAGCAGCATAGACATCGCCAAATTTGCCCTGCAAAAAAAAAGTGACAAAAACACAGACGATTCGTGCTGGAAAAAAGGACAAAAACACAGAACTATACAATATAACTATATATATATACATATAGACCCGCCATGACATGTGTATCTATAGTTATCAAATGTTATTTTTGAATACCATATATATATATCATATATCATATATCATATATCATTATATACCATAATATATCTGGTTGGTGGGTTCAACCCCTCTGAAAAATATGAAAGTCAGTTGGGAATGATTATCCCATATATTATGGACAAATAAAAGCCATGTTCCAAACCACCAACCAGCCATACTTGCATCATGATTCGGCTTGATCATTATATATCATAATATATCATAATATATTATAAGATTGGTGGTTTCAACCCCTCTATAATATTAAAAATGGTGATTTTCCATAGTTATATATATATGTATATCATCATACTATATTATAAGATTGCCCTCTGGTAAACTAACATAACTATGGAAAATAACCATCTTTAATAGGTAAATCACCTCTAAATGGGCCATCTATACCATGGCTATGTTAGTCATAACCAGAGGGTACATCATATTAAATCCCATTAAACCACCATTTTAGATCCCATTAAATCCCACTAAAATCCCATAAAACACCATTAAATCCCATTTTCAATAGCTATGTTAGTCATAACCAGATGGTAAAACAAAAAATCTTATGAATGGTCCCCGCCTTTCCCACCACTTCCTGGAGCTCGAAGGCTTCCGCGAAGGGTCTCAAGCCCGAGGAGCCGCAGCCCATGGCGAGCAAAAAAAGCCCAAAAAGCGATGGGGAAAATCCTGGGAAAATGGATTTTGCTGTACATTTTGATGGTTTCACCATGGTTTCTTTTGTTTTTTACATGTTAAAACCATGTTTTCTCAAAAGGAAATTTGGTTGGAACTGGAGAAACAGCAAGTTGAAATTGTGTTAAGTCATGGTCTCTGGTGTTTGTCTCTTTGGAACACTTCAACAAAGTGGCTGTCACGTGGTGGTTTTCCGTGCTGTGTCACATCAAAAAGCAGCTCTGCTACCAGCCATCATCCGTTGCTGCCGGTCGAGTCTGGTTCTCTTCTCGAGACTCCCATTGAAATGGGATGCGGTATAATTACCCATATACCTCCAACAAAATATCCTAAAATGGACCCAAAACATGCAAACAGCATGGCCTTTGTTTTTTTTTGCCATGACATGCCATAGCTGGTTTTGTCCTCCACCAGGTAGATGGCTTTCTTGTCACACTGCGAAATTCGCATTCCGTGTCGCTGATATCCACTGGACCTGGGCCACTGGGTGACGAGAAAATCACCGAAAACATCGGAAAGCCTGGCTTTTTCCAGGTTCAATGGGACTTTGATAAGACAACTGGTTAATCCCATTGATAATGGTTAATAATGGTTAATTAACAATGGTTAATTAACAATGGTTGGTTGTTGGTATACCTACCCCATCTGAAAAATGATGGAGTGAAAGTCAGTTGGGATGATGACATTCCCAATATATGGAAAAATAAAAGCTATGTTCCAAACCACCAACCAGACAAGTATGGAATGTAGGCTCTGACTATCTGACCCTCTTGAGAGAAGGCACGCTGGATTTTTGGTTATTTAATGTTTTACACGCCATTTTTAGATAAATGATGACAAATGCATATCACCAGATCACAAGATATGACGTATATTCAGAGTAAAGAAGTTGTTAGACTTGGTAGACGACTCGATTCTGGCATGTTCCAAGCATTTTTGCTTCCGGAACATGGGGTCATCTCGCAATTAGCAAACCGATACCATTCATTTCCATTCCATACTTGCATCATAATGCGGCTTGATCGACTTGATCGACTGATTCGACTTGATCGGGGGCTCCGCACACACCACAAATCACTTGATGATCCACCAACTCGTGGTCGATCTTGTCCTGGTCAAGTTATAGGGATCATACGGCTACCACTGGACCGACAAAGTAGGTCATGTTTAGATCGTTTAGTATCAAACTGGACCAAACTATCCATTTGGGCCATGATGTTTTTATCATATTTTAACATCTTCTAAGCCATACCAGTAGCATCCCATATTAGTGACGTCTCAACCGTACCGCAGGGAAAACTCAACGGATTCGCTACCCGCTACCTCTGTCTGTCCTGGGTCAAGTTTCGGATGACTGCACCACCCAGAAAGGACTGCTCGGAACCATCAGACCTCGCAGGACGAGTGTAACGTAACTGGTTGGTGGTTGACCTATATATACCCTCTGGTAATTTAAATATAGCTATTGAAAATGACCATTTTGTAGCTGGGTAAATCCACTATAAATGGCCATTTTCAATAGCTATGTTAAATTACCAGAGGGTAACCATCTTGAAAAATTTAGTCACTGGGAAGGATGACATCCCATATGACATCCCATATATGAAATGGAAAATAAGGACTATAGTTATTAAATGTTATTTTTTAATGTCACATTTAAATATATCATATATCATTATAATTCATTATATATCATTTCATATATCTGGTTGGTGGTTGACCTACCCATTTTGAAAAATATGAAAGTCAATGGGAAGGATGACATCCCATATATGAAATGGACAAATAAAAGCCATGTTTCAAACCACCAACCAGATAAGGGATTGAGTTTTGAACAGAGACTGGCAGATCTGTTTTTGGCGGATTGGAAGACCACATTGAATCAGCGAAACATCATGAAGTTTGGTATTTGACAGTTGACATATAAATCTCCAAGCCCACAATGATATTGCTGGCTTATACCCAAATCATATGAAAATATTCCGAACATATCAAATTATATATAGATATATATTATATCCCAGTTGTGGATGTTTAAATATGATCAAACCAACATGTCTAGCGCTGCGTCTCCAGACATGGGTGCGATGTCGTAGGTCTCAAAGGTATCAACTGGAGGTCGTCGCACCTGTCACGGGCAAACAGACGTGGATTTTTCCAATGGATCCAATGGATATGAATTGGATTGTTTAGGAAAATGGAATAAAATTCATATCCATTGGAATGGCCATCAAATAAACAGACATCAGATTTGGATCGTTTAGGAAAATGGAATAAAAATCTGATGATGTGTTTATCATGTTTATCAGATCAATGTTTTTGGTGTTCACAAAATGATGACAATTCCATAGATGAATGGTATCGCCCTTTAAGTTTGAAAAAAAACTTGGAGCTCTATGGAATAGATCTTGGGTTGACATCACAAAAATTCCCCTGCTCGAAATTTGGTGGTCCCGAATTCGAGAAATCCCCGAAGAGGTTTCATAACCCATGACGGATCCATGGTGCTGCTACATATGGTAACATGGATCCCATCAATATACCCCCTTTATGTTAGCATATATACCAGCACCATGGATCCTATGGGTAACATTTCTCAATCTGCCGCTTTGCCTCATAATTTCGTAGCATCTCACCCTCTCAATCCCGGTTGGAAACATCACCCATCGTCGATGATTTTCCAATGGAAAAACATGCCGAGTTCGGAATTTCCTGGGCCATGTTGACACCTTCGGAAAAAAAAAAAAAACCTATCACTCCATCAATGTCCCACTGATATTCCAATTATCCAATGCTATCTCCATGGAAAAAATCATGTTTCCCATGAAAAATCCCTATTTCTTCATGGTTTTCTACGGTCAACCAGCGCTTTTTTACCTATCCGATAATCCCATTGATGTGTCAGACCAGAAATGGGATGGTTGTTGATATTTCAAAGTTATGAACATTTCACGATATTGATATTGATAGTTATAATGACTATACACCAGGTATCTTGGAATAAATGATCATAAATGACTATGACTATGACATATAGTCATATAGTTAAATAATGTAATGAAGATATACAGTAACTTCTAACTATTCTAACTTCAATAATTCCAGATAATTTCCAGATACTCTCTGGTAAACATACAAAAAACTATGGCAAATCACCATGCTATTCATGGGTAAATCCACTATTTCTATGGCCATGTTCTATGTCGCAAATTGTTAGCTAAATTGCCAGAGGTTTTAAATATTTTTAAATCATGATGAAGCATTATTCACCAGTATCCACCTTTTTTTGACCCAAGCTATACCCTCTGGTAATTTAACATAGCTATTGAAAATGGCCATGTCGAAATAGTTGATTTTCCCAGCTACAAAATGGCCATTTTCAATAGCAATAATTGTATGTTTAACCCAATAGTAGATATGTTAGTCACCAGAACCATATATTGAGGATATGAACCATTATTAACCCAATAGTAACCCAATATGGATACTGGTGAAACAGGTTTAATAGTAACCCAATATTAACCCCTACCAGTAACCCAATAGTAAGCCAATATGTTAGTCATTACCAGAGGCTAGGCACCTGCAAGGATGGAGGTGGCGAGGGGCTCCTCTCCGCTGGTTTGGATGGGCTGTACCTCGACGCTGGTACCGGTGTTGGAAGAAATGGATGGCGATTTCCATGGGAAAACCATAGGAAAACCCGAGGAAAACCATGGGAAAATCATGGTAAACAGCATGGTTTAACATGGTTTAGCATGGTTTAACCATCAAGAAATCTGGATTTTTCACGGGATTTCCATGGGAATATTCATGGAATATTCATATGAATAGTATGACACCCCTGTCATCTTTTGGGATTCACATGGGTGACATGCGAGGTCCAACAGCCCAGCTGTCGAACCAACCGAACCGCATCTGAGGCATCGACTCAAAGGCTCGCTTCTGTAAAGCAGCTGCCTCGCCGAAGTGAGATCCATTTCTTACGAAATCGGAATTCTCACCTGGTGTATTTCGAATCTATCACCAGTGTCACCAGTTATCACCAGTTCTTATTTTGTGGCATTTGTGATTAACAAGTTACCCTCTGGTAAACATAGAAAAAACTATGGAAAGATCCACCATTTTCAATGGGTAAAATCCACTATTTCTATGGCCCATTTTCTATGTCGCTTTTTCTATGTTTACCAGGCCGGGTACTAGAAATGTCCCATGAGTCCCATGAGTCCCATGTCATGTTCCAATGATGTCATGTTTTTCCTATGGGTTTT